ACACATGCAACATTTGTTCCCCAGAACTCAGGAAGGTGTGCTCAGGAGGAGGGGCTGCCGTCGCCCAGCCCACTTCAGTGCACCTTCCAACCTGAGTTCAGAGGCACAGACAGGAGAATTTCTGCAGGGATGGAGGCTGGAAGGCAGCTAGCTGCCCAGGATGCTGAGCTTGCAGACAAAGCCCACTTCCGCACTTGAGAGGGCTGCACTCCTTTCCCTTCTGGAATGAGATGGGGCCCATGGAGTCAGGAGTTGGAAATGAAGCCGTGGCTGCGGGGAGAGGGTGGCACACAGAGTCCAAAGGCAGAGGTTTATGGCAGCTCATAAAAACTCCAGGTGGAGCCTGAAGCCTGAGGGGCGGGAGGGAGAAGAACGTTTGTGTCCCCTCTGAGCAAGTGCCATGTCTTTAGAGGTAGAAGAAACCTCTATCCCATCTGTCTTGGAGGGACCCCAACTGTGAACCCCTGGCCCCGCATCCCTGGGCCTGGGGCTCCCTTACCCAGTGAGCCTTCCCCCAGGGGAGGAGGGAGGACCGCTGAGCCTCCTCCTCCAGGTTGGTAGAAGGAAGCCCCTTCCCTGGTCAGGGCTCTCCACGGGCAGCAAGGGCCCGGGCGGGGCAGAGACGCGCCCCATCCCGGGGAGCTCTCCGGGGAGCCCAGGGGGAGGCACATGGGCTCTGGCCATCAGGCTGTTGCTGGGCTCCGGGCTCCCAGGGACCTGGCAGGCACCTGCTTCCCCACCCCCTCACCTACTCTTTCTCTCTCAGGGGCCCTATATTCCCTTATATGGAGAAGGCAGTTCCTAGAGAGGGGGGGGGGTGAGGACAAAGGTCGCTCTCCTGCAGCCGGTTTGCCAGAACTCCCTGAGATCTCCCAGGTGGCAGCTGCCTCCTCCAGCCAGGTAAGACAACCCTGTGGGGACATGCAGGGACCATAGGTAGTGGGAGAGGACAAGATAGAGTCCCCTGCTTCTCTCTGGCAATACAGGGCCTCTTGGAGCACCTTGGAGCTGCGGCTGAGGGAGAGGCTGGCACGTTGGGGAGTCTGGGAAGAGCAGAGAGCCTGGTGTGGCTTCCTTGGCCTCCAAGGAAATAATTGTGCAGGCTCCACCCCAGACAACTACGCTTTCAGACCCCTGCCTGCTGCCTGCTCCAGGTGTCAACCATCCCCATAGCCCTGAACTGAGGAGGCTCTGGAGAGGCAGGACTTTTGGACTTAAAATTTGGACAGTCGGGAGCAAACTGGGACTCACTGGTCACCCTGACCACCTTCCATGCCCATCTCCACCTCTTTACCCATTTCTTCATCTGGAATTATTTCTCTCTCCGTGTCACCCTTCCCCTGACACTCTCGGGACCTCAGGGCTCTCATCTCTTAGACCCCAGAGCATGAGCAACAGCAACAACAATAATGGGCAAAGGCAGAGGCAGGGGGCACCTCTGCTCCATCTCCCATCCACCAGGACTCATCATCCCTTTGGCCCCCCCAGCCACTATGGGGAGAAGGCAAGAGGCATGTCCAGATCAGAGTCTTGGGACGCACTGACTGCCTCCTTCCCAGGAAGGCCACTCAGGCATCCTGAGATGCTGGCGCGGGCAGAGTCTACAGGCTGCGGGCTGAAGCATGTCCACTCCCTCTGCTGTGCTGGGCCTGGGAAGCAGGAGGGTGTCCTTGTTTCAGGGACTGCCGCATCCCTATCTAGTTCAGGACTGAATGACGGAGGACTAAGAGCAGTGACAGTCCCCGGAGCTCTCTGGAGCCCAAACTCTGAGCACAATAGGGCAGCAGAGAGGGAAGGAAAGACAGGACCTGGCTGGGCAGGAAGCTTCCCTCCCTCCAAGGCCTCAGGAAGGCCCTTCCCTTTTCATTCCACAGTTCAGTCTTTCAGCTTCATGAATATTTGCTGAGCACCTACCATGTGCTGGGAGCAGGGGGCTACTCAGACAAACACGACTAGGTCCTTGGCCGAGACGACTTCGGACTTACAAACAGATCGTTTTATCGCCGTGTGGGTCGGCTGGGCCAAAAGAGGCATCGGCCCAGGATGCTTGGGGCCCCAGATGAGGATTCTGAGAAGGCCTCCTGGGAGAAATGGTGCCTAAATTGAGTCTAGAAGAACATGGGTCAGCCAAATAATGCAAGTTGGGGAGCTATCAGTAAAGGGGACGACAGCAGGAACAAAGATGGGGGGTGAGAATCAGCATGAGGGCTCTCAGAGCCACCCTCCCCACGACCCCCTGGCCCACCCCTGGCTCTGAGGAGGCTCCTCCATCTCTGTTCAGGCGGGAGATCCCAGATTCTGCTTTGTCTCTCGGGAGGGAGAGCGCTGGCTTTTTCAAGTCCCAGCTGCACAAGCCAGAGGCGCCTCCTCATGTCCACCCTCCACTCCCCTCGCTGTGCACTCCTAGAATCACAGCATGTCCCTGGTGGGACTCTAGCGATCACCTAGTGGACCCCTTCCACCTCATAGGTGAAGAAACGGGGTCCATGTTCATGCAGCTAGTGAGCGCCAAAGAATCTGCCCGGGAGGAAGGGGGATGTCGACAAAGGTGGCGATTAAAATAAAATGAGCATTCCCTTCCTTTGCACCCAAGTTGGTTCTACGGAACCAGGAATTCTGTGAACCCCAGGGTCCCTGTGGGTTGAGCTCATGAAAGATGCCATGGCCGGCAGGGAATCAGGCAGGACCCAGGCACAAGGGGCTCCCACAAGCTCTGGGCTGGCAGGTGGCCCTGATCTACTGGAGGGGATGCTAATCAGACGCTGGGCAGGGAGACCTTGCCCCTAAACTCCAGGACGCCAGGGTGAGGAGTCGCCCCTCTGGACTCAGGACAGGGTGTTTCTGAGCAGTGAAAGGCCAGGTCATTATTCCAAGAGGTGATTCAGAGTCAAGGTGCAGACGGAGATTAGATAGAGACATTCCAGCCTGTCATTGAGGCTAAATCCGTGGGGGCCCCGTGGCCTCTCGTTCATTATGGATCAGTTCAAGGAGCTCCCACGGCCGGTGACTGCGGCAGGCTGGGAGGTAGCTCAGGGGGAGTGGGGTGGACTCCAGCCTGCAGAGGGGCTGGAGACCAGGGACAAGAACAACTTGTCGCAAGCTGTCCTTTACCCCGGCTCACACCAGCATCACGGGGGCGTTTTAAAGGGACCCCGGCCCGGGCCCCACCCTGGCCTAATTAACTCAGAAGCCCTGGGGGAGCGGCCTGCGCACTGCAGTGTCAGTGTTATTTGGAGGCTCTCCAGGGGATTCTGATGAGCAGCTGAAACGAAGGACACAGCTGCAGGTCAAAACTGAAAGTGCCATAACAATACCATAAAAGAGGCCTCTGGCCACTGGTGTGGCTCAGTGGATTGGGCGTGGTCCCACCAACAGAAAGGTCTCAGGTTGCAGGCCAGGTCCCTGGTTAGGGGAGTCCGAGAGGCTAAGTGGTGTTTCTTTCCCTCTTTTTCTCCCTCCTTTCCCCTCTCTCTAGAAATAATGTGTGCGTGTGTGTGTATAGAAAAAAAAAATATATATATATATATTTTAAGATGTTTGGAGAAGGGAGATTTCTTCTATTTCAGTGAGTAGAGGGTGGTTCACCAAGGGAGCTGCCATTCATTCATTCATTCATTCACCTACCTACTCATCAATCCAAACATCCACCCACCCACCCACCCACTCGTCCATCCATCCATTCATTCACCCACCCAGCAAAGTGCCGGCACTGTGCTAGATGCTGAGGATTCAGTACTGAACAAATAAACCTGCCCCCTGCGCCCTGGAGTCTACATCTTGTGGGCCACAAGAACAGTGATCGATGGGTGTTTGAGCGTAGCTAGGAAGGAACAGGACACTGCTGTATATGCCTTTTTACTGTGGTAAAACGCATAACATAAGATTTACCATTTTAACCACCTTAAAGCATTCAGCACATTCACAACATCACCACTCTGTCTAGTTCCAGAATTTTTTCAACATCCCAGGTGGAACCTCCATACCCAGTACCAGTGATTCCCCATTTTCCTCTTCCCTCAGCCTCTGACAACCATGCTACCTCTGTGGATTTGCCTACTCTGGATATTTCATGTAAATGGAATCATATAATACAAGCCTTTGGTGTCTGGCTTCTTTCACTGAACATAATGTATCCAAGGTCATCCGCACTGTGGCATGTAGCGGGATTTCTTGCCGCTAACGGACACTCCATTGTGGTCATGTGCAACCTTTTGTTTATCCAATCATCTGCTGATGGACATTTGGGTTGTTTCTACCTTTTGGGCTATTCTGAATAATGCTGTTAAGAACCTCATGTAAAAGCATTTGTTCAAACACCTGTTTTTAAAAAATTTTTCAGCCTTTATTATTCTTTGCTTTCCTTTAAAAAAAAAACAACTGTATGACTTTTTTTTTAACCAAGCATGGCTTTCATGAAAATTTTTCAAAAAGAAAAAATTGTTTGCAGCTAGCTCTGACTGGGGTGGCTCAGTTGGTTGGGCATCGTTCTTCGAAGTGATAGGTCTCTGGTTCAGTTAGTTCCTGGTTGGGGCACATGGCCTGCATTGCAGGTTTGGTCCCTGGTTGGGGCTAGTACAAGAGGCAACCAATTGATGTTTTCCTCTCACATTGATGCTTCTCTCCCTCTATTCCCCCTTTCCTGTGTCTCTAAAAATAAATACATAAAATATTTTAAAGAATTGTTTGGGGCTAGATACATTGGTTGGGGCCGAAAAAAGGTCTTGAGCGATAGGCTAAGGAGCAGGGGCTTTATTCAGAGGTGGTAGGGAGTCAGGGTAGGTGTCTGAGAAAGGGAGTGGCAAGATCAGAGCTGGGCCTCAGCCCTCAGTCAATCAGGGCCCGGCGTGGGGAGCCGCCTCCGCCCCAGGTCCCTGAGCCCTGGCCTCCGAGCACTGTTGGGAGCTCTCAGGGCTGGGCTGCAAGAGCAGCGCCTGAACCCCAGGGCGCTCCCAGCTCCTCAGCCCTTCCTCTCACACCTCCTCCCCCTTAGGCTCATCGCCATGACCAAACTCAGTGCCCAAGTCAAAGGCTCCCTCAACATCACCACACCTGGGGTGCAAATATGGAGGATCGAGGTGAGGTCTGCCGGGGTGTGGGGTGGGGGAGAGGACTGAGGGGAGGGAGGGCCTGGGATCACTCTCACTGTCTTCCAATCCTGCCCTGCTGGTATGGGAGCCCCTGGTGCCTGTCCCCAAGTGCCCCCCTCCCTTCTCCTCAGGTATGGCCTCTTTCTTCTGCTCCTTTACCTCCGCCCCTCCTCACAGCCCTTCTCCTGGTCAGCTTTGTCGTGCCTTCCTCCTCCCAGCTCTCTATGCCTAAGGGAGGAGGACACTGGGGGTCCTGCGTGGGCCAGGGCAAGCCCCTCTGACCTCCCTTCTCTCCCTAGGCCATGCAGATGGTGCCTGTTCCTCCCAGCACCTTTGGCTGCTTCTTCGACGGTGACTGCTACATAGTCCTGGCTGTGAGTGGGGGTGGGCAAGGGAGGGGGCTGAGCAGAGAGCAAAGCCCTCTGTGGTGTCAGGGAGGAAACTTTAGGCTGAGGCAGTGGGGAGAGCTGGCCTGGCTTCACTCCAGGACAGGTGTACCCAGGTGCCCAGCTTAGTGGCAGCTCTGTAAGATCAGAGATGTAAGAGGCTCTCCCTGCCCTTGGGCCACTGAGCTCCCGACTGAGGTAGCCTTCTGTAGATTCATAGTCTTGGGGCCCCTTCTGAGTTGATGGAATGTCACCCTGCCTTGAGTCCACAGTTCCAAAATCCACAGTTACCTCTGTATCACCTCCTTGTTTTTGGCCACATCCTGGTACCTCTTATACTATCAGTGCACCTGTATTGTTTCTTATATAACTCACTCTTAAATTTTAAATACATTAATTTAAAAACATTACTCTATATCATTACCATAAGTGGAAAGCAGTATCCTGTGTCTCAAATGGACAGTAGCTATAAAATATTTACGTAATAATTTCATATATGCATTTGTTTGTGTATCACCTAACCACCCCGTGGACCTCTGATGGTCTGTGCACATTACTTCGGGAAGTGCTGCTATAGTCCAGCCAAAGTACTTCCAGGAGGAGGTGAGCCAGACCCAGAGAGGGGAAGCCACTTGCCCCTTGTCTCAGGGACTATGGAAGAGCTGGAGCCACAACTCAGGGCTCATCTGTGGCCCAGGCTGCATGTGTGGAAAACTGTGCAAAGCAGGGAGGCTGGAGAGGGCTGTGTGAACCCAAAGTCTCAGGCACATTGGACATCTCCTCTTCCTAGATCCACAAGACGGGCAGCAACCTGTCCTATGACATCCACTACTGGATTGGACAGGCCTCGTCCCAGGATGAGCAAGGGGCAGCAGCCATCTATACTACGCAGATGGACGACTTCCTAAAGGGCCGGGCTGTCCAGCACCGTGAGGTCCAAGGCAATGAGAGCGAGGCTTTCCGAGGCTACTTCAAGAAGGGGCTTGTGTACGGAGGGCGCGCTGCAGGCTGGGGAGTGGGGCTGGAGAAGGGGAGAAAAACTGAGGCCGGGGACAGAGCTGGAGCTGGGAAGGCAGCCGGAGTCTGCGGGGGAGCCCATAAGGGTGCCCTTTTGTTCACCTTTCCACCCCCTGACTCCCATTCCTGCTGCTGCCTTATCCTTGGTCTTCATTTTTCTGACTGTTGTCTCTGGCTGCCCAAATGCCATTCTGAAATTCTGTAACTCTGTGTACCATGAATTTTGTAAATCAGCTTTCAGGGTGTCACATCAAGTCTCCTCTCTAAAGAACTGGCAAATGACATGTTCCTATCTCTAAAGCTGGCCTTTCACACCAAAAGCCCAGATTCCCAGCTTTTCTTGAAAAGTCTGAAGTTCCAGTACCTGGACTTTTACCATGGAAACACATAGCCAGGAGCCAAGTTGCTACGGATCTGAAGGCTAGGCCAGGAGCTCTCCAGTTAGCCACAGTTCCCACCCCTCCCCTTCGTCTCTCTGCCCCGCTTCTTCCCACACTTACAGCAGCATTCACTCCTTTGGGCATGTGAGCTGGCACCTCTGCTGTCTTCGTCTGCTTGGCCTACCATAGCAAAATACAGAAAACACAAAATATAAAAATAGACTGGGTGGTTTAAACAACAGAAAGTAATTTCCTCACAGTTCTGGAGGTTCGCAAGTCCAAGATCAAGGTGCAAGCTGATTCAGTTGCTGGTGGGGGCTCTCTTCTTGGCTTGCAGATGGCCACCGTGGCACTATCTTTACATGGTGAAGAGAATGAAATGCTTCGATGTCTCTTCTTATAAGGGCACAAATCCCACCATAAGAGCCTGACCCCTATGACCTCATCTGGACTTCCTCTAAATCTGTTACCTCCCCAAGGCCCCACCTCCAACACCATCACATTGGGGGTTAGGGCTTATGCTTATGAGCTTGGGAGGGGACACAGTTCAGTCCATGGAATCTCCCCTCTTTTCCTTCTCATCAATCTCTGCTCTCTACCGTCTTTCTGCAGTACCATGCACCTGTCTCTGAAGGCCTGGCAGCAGGGAGAGACTAAGGTGGCGGGAGTGAGGCAGTCTAGGGCACGAACTTTAAGGAGGCATTCACTGCCATGGATGTGCAAATGTAGGCAATACGCCGACCTTACCTCTTGTAGCACCCTGAGAGTGAGTGTCTCCTTCAGGTTTGCACCTGAGGTTGTCTCATGCACCTCTCCCTAGGCCCAGCCCAGCCCTCAGATGGCCCTAGTGGCAGCCAAGCACCCTGTCACACTTCCCAGCTCACTCTCTAGGGTCAGCTCACCTCTCTTCTCAGGATCCGGAAAGGGGGCGTGGCTTCTGGCATGAAGCACGTGGAGACCAACTCCAGTGACGTCCGGAGGCTGCTGCATGTGAAGGGCAAGAGGAACGTGGTAGCTGGAGAGGTGGGCCACGACCAGAGCATGGCCTCCTATCTCCCTCCTCGGCTGGGCGGAGGGCGGAGACCAGGGAGGAGGAGGGGCTGGGGGGCGATGGGAAAGAGATGATGGGTGATGGATGGGGTCTGAGTGGCTCTGCGCCTCCCCCATGGCTCTCCAGGTGGAGATGTCCTGGAAGAGTTTTAATCGTGGGGATGTTTTCCTCCTGGACCTTGGGAAGTTTATCATCCAGTGGAACGGGCCGGAGAGTAACCGTATGGAGAGACTCAGGGTAAACCCTGCTCATGGAGCGCCCCCTCCCCAGCCCCACCTGGCTCCCACCTGCGCCAGCACACCAGCACCTGGCCTCCCGCGGTCAGACTTCCAGACTTCGGCTGCCCCAGCCCACCCTCATTTCCCCAGGCCTCCCTCCCCTGACTGCCCCGGGGGGCGGGTGTTGGAAGGTGGCCCTGAGCCTCCTCCACGTGTTTGGGATGAGGTATGCATGCTGGAGTTGGCGAGTGCGCACTTGTGGCTGATCGCCTCAGACAATGGGCCCCTGCTGTGTGGCATAGCCTGTGCCAAGTGTTTGGGATCCAATGGTGAGTGAGGCAGGCAGAGCCCTGCCTTGACTCCGGTCTCCAGCTGACCTTCCAGTGGGGGAGATGGACATGAGGGGAATATTCGAGAAGTGAAGGGCGGGGTGTGCAGCTCTGAGGACTCTGGGAAGGCTCCTGGGAGTTGGCGAGGGTGGGGAGGAGGAGGCCCTAAGGTAGGAGAGAAACGGCTGGGGAGGGTGGACGGCCGGAGCAGCCAGAGCATGAGATGGGCGTTTCAGGGAGCTTGGAGGGGAGGGAGGCCGGTCTCAGAGGGCATGTCATGTGGTCAGAGGGCTGTGCAAGAGGGTTGGGGTTTGCTCTCAGTGCCAGGGAGGCTGTGGAAGGCCATATGACTTCTGAGTGACAAAAAGGGGGGAGTGAAGGGGCCAAGGGGACACAGGGATCCCTCTGTCCATCAGGTGAGGAGCGGGGCAGGTGCCCCGGCTCCTTGGACTGGGAAGGCGGAACCCACTGGTATTGTGTGTTGCACAGGGGTGGAGAGGAGGGTGAGGCAGAACTCAGAGCACCGTGTGTCAGCAAGTGTAGCGATGGATGGAGTCCCATTTCCTGACATGGGAAATATCAGGAAGCAATAGATTTGGGAAAAAAATCTAGAGTTCAGTTTTGGACATCTTAAAATGGGGCTGCCATGGATGTTGGATCAATAAGGTGAGAGGAGAGAGCTGGGCTGGAGACAGAAATATGGGACTGGGTGAGCATTTGGAAGAGAGGGAGAGGAGGCCTGGGACTCAATGCCAGTAACTGAACAGTAGACATTGCGCTGAGGAGGGTGATCCAGGTTGTGTGCGAGTGTGTGCGAGCACATGAGGAAGCACTCTGCATGCATGTGTCATGTGAGCAAGCGCATGTGGACTATTCACCCTGGGGGGGGTGTATGTGTATGAGGACATGAGCTTCTGGGCGTATGGGTTTGTGCTTTTGTATGTGTGCACATGTGAAACTGTGTGTGCGTGCGCGCATGCGTTCGAGCATGCTACGGGGCAAACCGACTGAGTACTGTCATCTTCAGAGCTCAGCTTTTGCCCAAAACTGAAGTAAAATCACACACTTCAAACAATGTCAAAAATGAAGACCCAAAACACCCATCTGCCAAGGAGGAAACCTGCTTCCTCAGCGGGTTTTCACCTGGTTTCCTCACGTGCACCTTGAAAGCCTGGTCCCAGTCAAGGGAGGAGAGCAGGGAGGTGCCTCATCCCTCAGGGCTGCTGCAGGGTGGGCTCTGGTCTCCTGCCAGGGTTTGGGATGGTGGGTGCTGCCCTGCCCCTGGCCAGCTTCCATGGGTCACCGGGTGCCTCCCTGCAGGGCATGACCCTGGCCAAGGAGATCCGAGACCAGGAGCGGGGCGGACGGACCTACATAGGAGTGGTGGACGGGGAGAACGAGAAGGAGTCTCCGCAGCTGATGGAGGTCATGAACCAAGTGCTGGGCAAGCGGAGGGAGTTGAAGGCAGCTGTGCCTGACACAGTGGTGGAGCCCGCACTCAAGGCCGCTCTCAAGTTGTACCAGTGAGTGTTCAGCCGGGCTCCTCCCGGGCGCTAGAGATTTCCTGGGGGCAGGGTGCCCTGGCTGAACTGGGCGAGACCCCTCCTGGTCTATGCCATACCTTTGTCCTACAGCGTGTCGGACGCAGCAGGAAAGCTGGTGGTCAGAGAGGTCGCCACGCGGCCACTCACACAAGACCTGCTCAAGCACGAGGTGAGAGGGTCTGAAGGCTCCCCCGGCCAGGCCTCCCAACCCCCAGCACCTGCCCAAGCTCTCTCAAGCCGAGCAGCACCAGGGCCAGGCGGGTGTGCAAGGGAGGCCTTCCGTGCCGGCAGCTCCCCAGCCCAGCATGGCCGCACCATTGGGCTCTCATTCTGGGCCTCTCTCTCATGCCTCTAGGACTGTTATATCCTGGACCAGGGGGGCCTGAAGATCTACGTGTGGAAGGGGAAGAATGCCAATGCCGAGGAGCGGAAGGGAGCCATGAGCCAGGCCCTGGTGGGTATGGGGTCGGGAGGGAGGATTGTGAGGAGAGGGAAGAGAGACAGAGTCCCAGGAAGAGGGAGGCAGGATCAGACACAGGGGCCAGCAGAGGCTCTGGGTCTGATCGGGCCTGGGGGCCTGAGGGGCTGCTTCGTAGCCATCTTGGAGTCTCTGCACACCAGGGGGCCTCCTCAGGATATGGGCTTCTACCTCAAGCTGGGTTCAGAGAAGAGAGCGAGAAAAACGAAGGTTGTCCTTCACACATAGAGGATGGGGTCAGCACGGGGCAGGGCCAAGTCAGAGAGCGGTCATTGTTGGGCTAGAGTCAGTAGCCCTAACTGGCTTGGGGTCAGTGGTGGACTGAGGGTTGGGTTCCTGGTTGAAGGTAGGGCTAAGGGCCAGGGTTAAAATTGAGGTGGGGTCAGATTTGGCCTTGGGGTAGGGGTCAGAGGTAGGTTTGGGGTGGTGTCAAGTTTAAGGTCTAATTTGAACTTGGGTTTGGGGCCAGAGCAGGGTCAGAATTGGGACTGCGGTTGGGTTCTCGTTTGGGCTGGGGACCAGGGGTGGGCTTAGGGGTGGGTCTGTCTGGGATAAGAGCCAGGCTTTGGCTTGCACTGTGGGGTGGGGGCTAGAGGCAGACACAGTCCCAACCACCCCCTCTCTTCCCAGAACTTCATAAAAGCCAAGCAGTACCCCCCAAACACGCAAGTGGAGGTGCAGAACGATGGGGCGGAGTCCGCCGTCTTCCAGCAGCTCTTCCAGAAGTGGACGGTGCCCGGCCGGACCTCAGGCCTGGGCAAAACCCACACCGTGGGCTCCGTGGGTGAGGGCTGGGTGAGGCAGGGTGGGCTGGGAGCCAGGAGCGGGGCCAGGAGGGTACCCAGACCTGCCTCCTGCCCTCCCTCCTGGCCACACCGCTTCCATGTGCGCTTTTACCCTGGCCTGTGTTCCCCGGGTCGGGTGAGGACATAAAGGGACATGGATAAACTCAAGAGTTGTCACAAATGGGAGCTGAGAATGACCTGCCTTTCATTTGGAGTGGGGTTAGGTCTCTCAGGACCAAATGGCTCAGCCTCTCACCAGACTGCACTGGCTGAGGGCAAACTCAGCGCCAGGCACCTGGGAAGGGTAAAGGGTTGTCCCCCCACCCCCAGCTGCCCTGGTGAATTAGGGGCGGGGAGATGTGGTTCTGTATTATAACTCTGCCATGTGTAGCCTCGCGTAAGCTACTGAATCTCCCAGGCCTTTGTTTCATCATCTCTAAAATGGGTGTAAGGATTATAGCTACCCCTCAGGGCTGTGGTGAGGACCTGGGGGACCTCAGCTAGTGACACAATATCACGACTCGCTTCACTCCAGCCAAGGTGGAGCAGGTGAAGTTTGATGCCATGTCCATGCACGTCCAGCCTCAGATGGCTGCCCAGCAGAAGATGGTAGACGACGGGAGCGGGCACGTACAGGTGTGGCGAGGGGAGGGTGGCCTCCCCTGGTGGGCAGGCGCTGCTGGAGCCTGTCCTGGGCCTCACACCAGCCTGGTACTGGCCCCAGGTGTGGCGCATTGAGAACCTAGAGCTGGTGCCTGTGGAGTCCAAGTGGCTGGGCCACTTCTACGGGGGTGACTGCTACCTGCTGCTTTACACCTACCTCATCGGGGAGAAGCCCCACTACCTGCTCTACATCTGGCAGGTCAGGCCCCACCCACCCTGTCCAGAGCTCAGCCCGCTCAGTTCCTAACCCACTATGCCCTTGCCAAGTGGCCATCCTCTTTGTGTTGAATATGCCTGGTAATGGGGAGCTCACCGCTTTTGTAGCTTGGGACTGTTGGCTGTGAGATCCCACTGACACTGAGTACCGCCTGTTCACAACACTTTTCCCTTTTGTTTTTTTCCCCTTTTGAGTCTCCCCTCCCATTTCCATGGCCGCCCGCACTTTCCCTTTGCCTGCCCTGGTTGTGGGTTTCTATGTCCAGACGTGAGGGGCAGGGGAACGCTTGGGTGCTTGGGGTGAGTGGTGCGGTAGCCATGGTGTCTCCCCGAGACAGGTACAGCGAAGAGGAGAGGCAGTGTGGGGTCAGGGCTGGGCTGAGGCCGGGGAAGGGTTGGGTGTGGGGCTGGGGTCAGAACTGAGGTCGGGGTCACACCGGGTTTTTGGCTGTGACCAAGGTGGGGTTTGATGGGGAAGACAGTTGGGTTTGGGGCCAGGTCAGAATCGGGGATGTAGCTGTGCTGATGTCAGGGACGGAGTTAGAATCAGGGCTGGACCTCATCCCACCCCTTTCGTCCGCTCATCTGCAGGGCAGACAGGCCAGCCAGGACGAGATCACAGCCTCGGCCTATCAGGCCGTAATCCTGGACCAGAAGTACAACAATGAACCCGTCCAGATCCGAGTCCCGATGGGCAAGGAGCCACCGCACCTCATGTCCATCTTCAAGGGACGCATGGTGGTCTACCAGGTGTGGCTGCTGGACCGAGGGGCCTGGCAGACCCGCAGCTAAGGCGGGCTGGGCATCCAGAAGGTGGGGGAAGGGACCAGGGTGGTGGCGGGCTGTGGGTGAAGCCCATTTTCCACGGAAGAGGAGTGTGGAGGTTCCATCACTGAAGTGGAACTGGTAATAGAAACAACTACTCAGTGCTGTAAAAAATCCATGTGATGAGCACTTAGCATGTACAAGTGCCGTCTCTCTCTCTCCACCCAACTCTTCTGATCATTTACCTGAAAAAGGAAGTTATTTGGCTAGATTTGCTTAAATGGTGGGCCTGTCCAAAATGCATGGGTGCCTTCCGACATAGTGACATGGACAGCTTCTGCATTCAATCAATCAATAATCTCTTTATTAAGCACCTACTAAGTATACAGCCCTCTGCAAAGTGCCAAGGTGCAGAGAAGAATGCCACGCTAACACTGTTTCCCACTTGTTGGGAGAGCCGTGAACTAACAGCCGGAGGCACTGTGTGGTTAAATGCCAGTAGCACAAGTTGAGGTGAAAGGGGAATGTGAATACAGTAATCTGGGAACAGGCGTGGAGCTACCAGTGGAAAGGGGGTTTGAGGAGGTCTTGACATTGGGGTCAGTTGATGAGCTCGGCAGAGGTGTAGCGAGGGCCTGCAATGCAGGGGGCACGGCCAGGAAAAAGGGCCAGAGGAAGGGATCTGTGGGGACCAGTGAGAAGCCTGGCCACGGTGAGCTCGAAGGCTTGGAGAGAGCCCAGTAAATCTGCACAGGCAGTTTGTACCTTCATCATCTGAAGAGCTGGGTTCTAGTCCATAAGCAGTGGGGAGCCATCAAAGGTTTCGGATCAGGGAAGTGCTGTGACCAAATGTTTTGGAAAGATTAGTTTGATGTATTTGCAGACCTGGAGGGGCAGGGCCAGCCGCTCTTCCTCTCTGGTTCTCTGCGCCCCTCTTTCTTCTTTACTAAGTTACTCCTGCCTTCTCCCGCAGGGAGGCACCTCCCGGGCTAACAGCGTGGAGCCCGTGCCCTCCACACGGCTGTTCCAGGTGCGGGGAACAAGCGCCAATAACACCAAGGCTTTTGAGGTCCCGGCCCGGGCCGCCTCCCTCAACTCCAACGATGTCTTCATCCTCAAGACCCCATCCTGCTGTTACCTGTGGTGTGGGAAGGTGTGTGTGGGCCCCCAGGCTCAGAGCAGACAGGGGTCAGGATGGGAGCCGCTGGCCCTGTCCCCTCCTCTGCAGCTCTGGGCCTGGCCATTCTCAGAATCTCTGCCTCTGTCTGAGTCAGTTTCTCATTGTCTGTCTCTGGCCACCCCTGTCCATCCTGGTATTGGTCTGTCTCTGTGCCTTAGGCTCCCTCTTGCTACCCCTGTGCCTGTCACTGCCTCTTCCCCTATCTCTGTAATGAGGACTCTCAGCCTCTTGTAGTCCTTCTCCCACTTTGTAAGGAGAGCAAAGCTTCTCGTCTCTGACATTCTTTGGAGTGTCAGAGGAAAGGGTGGGAGAACTGTCCCTATTTTGGCCATGGGCTCAGGGTCCAGGAGAGCGCCCGCAGACCCGGGAGCTCGGTGAACGTGGCGGGAGGGCGGGGAGCAGCACGGTGCTAGAGATGGCTTCCCCCAGCCCATCCAGCCCTCCTTTCCCAAGGGCTGTAGCGGAGACGAGCGGGAGATGGCCAAGATTGTCTCTGACACCATCTCCCGGACGGAGAGGCAAGTGGTGGTGGAAGGGCAGGAGCCGGCCAACTTCTGGATGGCGCTGGGCGGGAAGGCGCCCTATGCCAGCACCAAGAGGCAAGTAACAATGGGGTCCCTCTGCCTCCAGCTCACCTTCTGAGGCTGGAGAGCCTCCCAGCACCTCCACCCTCATGGCCCAGTGTCTGCAGCCAGCGTGGACTGAGGACCCTGAGTGCCAGGCCCCCAGCGCCACAGTATGAGTCAGGAGCAGTCCACGCCCTCGGAGCCTTGGAGGCACAGGGGCTGTGTCTGTGCTGCTCACCATGGTCTGCCTGGGCCTTGCAGGGCCTTTCCCTGGCAAAGAGAGTTCATAGCCATGGGAGGCAGAGAAAGGGGCGGGGCTGTAGGTTTGCCCTTTGGGAAGAAGATGTCAGAGTGCACGCAGTCCCTGCCTTTTGGGGTTGACATAGGGCCCGGATGCTGAGCACCACCAGCTGTAAACCCTCTTTCTAATGGTTTTTCTTAAGAAGATCCATGACCCCTAGTTTAAAAGCAAAAGGGCGTGTACTGTGGAAGCAGCAGGAGGGATGGAGGGAAGATATCAGAAAGAGCTTTCAAACAGGACTAGAGAAGAGCCACTGGAATTGAAGTCTTGAAAAATCAGTGGGAATTTCTCCCGTGGAGCATTGTCAGGCTCTCGGGAGGAGGGGGAACTTTTGTGTGATTAGAGGAAAGAGTGTTTTCCTAGGGGGTGGGCTTTCCATGTCAGAGCTGCCCCTCAGAGTTCGGTGCCCTTGATTCTCCTGTTCCCACACCTTCCTCCTGCCCACACAACCTCCTCTCTGTCCTGCAGACTGCAGCAGGAAAACATGCTCATCACCCCCAGGCTCTTTGAGTGCTCCAACCAGACCGGGCGATTCCTGGCCACAGAAATCCCCGACTTCAATCAGGACGACTTGGAAGAGGATGATGTGTTTCTGCTCGATGTCTGGGACCAGGTAGGACTGGGGAGTGCCCCAAAAATACCAGCTTTAGGGACAAGGAAGATTTTTTTTTTTAAATTTCTGTTTACTGATTTGAGAGGGAGAGAGGGAGGGTAGGGAGGAGAGAGAGAGAAAGAGAAGGGAACGCTGATCTTTTGCTCCACTTACACATGCATTTATTGGTTGATTCTTGTAGGTGCTCTGGCTGGGGCTTGATCCCTTGGCCTTAGTGTATCAGGATAGTGCTCTAACCAGATGAGCTACCCAGCCAGGGGAAAGGGAAAGAGAAGATTTGACTTTTCCTTGGCTCCCATATATGTTCTTCCCAGGGAGAATTATAAACACAAGAGCCTAAGGAAGAAGAAGGCAGCCTGGAGGGGCTACTGTGTGGGATGTATCTTTTCTCCAAGTCCACTTTGTTTCACATAGCAGAGCAATATTTTTGAGGGGCTTTAGCTTCAAAGTAACACATTTGTAGACTATCCAAGTAGGGATCATCTGTCCAACCTCCTCATTGCCCAGGTAGGTGCAAAGTCAAGGCCAGAGGGGCCCGTGCCAGGGCAGGCTCCACAGTGGACCTACCTGAGCCTGGACGAGCCGAGGCAGAGGCCCACGGGCCGGGAGGGCAGGGAGGACTGTCAGAGCTCCTGGTTCCCACAGGTCTTCTTCTGGATCGGGAAGCATGCCAACGAGGACGAGAAGAAAGCTGCCGCCATCACAGTGCAGGAGTACCTCAAGACCCACCCCAGTGGCCGGGACCCTGAGACCCCCATCATCTTGGTGAAGCAGGGACACGAGCCCCCCACCTTCACGGGCTGGTTCCTGGCGTGGGATCCCTTCAGGTGGAGTGTGAGTGGCCCCAGCCCACCCTGGTCCTCATAGCCCGGCCACTGCCTCTCTGGGTGGCCTCTTCACGGTATTCCCAGTGGCGAGGCAGACCTCCCAGGGTCTTTTGTTCTGTTGTGGTAACTGATATGTGATATATTGGTAGAGGGGTTAGAGAGGCCTTAGAAGGAAGAGTAAGGCTGTGGTAGGACCATTAATCCCCCTGGAGGGGTTGGGGGAGGGAAAGAAGTCTATCAAAACCCAGGTGAGTGACAGTACCTTGCCTGTGCACTGGATTTAGCTCAACGCTGTTGGATATTACTGGTGAGAGCTGTACTGGCTACTTGAATTTAAATTAATTAAAATTAAACAAAGTTAAAGATTCAGCGTTTCACTACCTACACTTTAGTGCTCAATAGCCACATGTGGCTCTTGGCTACCATACTGGGTGGCACAGAGCGAGAACATTTCCACCATCACAGAAACTTCTAGGGGACAGCGCTGGTAGGTCCTCATGTCACGTGAAAGGAGACATGCCAGTTCTAAAGGACAGACGGATGTCTTCGTGGCACTAAATTCTAAGCAAAATCGGTCACACGTGTGGTCCTTACCCGAGAGACAGTCCTTCCACAGGATTTCCCTAAACTGGCCCCAGATAGAAGCAGGCCCTCACTGTGGACCCCTAGTGAAGGTTTGCGCAGGAAGGAGGAAGGCTAAGCTTAAAATGAGTTCTGGCCTGGTGGCTTTGGGTGTGCTTGGCTCAAAAGATGAGGTTAGGGAGACAGAGAGCTTTGATTAATTTCTTCAAATACATAAGGAAAAATTCAGTGGTAGATGGGTTTAGTCTTGAGGATGGATTCAAACAAATCTCAAGGCTGCAGATGCCAGAACTTCGTAAATTCTTATCATCAGTGTCCCAAGTCAACGACTCTGGCGGTCTTGCCTCACCTCAAGTCTGTGCTGGCTTCTCTCACACTCCAGTCCTTCATTCACGCATTCACTAATTCATTCATTCAGCATTACTGAAGCTCATGATGTGCCATGCTTGGTACAGGCCCTGGGGATATGGAGAGGGGGCTCCAGGTGGAGCCATGGACCCTCTTACTCCCTTCACTCCTCTGTGGCAGGGTTCCCTCCCAATTCTGAGAGGAGCCTCCCAGTTCCTCAGCGCCCCAGAGTCTCCCAGAGCCTACACAGTGTAAGGCTGGGAGAGGCTGCTTGCATGGGCTTCTGAGGGCAGGGAAAGGTCATACCCCTCTCAGTCCTCATGTTGCTGGCCTTTTCTGACCTGTCAACTCCTTCAGTGCTGATCCTCAATGTCCATTCTCCTTTTTGAGGGACCCTCCTCCAGCCTCTGCCTCCTCCTGCTTCCCTTTCTCAGCCCCAGGCCCTGGGCCAGCCTTCTTTCAACTCTTAAAGGAAAATAGTCTCTGCGGAGAACCAGGTCTAATGTGTTACTTGCTTTATATGCAGAACGCCCAATCCTATGAGGACCTAAAGGGGGAGCTCAGCAACTCTGGGGACTGGAGCCAGATCACTGCTGTGAGTATGGGGCAGGTGGCTGGGCCCCGTCATGGTCATCTGAGCAGGCTCACATCTGTGGGGGGCTGAGAGCGCTCCAGAGAAGGTGCCAGCGCCCTGTGCTTTACTTCCCAGCATTTCTTCCCACTTCTCATGGAAGTTTTTCTTGCTGTTTCACTTCAGTGTTTCTAGCTGTTTTGTCTTCTCCATTTCCTGGTGAAATGATTCCTAAATTTTATCATGCATAAGAGTCTGGTGATGGGGAGCTGGGGAGGGGTGAGGGAAGCACATAAAACTACTGACCCAAGGTCTGGTTTGTAGAATTGTGTTGAGACCCAGGAGAGAGAGAGAGAGAGAGAGAGAGAGAGAGAGAGAGAGAGAGAGAGATTAATAAAGCATCCAGGGAATATGATGCAGTCAGTTGATAATGACATTTTGGGAAATAATGATTTCCATACTATTGTCACCCTCGGGATCCCTTCTACAGGTAAAATAATGGCAACCCCTTAGATCTTTCAGCTTGTAACAGAAATGTATGTAGACTGGAGGCCTGGGATATGGAAATATGAAAGCAAAACCCTTCCTTTAAGAAGTTCACAGGCTTGCCCTAGCTAGGGTGGCTCAGTGGACTGAGTGCCGGCTTGTGAACCAAACGTTCGCTGGTTCAATTGCCAGTCAGGGCACATGCCTGGGTTGCAGACCAGGTCCCCAGTTGGGAGCGCATGAGAGGCAACCACACATTGTTGTTTCTCTCCCTCTTTCTCCCTCCCTTCCCCTCTCCCTAAAAATAAATAAAATCTTAAAAAAAAAAGTTCACAGGCTTGCAGGGAAACGAAGCCAAGTAGACTCAGCAGAAATGTGTCCAGAACACAGGAGCAATTTCCCAAGCTCCCCTGTTTGATCAGGAGATACCACACATGACTCCTCAGCCCCTCCCACAGGCAGAGAACCCCATGGCTTTCCTAAACCCTTCTTATTAGACTGATGGTACTGGCAGGGATGTACAGATAGGTCATGGCTGTGTGATTTTACAGATGACGATTTCACAACAGCTAAAAGAAAGAGGGTCCCAAAGGTCCAAGGTAGACCTCAAACATCTGGGGGAAGCCATCGAGAAATTCCTAGGTCATAAAATGAAATAGTCATCTTGAACCAACTGGCCTTGGTTGGATACACACCAGCAAGCTTTATAAAGCGCATGGGTCCAATCCAATGTGTTGTGTTCTTATGAGTGTGTGTATGTGTATGTGCATGGGCTGGTGTGGGGAGGAGGGGCATGGAAGGCATCTTGGAGGAGGTGCCCTAGGATCAGTGTTGATTTCAGAGAGAAAGGTAGCCACAAACCAGCTGAAGTAACAGTGGTTTCCTTTTTTCCCCTAGGAGATCACAAACCCTAAACAGGAAGTGTTCAATGCTAACAGCAACCTCAATTCTGGGCCTCTACCCGTCTATCCCCTGGAGCAGCTGGTGAACAAACCTGTGGAGGAGCTCCCTGAGGGTGTGGACCCCACCAAGAAGGAGGTGGGTCAGACTGGAGGAGGAGGAAGAGCTAAGGCTTGTCCATTCATTGGACAATACTAACTGATCCCCAGATTGTGCCCTAGTGATGACTCAGTGGTAGGGACGGCCTGGTGAACAAAACATACCTGGTCTCCGCCTTCATGTGAAGTTACATGAACATAACTTCGGTGCAAGGAGAGATCAGAGGAACATGGTTATACTATTATTTAATTTCAGTGGGGATAGTGCCACGAAGGGTATTACAAAAAGGAACCTGTTTTAGTCAGAGAAGACTTCCTTCTGAAAGATGAACAGGAATTGTTCAGGCACAGTGGGCTATCCCTGGGGAACGGAACTGTATACACACAGCCCAGGGGCAGGGAATAAGCACAGGGTGGATCAAAATGCCAGAGTGGTGGCTGCCTGCGAGCTGGGGAGGGGCGGCTGGCCCGCGGGGCAGGCACTGGACTGAGCAGGGCCCTCTACGCGGTGTCACGCTAAAAGGGGAAGGGAGCTATCAGGGTGGAAGCAGGCAGGTGGTGGTCAGGTTTACACTTTTAAAAGACCACTGTAGCAGCTCGGTGAAGAATGCATTGGAAGGTGGCAAAAGCAGCCGCTCTGAGTGAGGCTGAGAGGTAGATGGGAGCTTAGACTAGGTGGTGGTAAAGTAGCTAAAAGGAAGGAGGCGGTTTAGGGAAATATTAGGAGGTAAAATTAATGACACTTGGTAAGTACCGGGTAAGATGTGTCAGAGGGAGGGGGAAATTGTATTATTCCTTAAGATTAAAAAACAAAACAAAAAAACACCCTGGGTCAGACTGAGCTTAGAGAATGATCATGCATTCATGTGGTTTGAGGCACCTGGGAGACATCCGGGTTGAAATAGGCGCTCGGTGGGCAGGCAGTTCAGAGAGAGCCAGGAAGACCCATCTGGTAGCTGCAGCTGCAGCCTGCGTGGGTCCCTTGTGGGGGGTGGGTGGGGGGAGAGGCAGTTTGGCAAGAACTTGTTAAAAACACATTTCTAATATTCATGAAGATCCAAAACATACTTCAGGTCTAGCTTGATGAGGGTTACCGGGAGGAGAGAAAATTTACTCTGTGTATAATAAACCATAAAGAAGTCTTAAAAGTGAATAAAGAGAGACGCCGGATTTCTCCAAGAATATCCAAGTCTGTGAGGGGTTAGGGCCTGATTTATGTGGAAGCGTATTGTTCCCAGAGCAGTTGCACCTGCCCTTCACCTTGGAGACCACTTTCATGCATTCTCTCCCAGATATGCCCACCTGAGTTCTCACTAATACAGGGGTGATCCCAATATATTATTTGTAGTAATAGTATTACAAATATTATTTGCCCAGCACCCCCCATACATAAAATGTGCTCCATAAATGTAAGCTGTGATTATCACTGCTTTTTCTACTCCTGAGAAAACTCAGGTCCAGAGAAGGGAAGTGACTTGCCTAACGTGATATAGCTCGTTAGCAGCAGAGATAGACCAGGAACCAGGTCTTCTGAGTCCCACAGTTACTATCAATCCTATCATGTGTCTTAAAAAGAGGATTTCTGAAGTCAACATTATTGAATGAGGTGATTGACAAGAGGCTAAAAGGATTGCTGGTTTTGAATGAAACAAATAGAACCAACACCACCTGCAACATATTAGAAGTAGTTTAAGAAGTCTTGAGTCTTTAAAGAAAAAATCAGTTGTCTCTTTTTTGTCATGGGAGCAGCATACATTCTTGTGGGTAAGCTGTGGGTTCAGTGTCGTGTGGGAAGGGCGGGAGAGGTCTTCAGGCCTCTGGCTGCCCCAAACTCAAAAGTGGAACCAGTGACAGTAAACAGTGGGGTGGTGGGTCTGGCTGCAGGCAGCAGCATGAGGGTAATGTAAGTGTTTGAACACCAGTGAGTAATCCACAGAGAGGCGGATGTGGCCGTGGGTGAGGCCAGTAATCAGCTAGCAGGACCTGCAGGGTTCAAGAACAGGACCAGTGGAAAGATACAAGTCCACTGGGATGGGCAGTCCCTGTTATCAGCCCAAGGGTCAAAGTCCAGAAGTCTCCACCAAACTGCAGAGCCAACCTGGGTGGACCACAGAGGGCACCTGAAGCTCCTCACAGACCAAGGACGTTGCACTTGTGAGGGACCTGGCGGGGGTGGGAATGCTGCTAACAGACTTGGGGTAGGCAGCTCTTCCCCGTTCACTGATGCCCAAACCATTCATACTTACTCTTCTTCCAAAATAAGGCACTCCATAGCCCCGCCTCGGGGAGTGGGGAGGGCTCCTAAAAGGCTTGAGGAGAGACTGCCTAGAGGCTGGAGGCAAATCTAATGACAGGTTAGAGAGCTGAGGCGTCAGAACCACCTGAGCTTGGGATCCAGCTGCAGGTGTGCAGCTCAGGGCTCTCTGTGGGAATCAATCAAGTATTCTTCAGAGTAACTTTTCTTAATTGAAAAGAAACCCTGTTTTCACCCCATCTTGTCCCTCGTTGGTGCCCGGGGAGCAGAGACGAAGGCTGGAGGGTGCTCTTTTTATAGTAGCTTTAATTTGGGGTTCTTACTTGAGTGTGCTGTGAGGGCATTTAGCTTGCCTTAAACAGTATCACTACCGTATTAGTGGGGAGCAAGGGTCATTTCAGGCAGTCCCCTTGTCTTACGGCTGAAGATACCCAAGGCCTAGAAAGGTGACTCTTAGCTGTAGGTTCACTCTTTTGTAAGTAGAGATGAACAAGAGACCTTGTTGCCAATGCCCTTTTATATGTAGTGTTATTTTCATCTCCACAAAAGCATTACAAAGAAGTGAAAACTGGCCTTTAAGAAATTTGTCCCATCTTATAGAGAAGAAAACTAAGACCTGGAAAGAGAAGCAACTCTAACCAATGTCCTAATTCTTATTTCAGGGCTAGTGTGAAATTGACCCTGGTCAAAAGGAGCTAATCTAGCTCATGCTTGTTATCATCCCCCCACCCCCCATTTATTATTTTTAAGTATTTTTGACTTTAGAGGGAGAGGGAGGGAGGGAAATGATTGGCTGCCTTCTGTACGCGCCCGACCTGGGTAACTGAACCTGCACCCCAGGCACATGCCCTGACCACTGGGAATTACACCGGTGACCTTTTGGTTTGTGGGACAACGCCCAACAGAGCCACTCCAGCCGTGGATATTACCATCCTTTTTATTACGTTCCCAATTCAGGGATCAAATTTCTTGGGACTTCAATGTCACCCGCCTCATCCCTTTCCTGACTCTATTATTGCCTGTTTTTGCTTTTCACTTGCTTTCTATACCACGCCTGTGTGACTCATCAAAGCAAACCCTGGAGAAGAATGTGACCTTTGCCTTCTGGTCCCTCTCTTCTAGGAGCACCTGTCCCTTGAGGATTTCAGCAAGACCTTTGGGATGACTCCAGCTGCCTTCTCTGCCTTGCCTCTGTGGAAACAACAAAACCTCAAGAAAGCAAAGGGACTATTCTGAGAAGAGTGGCTGTGGTTGACAAGCAGTTTCCTCTCGTTATTAATCCTTTGCTAATTGAAATTTTACACTTGTCCTTGTGAGCAGCAGTCGGTGGCAACGTTTTTGTTTACTAACCTATTCCTCCAGAATGATGACGACTCCATAAAGAGCCTGTGGTCCCAATTTCCATTCTCAAAAAGATGGTCACGTTTTTTCTATCCTGGGGTATTGCATCACTGCCCTGAGATTCCCCTTCTTAGAAGAGCAGCCAAACACTCCAGGGAATATTTGCTCTGTGGGGTCTTCCATAGGCTTTTTTATCAATGGCAGGTGGGCTGAAGCATTTTTCAGATTTATACCTTTTCCCAGAGTAATGGTTTCCCCTTTTCACATATTCTTTCCTCACAGCCTTCCTTGGGGGAAAAGTTAAAGGGGATCTCTTCTTTGAAAGAGAGTTGAGTGGCCTAAGAGATGGCCCGAGTAGCTTTCACAATCCTTACTAACCAGTCCTCGGCGAGAGCAACATATCCACTGGGTCCAGGCTTGAGGCCTAAAGGCAAGTGTGACATGCAAATGTGATTTTACCCCCTCTTTTAGAACTCTTAATAAAGCAAAGAAAGGGCACAGTTAAGACTGACCCTTGGTTTACAAATGTATCCAGTCTCTGCAAAGTCTCACTTGTTCCTCAGATGAAAGCAGCGGGAACTTGGTCCTGACTCTGGGCACGCACTGGACGGCCACCCCATTTCCTTTAGGGTTTAACCATGATGCACGGAAAGCCCAAGGCAGAGGCCAACAGCAGGTGATTTCCTTAACTTCAACAACTATTGTTCAGTGTCTGCAAGAATATGTGCTTTTCCGAAATAAGCTGAACAGACACAAGGTTAATAAAGGCTTTAATTTCACACACAAAAAAACTCTATGCATAATTTAAAAAGGAAATCAAAACAAGGAAAAACTGTAAAGGATACAGAGGAACAGTTCTGCTAAAACACAGATAAAGTGCTGCTCCATACAAAACGTAAAGAATTAGAACCAGAAGTCACTCAGAACACAAAGAAAATCACCTTACAGATAATGTGGCCAAAGCTACCAGCAAACCTGGCAGTGGCTCAATTAGGCCAAGCGTAGGAGGCTCACTTCTGTTTTCCTTTCCTTGGCATAAACGGTAACCGGCCAGAGCAGTCGGAGGGAGACCTGGAGACCTGGGGACCAGGGCGGTGCACTACCGCATGGGCGCTCACTCTCTGCATCCTCATGCTTGAAAGACCAGTTCGGTCAATTGCTTTTGTTTTGGCACATGACCTAAGAGACTTGGGTCCTGATCCAGACCCCCAATCCACTCTATTCTTACGCCAGTGTACATGCCTATTCTTCAAACCTCTGTACTTTTAAGAAAAGTCCAATGTCACCAAAATCAATTGCTTATATTCACACTGGCACTCTTTTTAATTAAAACTTCAAAACCTCAGACACATAGCACACATGGAAAAGAAAATCTACTCATTTATAAATATGATACAACCAAAGAGACTGCCTGAAGTCTAGTAATCAAAGCATGCCATGAAGGAGTCAATGACTGTGGTGAGACACAGTGGAAGAATTCTGTCACAAAACTCTAGGCCTAACAAACTAGTTTCCCAAGTTAAAAAAAGTTTTTCAGAGGTTAAGACCTATTGATGGAACATTAGAATTTTGAAGTAATGTATTAGATGTTAGAGGGCAGAAATCTGGTTTTTGTACACATTTAAAGAGAACATTACTCAATGTAAAGCAAGACAGGAGGAGGGAGAGGACATCTGTTTTGGGGGGGACACATTTATGTGACTTGCAACTGGTACTGGGTTGTTGATTTTTCTAAAAATCTCCATACACATATATATATACACACATACAAGATGAACATGTACTTGGAGATCTTGCTGTTCCCCAATTTAAAACAAAACAGTACCTAAGGGGGTCAATTATATCAAAAAGGGCAAAAAAAAAAAAAAAAGGTTGTATGACAAAGAGCATCCACCATTTCATTTCAGAAGACAAAGAGCAAGCAAAAAGGGTAATGTTTTTGTTTTAGTATCTTTTTAGATCACAAATGAGTTTATAAACTACCTGCTTTCTGTATGTCTCTACGCCATACGCTTATGCTCTCTCTACACTCATAATGCTCAACTATATATGAGACACTGTCAAGGATTTCTTTAATTTAGGTGTTTTCAAATAACCTTCATTATACAATTATACCTGTAGCTGTAGTTATATTTATATAGTTAAATAATGGTAGCTGCAGTATGGAAGGGTAAGTCATGAATTCACTTGCTGAGGTTTTAATTCTTAAAGCTTCTCTTTTAGAAGGATTTTACACTAGATTAGATGAAGAAATGTGTAGTCTAATATTGCCTCCCAGAGTTAGCTGATATTTAAGTGTCACTGCATACTTGTTAAATAACAGACCATAGCAAGTAAACAAATAGCTTTTGGAATAAAAATATACATAGAACACATGGATTTGCTTCTTTTCTATCTTGTTGAAACAAAACTTATATGAGTGTGCACAGACACATAAATATATTGCCCAAAAAACAAGAGTCTATTTTCTCGCAGGCTTAAATTATAGTCATGGCTACTAAAGTGACAAGAGATAGTTATCTGGCCACATGCACCTTTCCAATTCTCCATAATAACATTAGCCGGTAAGAATCAACAAGTTTGAATTTTAGTTTAGTTTTCCCTTAAAAAAACAAAAAGTCCCAATTAAGATCAGTTGTGTGCAGAACTAAGTGCTGTCAAGTTCCAGTTCAATGTCATTTATAGTCATATAACGACAAGTGGTATATTCAGCAGGAAACTTACTTATTGGGCGGGCTGTCTGGGACTGAAGCACTTTGTCTCCTCCTGGCCCAACATACCAAATGCACTACTCCCCCGATTCTGAGCAAACTGATCATACTGCACAAAAAAATATTACCTACTTGTAATTTTTAAATATAGTCAGCTAAAAAAAAAAAAAATTAATGTGGTCCAGATAAAATCTCCATCTGTAGTCATTAATTCTTCACTAAACCAAAGTAAGAAAGTAACTTTGTAAAAGGGGGTAATAAAGGAGTGAAGGGAGAAAGACTGACCAGGCCACAACAAGGAACAGCTATTAAAGAAAATTCAGTGAGATAACTCATCTACCCCAGTAACCTGTATTCATTCAACTAACAAGTCCTGCCCAAGACATTAACATCAAATCAAATTAGGTTTCTGAGCAAAGAGTACTTCTAAACCATACACCACACACGAACTATGAAAAGCAAGTCAACGAGGGTACTTCATGGGCAATCTAGGCTTATGGCATTATTTCTATTTTTTATGCCCTAATGTACCCCTCTCTTACTTCAAATCATCCCTCTGCCCGCTTCTTAACAGCACTTGTCAAAGCTCTCAAATACAGACACTGGGAAAAGAATAAATAGCTAAAGAATTTAATCACCACTTCACTCATAGGAGAAAACCAGCTATTTTCAACGGGCAAAAAAAAGGCTCCCCAGTGGAAATAAAACAAAATATAAAAAGCTGGTTTTTAAAGCAAATATTTTCCTCTGCTCTATACTACTCCTGCATATCCTACCATTGGAACATTCACTAGAGTAGTATCTAAGTAAATGATAGGAGGCAAAGCTTTTATCAGTAGTTAAGCAAAGTGCTGGGGCCATTTACAATTCAAAGATTCAAAATTTTAGAAGAGGTAACCATGTCAGAACACATCCAGGTTTCAAGAGTTGGGGCTGGAGCTCTCTTAAGGCAATTTTCCAGAAAAGATGTTCCATCTTCTGTGATAATGAACTTTAAAATGTTTTCTCCCCTTGAAAACCAGATATGGTTTTGTCCTTATTAAGGATGGGAGAGCAATCTTGTTTACAAATAAAAGCAAGAGAAAAAAAATATTGAAGGTTTCATTCTGCTATACTTAACTATGATCATAATGATCCCTGGGCTCACAAAATTATTTTTTGGACAGAATTCTACTCTCAAACTCTTTATATGGTTTCACAAGCTACTTAATCAAGTTGCTTAAGTCAGCTGACTGACTAATGCGGCAGTTAATGTTGTACTCCCATCTATCCTCAACTCAAAGCACCTAAAAAGATAAATGCATTATGCACGTTTGTTATGTGTTAGTTCTTGGGATTACCTAAACCAATCACATTTTAATTCCCAGCCTGTTTTAAGGGCAAAGCCAGACGGCAAATGGTTAAATGTTCAAGCTTCATCCTATAGCTCATGTACTTACTTCACATTCCTAGTAAGGCTTTCAGCTTTAGTGGTCCAGAGTTTTAGCTTTAACACAAGAACACCCCTCTTGACGTCTCTGTTTGAGACAGAGCTGCTAGCATTCTTTCTTATCCCTAAGTATCCTGGCTGGGGCGCCCCAATCGGAACAGTATTATTTTCCTACCTCTTAAAGCTTTAGTTGAACTGTTAGGATAATGCTTGCTCCGTAAAAGAATGACACAGAAGAGAAAGAAAAGATTCTATCTTCACCACCATAATAACATAGATGATATACAATGAACACACTGTGAAGAAATCTCTTTAAAGAAAATACAAAGTGTACAATTAATACCAAATATGGGACCTTAACACATTCCAAGCACCAACAATCCATTTCTTGGGACTGCATGTAAACAGCAAAAGCATTACAAATCCATGAATTAATTTTTTTAAAAAAGCCCCCAGGTCAGGTGGCAGAAATGCCCCTCTTCTGCAAGGGGGACAAACTGTCATTAGTGTAACATGGAGAGCTGATTTTCCAGTGAACTTTACTAATAAGAAACACACATGAAAGATTACAGACTTGAGTGAAACTACTCAAGGAACATAAAAGCTAAATGCTAACTGATATGTATATCTTCACACATTTCTTAGGTGAATGGACTCTTTGACAACTTCATTTCTTTTCCAAACTGCTGTGCTAATAATTTTGAGCAGGCATACTCTGGTGGCTCATCGTAACTCTTTAAGGCTCCATTCATTCCTCATATATGTGTGTATGTACATATATATACACATATATATATTTACAACATATATTTCTAAGACAAAAGGAAGTGCTACTCTTGTAGGAGAAATAGGGGATAATCAGCCATAGAGGTGACACCAAAGTTTCCATAAAACAATTAGCATGGAGCATTCCATACAATTGCAATTTTTGTCTTTTGGTTTGGCCCTGAGCTGTTTGTTGCTCCCGCATCAAGCAGAGTTCTGAGTTCTCCTCAGGCAGAGGAAAGGCGAGGTGGGTGGCAGTAAGGGAGAATATGCAGTGCACACTGCCAACCCAGGCGTTTGCTCCTCATGAGGCCTGACGAGTGGTCTTCCCCACTTCCATGCTAAGTGCCTGAGAGTTTTTTTCTGTTTCCAGCAGCTCATCAAAGATCTCCCTTAAAACAAAACAAACAAACAAAAAAATATAGGCATTCAGTGAGCCAAGCCAAAAAACAGAAAGTAGATACTGGTAAAACCTGCATAATCCCATTTGGTGCCTAAATTTTATTAAATAAGCAGCTCATTCACTTGATCATCATCTTAACCTGCAGTGTTGATTTCTGAGAATAGGAGGGAGAGCCAGCTTTCATAAAAACATTACGTAGTTTCCATCAGTATAATTCAGATTTTGTACCTGATACAACTAAAAGACAGTTTCTATCAATAAAGGAGTCTTAAGTTCCATACTTAGATGCTATGGTGTGATGAATAATTAAGGCTGAGTTAAGAGAGAAAATATTCTGGACTTAACAAGGAAGTAAGAAATGAGCCCTAAGCAAAGATAACAAAACCAAAAATTATCAACCACTCAAGTGATGGGAACATTTGATTCTTAAAGGAAGAAGAAAAAGTTGGGTCATTTTTAGCCCATGGCCTCAGATCTGGAAAAGATTCTTACTTGTGCATATAAAAGAAGATGTAACCACTCCGATCCCGATCACTCTGCACGGAAGCCTCTTGGATTTTAGATACCTCTAGGTCATTATAAGTAAACCATGCCTGCTTCTTAATGTCATACACATCACTAATGTAATGACCTGAAAAAAATAAAATCTTAAAGGTGAGGTTTTTAAAAGTTTTTTGAATTTTTCTCAGACACAGAAAGTTTCAGAAAGGGGATAGAAACAGCCACCCTATCTACTTTACCAACCTCCCCAAAATTTCTAAAAACCATTCAAAAAACAACTACAAACATTTAAGGGAGGAATATACCATACCAGGACAACTTCTGACAACAGATTTCCAAGGTTTTCTTGATGCATTCAACTTATACCTCACAAAGCTAGGCACAGAGCAGCCTAATAGGAGTAAATGCTGAAATCATTTTGTCCATTTACCTGAAGAAGAAGTGCTCCCAATGTGACTGACAACACTGATGAGCCGATAGGAATGAGGAAGATTTCCTGTCTGCAAAACAGAAGTGGGCATGACTTTTAACTCATCTCAATAGAATGCAAGACAGTAAATTTAAATTTATTATCAAAGCTGACATGGCTAAGTTTTAGTGTGGGTGTAGTCAGACTTAATAAATTCTACTCCCAACTAAGAATGTATCCTAAAAAAAAAATTCAAAAGAACACACGTATAAAATTACTTACTGTAGCATTACCTTTAATAACAAAAAATTAGAATAGGCCCAATAATATTTGAACAGTTAGTGGTATAACAACTCAATACAATATTGTTCAGTTATTTTTAAAAATTCTATGGGTCACCAACATATTAACTTGTTTTTTCACACCCACATAATTGTGTAACATAACCATAGATCTAAAAAATAGGTATGTTAATGGTTAAGTACTGAAAAACAGAACAAAAAATGAAGAGTTGGTGTGTTACTGTAGGTATTATGGGTAAACATTTACATTTGAAATATTTTTTAATATTAAAAAAATATTGTTAGAAAAAGAAAACAAAACTGAAAAGAGATACTCCTACACTGAGGCAGTACTATTAGACAAAATTTTAGGCACAAATATAGCTATATGTAAATCAGAAACCACTGAAATATTCATAAACTTTGATGCAGTAATTTACTTCTGGGGATTTAAAGAAAAAAATTCTAAACATAGAAAACATCACAATCTTATATAGTTCTTCAACCTATGATTTATTACAGTGAAAAAACAGGAACAACTTAAATGTTCAGTGTTAAAAAAATACAATAAAATAGATATTCATTGGAGGGAATATAACATAGACATTAAAAATAAAACATGTAGCTGTGACTGGTGTGGCTCAGTGGGTTGGGCGTTGTCCCAAAAACCAAAAGGTCACAGGTTCGATTTCCAGGCAAGGAACATGCCTGGGTTGTAGACCAGGTTCCCGGTCAGTCGGGGGCTTGCAAGAGGCAACCAACAGATGTTTCTCTTCCTCTTTTTCTCCCTCCCTTCCCCTCTCTCTAAAAATAAATAAAATCTTTAAAAATAAAATGAAGTATAATAAAATGCTTACAAATACCTAGTCTTTAACAAGCAGAATAAAAACTGTAATTGAATGATGGCGCTTTAAAAGCATACTTAGGGGTATTAGACATGAGAAAAGAATATGGTAAAGTGCTAACTGTAGTTTTGTCAGGACAGTGGGATCCTGGGTAATTAAAACTATACGAATATTGGAAAATGGGGAAAAAGCACTTTAAAGAAAAAGAAAGATAAAAGATTCCAATGTGTTCTAGTTAACAACATTAATTCAACAGTTTTTATAGCTTTGGTAGAACTAAAGGTGATTTAACATTCATATGACTAAGAGCCATGTTACTTCGATATTACCTAACTGCAGGTAAGGTGGTCAGGATGTATTTCTATTTTTGTTTCATTTTGTTTTGAATCTTCTAAGAAATGAGGAGCAAAGGACAAGAGAAAGCGAAGCCACTTTGATGGCTGCCAAAGGGGCAGAAATGACTCTGCGATCGAAACCGAGAGTGGGGCCTGTGCAGATGAAGAGCAGAAGCAATACTGACTGTATGACCAGGACTCCTCAGGGAATAAAACATCACCCACCTCAGCATTTCTCTTCAGTTCTTCAGCCTCAGCTTCCGTGTACTCCATATCTAAAACATCCTCATTTCCAGAGTCCTCATCAGAACCCAATGAATCCAGAAAGGAGTTGTTAAACTCTGAAGAACACAAAGACAGAGTCTTGTAAAAATTTCTTGGAATAGACACAAAGAGATGATTAGGAAGATAAAAAACAGCTTGAGTACACATTTTCTCATTCTAAGGAAACATAAAACATATTATGTTTTCAAAACATATTATCAGGGTTCCAATTCACCTAGACCACTCTGGGGACCAACAAATTCAGGCACCAGGTATCTGTAAAAGAAATGCTCCTTTTCAAGTATATTTATATGAAAAGGGATGTAATTTACATAAAGAAGAAAGCTGAAGAGAACATAATTTTTAAAAAGCATATTTATTTTTAGAAAGAGAGGACGGGAGGGAGAAAGAGGGGGAGAAACATTAATCAGCTGCCTCGTACATGCCCCCAACTGGGGACCTGGCCTGCAAACCAGGCATATATCCTGATAGAGGATCAAACCAATGACCTTTTGGTTCATAGGCTGACATTCACCAGCCAGGGCTATAATTTTAAAGATAATCCAATTTTATTAAATTCCCTATCATAGAAATATTAAAAAAAAAAAGTGGCTTTTTTTTTTTTGGTTGAAACTCTTTATTTATTTTTAGAGTGGCAAAGGGAGAGAAGGAGATAAACATCAATATGGGATTGCCTCTTGAGTGCTCCTTACTGAGGACCTGGCCTGCAACCCAGGCATGTACCTTGGACTGGGAATTGAACCGGGTCAGGTACCCTTTGGTTCACAGGCTGGCGCTCAATCCACTGAGTCACACCAGCCAGGGCATCCATTTTTTTCTTTAATAATGCGCTTCCACTAGAGGAATCCATCTTTACTAATGGCTTCAAATAATCATAGAACATTTGTACATAAATAGCTCTTTGCTTTGAAATATAATTCCACTAAAATCACAGTACTGAGTTGTTTAAAGGACATGAACATGTAAAAATGGAAAGAACAAGAAAAAAGACTATGTCTTCAAAATTCTGGAATCTGAAAAGTAGGTGGTTGACAGACTTAACAGATCTGAGAAAACCAAAGTCAAATCCTAAGCCAGTAAAGGAAAAATTGAGAACCAATCCAATTTACATCACAGAAATCTTCAAAAAAAGATATAACTTGGAAATACCTGATACCTCTGAAACTAGAGGCTAAGTAGGAGATAAAAATAGGAATTAGGTGAAAGTTGTTTGAGAAAACAAACTTCTAGCTCCATTTTCTCCCACTTGATGCTGCTAGCCAATGACAGAAGTGCAGAGCTTTATTCTGTAAAGAGGGTCAAACAGTCTCTGAATCAGGGGAAGCCAGGCACTGGGGAGGCCGTGAGTACCATACTGAAAACAGGACTAGGTGACAGCTTGCATACTGAAGGATGACTATGACTGCTCCTTCTCCCTCAGCCTTATTCTTCTACTTGGCTCCTGGAACTCTGGCAGCCAAATTTTTTACCTCTAGGCAAAGGTAAGAGATTAGAAAATCCTTCTTTAGAAATCTGACCAGCTCAAGAGAAAGCATAAAATATTAACATCATCCCCCAACCAGATCCATTCTGTAAAACTCAAAAGTTGACTAGCCCTAGCTGTTCGTGTGTTCAGGGTATCCAATAATCTTTTAGTTCCCTATTCTTAACCATGAGCCGACAGTCAAGGATTATTAGGTATTTGAGGAAAGCCTCTAACAAGAAATACAGAGACCATAAACACAGGACAGAGCAATCTGGAGGAAACAGAATCTATCCAGGAACAGAAAACTTTATTTTTATTTATTTATTTTTATAAAGAGAGGAAGGGAGGGAGAAAGAGAGGGAGAGGAATAGCAATGTGTGCAATATTCATCGGTTGCCTCTCACATGCCCCCAACTGGGGACCTGGCCCACAACCCAGGCATGTGCCCTGACTGAGAATTGAACTGGCAACCTTTTGGTTTGCTGGACAGTAATCAATCCACTGAGCCACACCAGCGAGGGTAGGGACAGTAAACTTTAAATGAACAAACAAATGAACTACATTTAATATCCTTAGATAATTGAGATGGTATTGTTTTCATGAACCAAACCACACCAAACAGAAAATTACAAGGAAGTAGTCACACACACACAAATCAGTTTTTAAAAATATAAAAATAAAACACTCAAAAGTAGGTTCGGAGTTGGAGATAAGGTCGGAAAAACTTCCCAGACACTAGAGTAAAATGACAAAAAGATGGAAAACTGAAGAAAAGAGATGAGAAGATTAAAAGGACTATACTAGAAAGTCTGGATAACAGGAGTTTCAAAAGAGAAGAGGAAATGTGGAAGGGAGGAAATCAGTGAAAATTTCTTAGAATTCAAGGACACAAGTTTCTAGATTAAAGTGATTAAGTGCCCAGCAAAAGTGCTGAAACAGATCCACACCAAGACATCACTGTGGAATTTCATCACCAAAAAAAAAAAAAAAAAAAAAAAAAAAAAAAGAGGGGGGCGAGGGGAAGATCCTACTAGATTTTAAAGAAAGAGGTCATCTCAGGATAAAGAACAAACAGCTTTAGACTTTTCGTTTTTCATTTTAGAGAGAGAGAAAGGGGGGAAGAGGCGGGAGAAAAGAAACACTGATTTATTATTCTACATATTTATGCATTCACTGGTTGTTTCTTGTATTGTGCCCTGACCAGAGATTGAACCAGCACCCCTGGTGTATTGGGATGACGCTCTAACCAAATGACCTACCTGGCCAGGGCTGCAGAACTTTCATACAGCAACCCTGCAGACAAGACTTCTCCCATTGCCCAGCAGCATGACTACAAACCTGGAATTCTATATTTATCCAGACTATTAATCAAATACTACAGTAGAATGAAACTTGCAAGGTTTCAAAAAAAAAAAAATTCTAAGTCATATGCCCCCCTTTTCAGAAGAATTATTGGGGGAGCTCTATCAAAGTACAAGTAGACCAAGAATGAGGAAGAGTGAGATATACAAAATGGGAGATTCAAACTAAGGAAAGAACCAGAGGGTATTCCCAGGATAATGATTACGGTAGTTGTAACAGATCTCAGGATATCTGTGCCTAGATGTACAGGGCAACCAGTCTAAATTGGAGTGATACAACTTGACGCGGCCATCACCACCACTATAGTACCATCTTTTAAATCTGAGAACAGAATGCCTAGCTGAGTTTAGCTTGAATTCTTATTTGTAACTCTCAACCATGTTCCAGTCAAATTCTTGCTCTTTCCTCCATGTCATGGTGTCTAGACCAGCCTAGAACACTCATTTTGTACCATCAAACATTCTGCTTTGCTCTGGCTGGTGTGGCTCTGTGGAATGAGCACCGGCCTGCAAACCAAAGGGTCACCAGTTTGATTCCCAGTCAGGGCACGTGTCTGGGTTGTAGGCCAGGTCCCCAGTGTGGGACGTGTGAGAGGCAACGACACACTGATGTTTCTCTTCCATTCTTTCTCCCTCCTTTCCCCTCTCTCAAAAAACAAAAAAACCGCTTTGATCTATTTCTGAGAGTTGGAGAAAGACCACAATGATTGATTTTAAGAAAACAGAAAAGTACAGAATTAGCCCACTTCCTGTGACTACATGTTCCTATGGACTTGCAGCATCTGGTTCATATATTAGTTCTGCCAAATGCCATGAGTATGGTGAACCTTATGCTTCTGAATGCTTACTCATAACTGCCCAATGACTTCCCCAGAGTGAGCTCTTTTAAATTCATGGGGAAACTAAAGCCACCTAATCTTCTCCAAGGAGACTTAACAGTGGGAGTGTTACTTTTTCATACAGGTGGATTACAGACAGACTGTCTTTGCTATATAATTTTTTCAAAATAAAAACGTTATATTGTTTAGGGCTATAAATACAGTAAATACTATTTTTAAAATAACCAAGCTACTGCTCTAGCTAGTGTGGCTTCGTCCTGCAAACTGCAACTGGTTGCTGGTTCGATTCCAGCTCAGGGCACATGCCTGAATTGCAGGTTGAGTCCCCAGACAGGGTGCGTGTAGAAGGCAACCAATTAATGTTTCTCTCCCCCCCTTCCTCTTTCTCTAAAATCAAAATTACAATTAAAAAAACAAAAAACGGGAAAAGAAAAAGCAAGCTACTAATGATACAAATGTCAGAGTAGTGGTTTCCTCTGGGAGGGAGGAGAAAGAAAGGGGTATCCAGGTAACTTCAAAGGTTTTATTTCTTTACGTGGGAGGGGTTCAGGCTTATTATTGTTATTAAAAATAACAAACACATTTTTCAAGCTCTTCTCTGTTTTCATTTAACATTTAAAAAAAGGTAAATAAAATACTCTCCATACCTTGAAGACTTAACTCTGTAGCTCTTTTGATGTCATCATCTTCTTTCTGTTCCCAAGCCTCCTAAAGGGACAAGAACAAAACTAAGGTATTAAAATGAAGTCTTGATTAAAACTTATTTAATGAGAATAAAATCAGTTGCTCTAAAAGTATTTGCTAATGATGTTTTCCATAATTTTATGGATGTTTGGACCATGACCAACTGAAGGATGTGGAGAAGTTCTGTACTTTTTTCAACACTCTCCTCCTAAAACACAACCTTGGAGATTAAAAAGCCTTAAATGCTATCTTTTCTAGTTAGCAGTATTTGGCATGCCAACCAAAAGCCATTCAATGTGATATTATGATATAATCCCGTTTTTTCTTACATGTATGAAATACCTGGCATATAGCAAGATACTTAGCAAATTGCTCTTTTCTCTCCCCTGATTTAGAGTATGCACTAAATCCATGGTATAAGTACTCTCACCAGGGCCAATTTTAAGCTACCAATGTGACACTGAATGTTAAGGTTGGAAAGAGGTATGTACGGCCAATCGTAGATAAAAATGAAGCTGAATGCAGAGTTAGAAAGAGGTGTATAAAGCTGGCTCTCCTGACCTGACAGTGAACTGACTCTAGCACACCAATAACCTGAAGTTTTTGACAGCAGGATAAATGTTATTTCCACAAGGTATTATTCATAGATTTTTATTTTTGTTCTGCTGAAGAAACCAAGACACATAATAGATGCTTGGTAAATACTAAATGAATGCTGTTGACTGTTACTTTTCTAAATACATCTGAGATTCTCTTAGAAAAATTAGTACTTCTGAAAATTTCTCAACTAGATGACTAATTATGAAAATAGGGAAAAGTTGACTATAAAAATATTATACTCCCCATTTTCAGAGAAGAGATAATTTACCAACAATGCATGAATAAAGAAAAATATAATTTAAGCAGAATTATTTTATACTTTCCTCAATTTTGGATTTGTTTTTATAGAAGCTTAGAATGAGCTATTCTGCATTATAGTACTGGGAGCAATAAATACTATGTTTGAAAAGCAGCAGAGAATATATCTGCTATTTCGATATAAGAGGAAATAAGATTACTTAAACTTATCCAAGTATATAAAGTCTATGCTGAAAACAGAGACTCCTTTTAGTTATTAATAGAATGATGCAGGTATACCAAACTAAAAAAACTTCATCTTATAACCATACTGTCACATCTGAGAAAAATACAGGGCAGAGCAAAAGGTTTACAGTTGTGAGTACATGAAACATAGTTTCTTCCTGTATTAGTATTTATTAGTTATGGCCCTGGCCAGGGAGCTCAATTGGTTAGAGCATCATCCTGCTACACCAAAGTATTTATTAATTATTGTATTATTTTCCTTATGAACTGTATACCTCTTTTGCCTGACCCTGGAAGTTGGTTTTAACTGGGTCAGCTGACAAGAAATGATGTAAGATACTACTGTTAAGAAATCAGACTTTGGTCTTTTACATTAAAAGTAAGTTTTCTAAAACAAAAGATCACTATATGTTATTTGTAAAACAGTTTGACATATATACATCTTGATGACAACGTAGGTAGGGAGATGTTTTCAATAAATAAAAGGATATAGAAGAGCTGGTTCTGAAATGGTTTTAAAGAAGTTCTCAACCTTGGCTACACATTAGAATGAAGGAGTGAAGTTAAAAGTCTTTATTAAAGGACTCATGGACATGGACAACCATGTGGTGATGGCTCAGGGGAGGGAGGGCTGATGGTAATGGGAAAAAACACAGATTAATCTTTAATAAAGACTAAATTTTAAAAATCATTATTATAATTATTATTATTTTTAAAGAAAACCAAGAAATCTAGTTCTGACTTGTGTAGCTCAGTGGATTGAACGCCAGCCTGTGAACCGAAAGGTTGCAGATTCAATTCCAGTCAGGGCACATGCCTGGGTTGCGGGCTGAGTCCCCAGTTGGCAGCATGCGAAGGGCAACGATCAATGTTTCTCTCCCTCTCTTTCTCCTTCCCTTCCCCCAGTTCTAAAAATAAATAAATACCACCCTCCCCCAAAAAAAAGAAGAAAAAAGAAAACGAAGAAATCTAGATGCCCACACCACAGCCCAGACCAATTATATCAGAATTTCTGAAAGGCAGAACAAGCCAAGCATTACTATTTTTTGAAGCTCCCCAAGCAATATTATTGTGCAGTTAAGCTAGGGACCCACTGTTCTGGTGAAATTAGGTTTCTTAATCTGATTGTTTGTAAACACTAAAAACTAGGCATTAATTCTGGGGAGTCTTGGTAAATCTTTATTACTAACATGACTTGGGTTGCATAGGATTAGTCAAGCACGAAAACATCACCTTTTAGTCTGATACCCTGAAAAAAAAAAAAAAAAAAGGATGAAATTTTTATTTTCCCCAATTTACAGAAAGTTTACAAAATGATGAATAAGTGACTACAACAGTGCAAATAAGCCTGCTCTGGCAAATATAAATATAAAGAACTAAAAATTAAAGAATAGATTACTACATAAAGAAAAGAGCAGATAAATGTGAGCCTATGACTAAAATCTAAATTTCAGGTACAATTTCTAAGAATTTTGTCCTCAAATAATTCACAGGAAAGGATTCAGACTGTGAGAAAATGACCAAAACAAATACACTGCCTTAAAATATTAATGATAAAATCACGGTGTTATACTGGCTGTTTCTAGAGTCTGCAAAATAAGGTTGGACTGGGACGGTCTCTAATAACCCATCTTGTTTTAGCATGAAATGAATTATTGTAATGGGAAGTAACCAACAATATATTTTGTTGCATTTGGATTTTCAAAAACAGAAAAATTATCACTGTATCTGTTTCAAACCCAATGCAAAGCTGCAAAGTTTTTATTTTGTTTGTTTTGGTGGATCAATGATATTGTATTCAAATCACCTGGAACAATGACTCATACCCAGTGAGTGCTTAACACATTAGTTGTTATTATTACTACTACTATCCTATTTCTTGGGAAAGATAGGTGTGGAGAAAGTAGCAATCTGAGTATCTCTTACTTGCTCCTGGAGGCTCTGCGCCAAGGCCTGCTGAAGCTCTTGCTCTTCCCTTTCACGGTCCATATCATACTGCTGAAGCCAATCCACCTCTCCTTGAGATCCTTCTGGGGTTTTGTTTTCTTTATTCTCATCACAGTCTTTAGTTATCTCAGTAAAACTGGCTGGATCTGAGGAAGCAGAACATAACATAACTGGGAAATCCTCTCTAATAAACTGAAATCTCTAGACTAGAGTGACATCTACTGTGCAGAGAGTAATTTACCACAATGGGACATACAATTTCATCTTACTACACCTAGCCTAGGGTTTCTCAATCTCAGAACTAATGACATTTTGGGTAGGGCAAGTTTTTGTTGCTAGGGGAGGGCTGTCCTGTACATTGTAGAATGTTTAGTAACATCCCTGGACTCCTTCTACAGGTGACACTACCAATCCCCTCTCTGGTTGTGACAACCAAAAATAACAGACATTGTGAAATGTCCCCTGGTGAACAAAACTGCCCTTAGTTGAGAGCCACTGATCTACAGCAGAGGCTCTGAAACTTAACCAAACACCAGAAGCACTATGGTTAGAATGGATAAGAATTAAACAGCCATATTCATAGGTCATGTCACATGACCAAGTATTAGGAATAAAGTATTATTTAAAGTAAATTAAGAATTAGGCTAGGCCTAGCCGGTGTGGCTCAGTGGATTGAGCGCCAGCCTGTGAACCAAAGGATCGCTGGTTCGATTCCCAGTGTAGAGCACAGGCCTGGATCCCCAGCAGGGGGCATGTGAGATGCAACCACACATTGATGTTTCTCTCCTCTCTCCCTCCTTTCCCCTCTCTAAAAATAAATAAAATATTTTAAAAAAGAAAATAATTAGGCTAGAATCATTAGGCTAATAATGAGATTTCCCCCATTTATTAACAATGTATGTTAAATGAGTGTTTTTGCATAATAACCAAATAAGCCTTGTACATAATGATTCAAGAGTTCCATAAAATATATAACACATATCTCATGTACCACACAAGTATATGACAACATATATGTTTAGAACATTCATTGAGTTAGATAAAAGAAAAATTAATCAATTTCTTTTTGTTCTTCTTCAGTCTCTAGCCTATGACTAGCTGGGATAAACAGTATTTTGTTCTGGTTATTTAAACTGTGGAGTAACAACATTTCATTATAACTTGTAATATTGGTTAAGTATTAAAGGTAAGTGGGGAGAAGAGGACTCTAACTATTTACCTACCTACCAACCTCAAACACTACCAAAGCAAAAATCCTCACCATAACAAGTTAAGGAAATTCTCATTTAAAAAAAAAAAAAAATCAACTAATCAGTAAGCATTACTTTACAGGTTCATTTTATATAGTTTTAAAATTAGTATATACTCTTTACCTGCTTCAAAACTGCATTTTAACCATTTAAATGTTAGATACTTTTCTATAGCACTGACAACTCTGAAGCTTATAGCTATTTGGTTGTATACTCTATTATCAGCAACTAGTCATCATTTTAAAAATTGTATTGAATTGTTGACTATTTGCCACTAACACTAACTCAATATTCATTACAAGAGTAAAAGAAACTCAGGATATATTAAGAACAAAAAGGAGTATGATCCCAATTTTTAAAAATTATTCTAGAGGTGTTAATGATTTCTTTCTTTTCTTCATGCTTGGAGAAACAATCATTTCCCTAGCCCGGAAGAGGCAGCTCTGAGGTCTATATGAACCTGCCTATCTCTTTGACCTCAGCTTACTGAACCAGGAATAAATAATTGAGTCACAACCATTCAGATTACTTGTAGAAATTTGGAACCGAGACATTCAAAGTTAGAAGATGTTAAGCATTTCAAGTGGAAGAAAGATTTAGGAGTTGAGGCTACTATTTCAGGGCATAAGATGAGCATTACTACTTTTATTATCAAAACATATAAAAAAGGTGATGAGGTATAATTTTTTTAATGAATAATTTTCAGCAATGTACCCATGCATCTCACTCAATCCTGGAATTACACTAGCAATTAATCCATGTGATAGAAAACTAATCAAGAAAGTTCACACTGAGATGCTAAAATTATTATATACCCTGTATTTATCTTTAAGATTATTAGATGAATACAAAAACTATGTAAGATCTATGGGAACAAATATGACCATGAAATACACTTCTAAGAAACTTTCACAGTGGGTCAAAGGGGAATCATGTGTCAAAGCTCAATATTCTTATAGTAAATAAATTATGTTATCTGCCTCTGCCTCCACACCAGCTAAAATCTGCTCCTTTACTACCTTCTATATTTCAGTGAAAGGGATCACTGTCCAGTTTTTGTTTTGTTTTGTTTTTTAGACAGAAACAAGGGAGTCATCTTTTACTTCTCATTTACCCTTCATATCAGATAAACATTCCTTCCTATCTGCTGAATCCATCAAATGTTTTTCTTTTTAACGCCAAAACTTTGTCTTAGGGCACTATTAACTTTTGGTCTGGACTATCGCAAAAACTTTCTAACAGGTCTCACAGGATTATTTTGGTTCTTCTTTAATCTATAAACTACATACAGCCAGAATGATGTTTTTCAAATATAATTCTTCATCAAATACTTGCTTGCTTAAAATTATTCAATAACTTCCTAATGCCTCTGAAATAGAAGTCCAAAATCCTAAACATGGCTTTAGGTTATGTAAAACCTAGTCTCGTCTCATCTCTTGATTTCCCCCCCTTAACACTATGCTCCAGTCATATAGGTCATTTGGAACTTGGTTTTTGGTTTACTAACTTGCTGTGACCTTTCTCATACCTAGGCCTTTGCACACACTGTTCCTTTTGGCTAGTGCCTGGAGACAATGAGACCTTACCTAGCCTGTATTCCTGGTATTCCTTAGTTGATGCATGAGACAGCCAATTGTGTGGGCCCCAAATATCTACTGGGAACCTACTACACCAGGCACTGTTGTAGAAGCTAGGGATGGATACAGTGATACTTAAGGCAGGATGGCCTTTGAGCTCAAGGAGCCTAAGTGCAAAGGCTCTGAGAATGAACTTAGCATATTTGAGGGACAGAGAGAGAAAATGTAATTATGGCTAAAAGAGGAAAGAGGAGTAGAGATGGCCTATGTAAGAAACTTGGATTAAGTGTAATGGAAAGTCACAAGTTTTAGGCAGAAAAGTGACAGTGTGGTTTATGCTTCAGAAAGATTACTTTAGCTGCTCTGTCCACGAAAGAAGGTCTGTAGGAGGCAAGAGTGGAGGAAAAGACATTAGAAATCAGTTGTGGTAGCCGAGGTGAGAGACAGAAGAGTAAAGCTGTAGCTACGAAGATGTTGATCAATTGTTGGATTCAGAACATATTTTGTAGGTACAGCTGGTTGAACTCATTGATGGACTGAATGCAAGGGTATGGAGTAAAACAAATCAACGGTGACTTTTTTTGCCTGAGCAACTGGGTTTATGATGGTACCATGTGCTGATATGGCGAAGGCATACTAGAGGTGTTAATGATTTTTTTCTTTACTTGGAGAACAATACTTGGAGAACAGGGATAAAAATTAAACAGCCAAATGGATATTTCAAGTAGGCATTTCAACATACAAGTTTAAAGCTCAGGGGAGAGATCTAGGCTAGAAATATAAATTTGATATTTCATCAGTATATGAAGTTGTGGTACTACATATCACTTAGGGAGAGAGCTTAAGTAGGAAAGGAGATACAGCTGAGGACAGTATCCTGGAATACTCCAACAATTAAGAGTTCTGATGAGGGAAGCAAAAAAAAACCACCAAAAACAAAAAGCAAACAAACAAAAAACCCCAAAACAAAAACCAAAAAAACTGAGATGAATAGTTGGTTTAGTAGAAAGAGAAAAACTCCCATAGGTACGGTATGATGGAAGCTCAGAGAAAAAAGTTTATAAAATTTTACATGTTAAGAAGGGAGTGGTGGACTGTGAAATACTGCTAATGGTAACTTGATCAAAACACCATTTTGGTGGAGTGGTAGGGATGAAAGCCCACTGGGATAGGGTTGAGGAGAGAATGAGAGGTGATAGGAGAGTGAGAGATGATAAGAGAGTAGAGAGCATGAATTAAACAACTCTTTCAACAAGACTTCTGTTGTGAAGGCAGTAAAGAAAGGGGGCAGTAGCTGAATAAGCACAGAAAGCCCTAAGAGAGTTTTTTAAAGATGAGTGAAACTAAGGCACAACAGACATAATTAGAAGAGAGGGAAGACCTGACCCGTTGCCTGGCCTCTGCCCATAGGCTACTGGCACTGGAGCAAGCTGCACCGGGGTCGGGGGGAGAAAAGAATAGAGGATCTTATATATAGGGTGGGGCAAAAGTAGGTTTACAGAAGTGAGAACGTGAAACACAGTTTATTCTATTACTATCATTTATTGTACTATTTTCCATATGAACAACTATAAACTTATTTTTGCCCCATCCAGTACAGGATATAAAGTACTTAAGTTTGCTCTCCCCGAAGCTGCTATAGTTGTAAAACTAACTGTGATCATTAATATTTTGATAACCTCAGTGTTCTCCACTGGCACAGATAATCTAGAACTAATTGTACATAACTTCCTTTGTTAATTTTAAGATGTAGGACTAAACAAAAAATTAAAAGGCAGAGCTGAAAGGAGAATATAAAGAGATGGGACAAAAGAACTTGTATTAACCAATGATATCTAAGGCCAATAATCATAAGTTTAATAAAAGGGGATTTCATAAGAATACATGCATCAAGAGGGATAAAAAAAGGAATGCCTACAAACAAAAATCATCAGCTTTTTCTTTCCAGAAAAATTGAGGATATACTAATTCTTTTCACTTGAACATAAAATAATTCAAAATTGATGAGGTCCTAACCCCAAGAATACAGAAAATAACTCTGTGATACATTACAATTCTTTTCATCCCCAAAATCTTAGGCTTGATGTACTGAAACACATTAGCTGGCTAAGTGAATATAGATATTAGGGATATCAGAAGGAAAAATCAGAGTTGGATGCAGAAAGAAGGAGTAAAAAATTTCTACCTAAAATTTTTAAAATACCCACAGTACAAGGTAAGGAGGCTCCGCTTGGTTGTTCCCATTGATAACTAGAGAAATAACAAAATATAAATAATAATGACCACAAAAAATAATTTTTTAAAATCTGTATTGCACTTTACATTAGACGTATACACTATCTAACATTCTATTCTTGATCTTCTGAAATTTGTCTGGTAGATCCCCAAACAGTATCAAAGAGGTTAAGTTACCTATTTAGAAATTCATAGCTAGGAAGCAGTATAGCTAAGACAAGAGATCTCTTGGTTCAGGGGTCTTTCTACCATTATGAAGGAAAAGATCCAAAGGAGAATGAAGAACTTGAACTGTTTATATAGTTGACTCTCCACATCTACAGGTTCTGCATCCAAAGATTCAACCAGTCACTTATCAAAAATAACTTGAAAAAAAAATGTTACCCTGTTGCTGATGTGTACTAGTCGTTAAGGACAATGTCAGTTCCATCTGGACTGAACATGCACAGACCTTTTTCTTGTCACTATATCTCAAACAATATAGTACAACTATTTACATAGCATTTACATTGTATTAGGCATTAGAAATAACCTAGAGATGATTTAAAGTATACGGGGGGATGTGCATAGGTTATATCTAAATACTACGCTATTTTATATAAGGGACTTGAGCATCTGCGAATGTTGGTATTTGCAGGGGTCCTGGAACCAATCCCCCATGGATACTGAGGGATAACTATATACTAAAACTTAGTACAAGTTCAGATACAGAAAAATTAAGAAAGAATTATACACATTTCCGAGAGACCAGAGATGAGAGAAAAGTGACCAAAAACTAAACACAAACATTTATTAAATGCACGTTAAGAACACTAACTTTTCTTTTGATGCACACCTGAAGGAATATGGCATATTTTACCATTAGTCTCTGGGTACTACTCACATTATTTACTTCTCATTTTCTTAAACTGTTAACACAAAGCATGAAAGTATTATTAACTCTGTTACAATTATACAGATCCATCTTACCTCCCATTATTTGGAAGCCATTTGTCACTACAAAGCTTTGGACACAGCCATGCCTTGTTTAACAGACATCTTCATTAATCCTACCTGGCTCTGTGATTGTTTTGGGTTTCTCAGTTTCCATAGGGTCTGGATTTTCAGGCATTTCTTGAATATCATCCTCTGCAAATCCAGTATCTGGGCTGCTGGTTGGTTTATCATCATCTACATGACTCAGAGACGGTGAAGCTTCTCTCTTACTTATCTCTAAAACAGCTGCTAGAAGTTCTTCTTCGCTCATTCCATCAAATCCTGAGTTTTCCAATTCAGACTTATCAGGCTCTATTCTGCAAGATTTTGAATCCTAAAGAAAAGAGTTACTTTTAAAGGAAACCTGAATGCCTACCAATACAGCAATTTTAGAGTTTAAAATGAGATGTTTATTTTAGTTCTAAAAAGTTCCTGCTCTTTGATACTTTCAGTTATTTAAAAATCAATATTTAACTCAATTACAAACCTAATATACTTTTACTAATAACTACATAAGAATACATAGTTATTTCCTTGGTTATAGTAAGTGTTAAGTACACTCTTTGTAGAAATTTGGAAAATCCATAAAAATAATAAATTCATTCCACCCTGACTGGTATGGCTCTGTGGATTGAGTGCCAGCCTGTGAACCAAAGGGTGGTGGTTCGATTCCCAGTCAGGGCTTGCCAAGTCCCCAGTAAGGGGCTCTTGAGAGACAACCACACATTGATGTTTCTCTCTCTCCCTTCCCCTCTCTAAAAATAAAGAAAGAAAATCTTTAAAAATAAATAAATTCAACTTCCATCAGAGATAATACTGTATTTTTTCCAGATATACGTGGATTATACTGTAAATATTGTCACTACATTTAATATTCCTTTTTAAACGTTGACAGATCTTATTTTTTTTAATACATGAGAAAAATAAAGAATACATTAACATTATGTAAATATTCAGAAGTTATTTTCTGAGTAAGTTTTATTTTAGGGAGGATTTCTGACTTTCTGTGATTTCTCATTCAAGGTGATAAACCACAAACTACTTCTAGCTTTAAGGTAAAGCGAGAAACAAGTCAGAACAAAAATAACTACTAAAATAATTACTTTACCAAAAGTGAGGTTTAAAATCAAACAGTTACATGAGATGATGCACACTCCTAGAAAAGCATGTCTCGTCAAAGTATTAATTATCATTATGTGTTAAGATAGAAGATAATGTAGTTAAACCTTCACACCCATTATTTAAACCTTTAGTTTATGTGTTTAGCCTGTTGATGTAAAACTTTTACTCTGATTCCACCACATTAACAATTGGTACCAAAATTAAGCAAGTAATTACAATATTTGAGGACCGATATGTAAAAGTAGCTTTAAAGATTTACAGGAGAAAGCAATTTATCTACAACTTCCACTTCTTAAAAGTCTCAGGCCTGGAAACAACCTATTGATGTGTCCATCGATAGACGGATGAATGCATAAAGATGTGGTATAATGAGGGTGGGCTCCTTGCAGGACAGGCTTTCCCTGCTGAGTGTTCTAGGAATCCATCTGTAGCAGTGTAACAGCTGGCACTGTTGTGAAATGCTGCATTCCAATTCAGTGAAATATTTTCTGAATATTCAACACATTTGCCCGTTTCACGATGGGTGATTTATGAGTGAACCCATACTATGCTGAGTGTTCAGCAAATTTTGACCAAAAATGGCATGACCCCATGCCCCACCCTTCCTATTACCTGATCTTAACCTGAGTGACTTTGTTTTTTTTGTTTCCCCAGATGTAAAAAATCGTCGAAGGGAAATATTTTGCTTATGTGGGAGAGGTGAAACAAACAGCAGAAGCACTAAAAGGCACCAAAATCAACAAGTTCAAAAACTCCTGAGCAGTGGAAACAAACATCTTGATAGGTGTATTGCATCAAATGGAGAGTACTTTGAAGGTGACTGAAGTTTAAACATATCAGAATAAATAAAAAATTTTTATAAATAAGTTCTGGAATTTTTTTGGTTCCCTCCTCGTATAAACTATTCAGTCATTAAAAAATGGACATCTTGACCTTGAGGGCATTATGCTAAGTGAAATAAATCAGACAGAGAAAGACAAATACCTCACGATCTCACTTATATGTGGAATCTAACAAACAAACCCAAGCTCATAGATATACAGAACAGATTGCTGGTTGCCAGAGGATTGGGGGTGGGATTGGGTTGGGGTGGGGTGGGGGTGGGTGTGTGTGTGTGTGTGTGTGTGTGTGTGTGTGTGTGTGTGTAAAATGGGTAAAAGGGGCTGAAAGGTTCAAACTTCCAGTTACAAAATAAGTTCTGGAATGTAACACACAGCATGGTGATTACAGTTAATATTGTATTGTATTGCATATTTGAAAGTTGTTAAGAGAGTAAATCTTAAAAATTCTCATCACAAGAAAAAATTCTTTTGGTAACTATGTATAGTGATGGATATTCACCAGACTTACTGTGGTAATCATTTTACAATATATGTAATACAAATATCAAATCATTATGTTGTTCCCTAGCTAGGTGGCTCAGTTTGTTGAGTGTTACCCTGCACACCAAAAGGTTGCAGGTCTGATCCCTAGTAGAGGATATACGAGAGGCAACCAATCGATATCTCTCTCATATCAATGTCTCTCTTTTTCCTTCCTTCCTCTTTCTCTAAAAATCATTAAACACATCCTCGGGTGAGGATTAAAAAAAAACAACAACAAAAACCCCTTATGTTGTACACCTGAAACTAAATACAATGTTGTATGTCAATTATACTTCAATTAAAAATAAGCCTCAATCCATCTTTAAACAGACTGGTTTTGTAGCTACAGAAAGCATACTCTAAAACTAGTGTTTGAGACCTCCAGTCAAGATGTTCGCATAGGAAAATGCGGTACTTGCATCCTCCCACAAACACACCCAAATTACAACCAAACTACAGAACCACCATCATTAAGAACTGCCTGAAATCTGGTTGAATGGAAGTGCCACAACTAGGGAACTGAAGAAGCCGCATTGAGACTGTTTGGATGTGGGGAGGGGTAGAGATGTGGAATGAGCTGGTCCCATACCGATGTGTAGTGAAAAAAAATCAGGAGGGATATCTGAGCTCCAGAGGCCCTGCAGACCAGAGTTCCAATGCCAGAGAGAGAAGTGCCCATAACTTCTGGCTGTAAAACCCAATGGGGATTCAGGCTGAGGAAGACGGAAGGCTTCTGGAATTCCAGGGAGTTACTCTTAAAGCGCTTATGCATGGACTTACTCACTCACTCTGAGCTCCAGTGTTGGGCAGCCCCTTGAAAGGCACCAGAGACATATGGGAAGGAACAGAACTGTCTGGCAGCAGAGAGAGAGCTGGGGGGTAAGGGTGGATAGCTTTCTCCCAGAGAGAAGTGTTGGCAGAGGCCCCTGTCCCTTTGATGAAACCTCTTCCAACAGGGCTGGCAGGCTGATAGCTGAGACTGGTCAACCTGGCTCAGACTGTTCACGCCACCCTGGTAGTTCCCTGAGTCCCTGCTCTACCCAACTTTTGGGCCCACCCAGGCTGTTTCCCTTGGCTTTTCCATTTGAATGACCTGTCTTGGCTCCTGCTTCAGGTTTTCCTAAACTTTCTCAAACATGAAGCATCTGGCTTCGGTGTACTCTGTCTCTCTAAGTGGCCCCAGAGATGGCACTAGTGGCAGCTGGCCTCAGTTCACAGCTTGGCCTCACCTGGGCATCTCTAAGCTCAGCCAAAGTAGAAGCTATCTGCATTTGCTTTGTAGCTTATGCTAGGTGGCCCCAGGCAGAACACAGGCAGCAGCTGACCATGGCCTGAGCCTCCTGGGAGGCCCTAGAGCCAGAGCACCCAGTGGACAGCTTCAGACCACATTGAAGCACCACCCCACAACCACCTCCATGAGCAACACACTCAAGGGGTGGACTTAGCAGGCACCAGAATCCCACTGAAGTGAGTCTTGCTTTGTGGGGTGGGTCCCTGCACAGCTGATCCTCCATGGCAGTTGGTGGTCACAGCCAGTCCTTGCAGCTGATCAGCCTGGGGGCAAATCTTTCCCACTGACAAGCCAACAGCAATCAAGGCTCACCTACAATAGGAAGGTGTACAAAGCTGGAGAGCCAAGCTTGGGTGATCAGAGAGGTTGTACCACAGACCCTAGAGGACACCTATTGCATAAGGCCATTCTACCAAGCCTGGAGACATAGCTCTATCGAACAGACAGAAACAAACACAGGAGGGAGCCAAAATTAGAAGACAAAGAAACATGTCCCAAATGAAAGAACAGAACAAAACTCCAGATAAAGAACTAAACAAAATGGAGACAAGCAATCTACCAGATGCAGAGTTCAAAACACTGGTTATAAGGTACTCAATGAAGTTAGGGGAAGAGTACATGAACTTAGTGAGAACTTCAACAAAGAGGTAAGAAACATAAAAACAGAGCTAGAAGATATACAAAAGAACCAGTCAGAAATGAAAATACATTAACTGGAAGGAAGAATACATTTTAAGAAATCAACAGTAGAGTAGATGAAACCAACAATCAAATTAGTGACTTGGAATGGAAAGAAGCAAAAAACATCTAATCAGAACAGCAAAAAGAAAAAAGAATTAAAAAAAAAAAATGAGGATAGTGTAAGGAGCATCCTGGACAATTTCAAGTGTACCAACATTTGCATCATGGGGGCACTGGAAGGAGAAGAAAGAAATGGAAAACTTATTTGAAAAAATGACAGGAAATTTCCCTAACTTGGTGAAGGAAACAGACATACATGTAAGTCCAGGAAGCTCAGAGAGTCCCAAACAAGATGATCCCAAAGAGACCCAAATCAAGACACATCGTAATTAAAATGCCAAAGGTTAAAGACAAAGAGAGAATCTTAAAAGTGACAAGAGAAAAGTAGTTTACCTACAAGGGAGCTCCCATAAGACTGCCAGCTGAGTTCTCAACAGAAACTTGCAGGATAGAAGGGATCAGCAAGAAATATTCAAAATGATGAAAAGCAAGGACTACAACCTAGATTATTCTATCCAGCAAAGCTATCATTTAGAATCAAAGGACATATAAAGAGCTTTGCAGACAAGAAAAAACTAAAGGAGTCCATTACCACCAAGCCAGTATTACACAAAATGTTAAAGGGTCTTCCTTAAGAAGGAGGAGGAGGAGGAAAGGATATAAAATATGAACAATAAAATGGCAATACTTATCAACAATTGAATCTAAAAAACAAAATAAATGAACAAGCAGAACAAAAACAGACTCACAGGTACAGAGAATATTTTAATAGTTGCCTGAGGGGAGGGGGTTTGGGGGGATGAGTGAAAAAGGTGACAGGATCAAGAAGTACAAACTGATTGTTACAGAGGAATGTAAAGCATAGCACAGGGAATATAGTCAATAATATTCTAATAACTATGTATGGTGTCAGATTGGTGCAAGATTTATCAGGACGATCACTTAGTAAGTTATGTAATGTCTAATCACTGGGAAGTACGCCTAAAACTAATAAAATGTATGTCAACTATAAATGAAAAAGAAATATTAAAAACATAAAAGTAGCATTTCAACAGATGCATTAAGTTTATGATATATATTGTGTACTAAATTTTCTGATGCTGGTTATAAAAGGCATTTGTTTGGACAGTAAGAGCTATACAAATCTTTGTCAGATATTCTGGTGAGAAATTACCTACCTTTTCCAGGTCTTCCTGCTGCTGTTCAGAGCCTGACATTTCACAAAATTTCTGGCTAAGGGCCACAGAACGTTTTAGCTCATCCTCACTGTCTGAATCAAGGCATAAAGCCAATAAGCTCTTGGATTTAAAGGGGAAATACCTGTAATTCAAGGGGAAAAAAAACCCTATTTAAGTCTGGTAAACATTGTTCTTGTTATTCTTTAAATACATAAATACCAAAATAAAACAAAAAGCTTTTCCTATATGGAAAAATAATATGATAGGAAAAAAAGATGTATCAAAAGGTATACTTAAGAATTACCTTTGCCCCACTTCAAAGGAGTCATGCTTTGAAAATTAGCTTATACCACTACATGTTATCAATAAACCAATCACTTTGTGCCTTTTTTCTTTTAATGATCAGCCCCAAAGAAGTTTGTTATTGTCTGTATAAGGCAAGTAATCCACCGAATGCATGCAGACATAGCAATGAATAAATGTTGTTGACAGAAGAGTATGAGAACTATTTTTGATCTTTTAAATTATGATCCATGTACTTCAAAAGTAACAGTAACATTCCACTTATCCACTTATATGTAGGTCAGACTTGTGGCAATCTCTACCTTCCAGAACACAGGGATACAAAAGTAATTAAAAAGCATCTGAGGAAGGTAGCAGTTTCAAAGCCCATGTACTTTATTTACTCTTTAGACAGGGGCCCTTCTTTCCCAGAAAATGATGTATAAAATAATGTAGCAAGTTCATCAAGAAATGAGAGCTAAGAAATAAGAGAGAATAATCACAAAAAGGACAATGAAGAACTATACAAGTCATTTAATGTAAAGGTAAACCATCTTGTAAGATAATGCCATCTGAGGGCATTATCGTATTACAACACAGTGCAATAACTGACACTCATCATGTTGATTCCAAGTCATTACAATATATTTAAATTATCTTCAGTATATTTTACTTAGAATATAGGGATTTCTAGAATGCCATGGAGTATATAACCACCTAAGATGGTTAAATTTTTTTAAGATTAATTCTTAAAAAGGCAAGCTTCAGTTATAGAAAAATTCATTTATGTGAAATATCAAATACTCTTCAATTACACTAGATAAGTAAGGTGTTACTGTGTTGGCTTCCAAGTGAGCTGAAAATAAATTAAAGGAAAAAGTGGTAAAGGTCAAAGAGCACAAGCTTTCTTTGATGGAGGTTAACATAAATTCATATGCTGTACTAAAAAAAAAAAAAAGTAAAATGGAAATTGGAAAAAATGCAATTAATCTAAATGTGAAAACTGTAAATAAACATATAGAATGATGTCACCAAGAAATAAGAGGCCACAATGGAAACCAGGAGAATTGCATAGCAATGTAGATCAAAGAAAAGAGGCAAGTGGTCAGTGATAAGCCCAAACATGGTCTGTGGCTGAGAGCAGCCAGGATATCACTGCACTCCAGCCTGAACACTTGAATAGCCTCCCATTATGTCTTCAGAAGGGTTTTTAGTATAACTTAGAAAAAGCCAATTAGCCATCTCAATTTCTCATTTCTGATTTTATGCTCACCGAGTAAAACTGAACATATTAGTTTGTTTATCCAGGTAAATGCTGAATGAGGGTGACACCTGGTTACTAATAACACCAGGGTCAAATGTGACAAAGGATACTGTAGAAGAACCAATGGTATTCTGGTTCATAACTCAGCCTCTTTTAAGTTTGATCGGCATGACAGGTCTTCTAGGGCCTAATATCCTTTATTGACCAACTCTCAAATTCTCATACCAATAGACCCTGGAGAACAGATGACCATGCCAAGTATCATGAAGCTCAATGAAATCATCTCTTTCTTGAAACTACAGTGATCTGGTACATAAAGAGTGCATTCCATTAATAGTTACTATATTCACAGAAGGCAGCTTGCCTGTAGTAATGAAAAATATTCATCCTGTAAATGCATCACTTGCTCACTTTCTAAGCAGCCAAGTGGTATTGCTCATTTGTATCTTGAGAACGGGCAAGAGTATTCATATCGGTACCATTTCAGATTTCTAGTCATGTTAGTCATCTGGTTTTAATTGCACTGAAAAATAATTAACAGGAGGAAAAGAAAATAGCAATTCCCAAATGTCATTTTATGGTAATATAAGCCCCCCCAAAGCCCGTAAACAACAAAAGTGTCTCTTTTCTAAAAGTACTTTGGGACACCAAATTTTTAGAAAAACTAATTTTAAAGACCAATGACGAACAAGTCATTTAGAAGTGTCTAATCAGGAACTGTGTAGTTCTAGTTTAACCATAGAAGAGGTATATTTAAAAAAAGCATTTGCTTCCCTTCTTGGACAAACTTTTGGTCTTAAATAAATAAATAAAACATTTGTAGAGCAGCTACATTCTAGTGTGTGTTTGTTTTTTGTCTCCTTTCAGAACAGCTCCAGTTCACTGTTTAAGACAAGAAGTCCCAGACTGATTAGCAACAAATAAAAAGATATTTTGGGATCTCCATGCCTATCTTTGAAGAACAGTGCTTTGTGCCAACATGGGTTATTTCAGTCCTTCAATCCTTAAAATTCCTTGCATTCAGTCAATTTCTAGAGATTTAGGATGAACATATGACATATTATCAGATGATTTAAGATGTTTTAGAACAAAATTTTGAGAGGACCATCTGAAATTGTTTCACTGTTAAAAACTTACTATAGCCTAGATTATAGTTTAAAGCAGATTCAGGAAAATTCCAAAGTAACGTAATACAGAGCAGTTATCATGCAAAAAGAGAAACCATAAAGAAAAGGGGAGGGAATATTCTTGGAAATTAGGGTTAAGCCAAATCCTTAAAAATACAAATTTTGGGTACACAAGAAATATAACTCACTTTGAAGGTGTAGAAGGGCTGGTGATGCAGGAATTCACCATTTGAGAGGCTTTCAATGGTCTAGAACTATCAGAAAATTAGAAAATATATAATGTATACAATTACATTATTAAAATATATATTTAACTTATAAAATGAATTATTCTGTACTATAGACCCTTATATACCCTTTAAAAAAACAAACAATTATACTACTTTTACTAGCAATAGAGGCCAAAAGGGAAAAGAAAATATTATCTCTGGCCTCTCTTTGATCCAATGACCTCATTAAGTAAACAGCATTGGAAACAAAGTCAAAGGTAACACATATAAAAAGAACAACTTGGGAAAAATTATCTTGTCTCAGTACTTTTAAGCAATAAAATAATAATAGCTCTCATTTTTTGAGGACTTACTAGATATCATACACTATAGTAAGAATGTAAGTGTTTCCCATCACTTAAGTTCACAACTACCTTACTATTTTCCCTACAAACAGGTCAAGGAATTTGTCCAAAGTCTCAAAGCTATTAAATTATAGAGTCAGGTAGCCTGGTTTTGGGCCTGTGATTATGAAGAGCCTACATGATGGTTTGATATAATACTGCTGCCAGAAAGAGTAATAACTACCAGCAGAGGGCAGCTGCATCATGCAAAACAAAACAAAAAAACCCCTCAAACCACATGTATTTCAAAGAAAGGCCATAAGACAAAAATGCAGATATACTAACAATTGCTAGGAGTACATGTTTATTAGTAGACTTTTTAAGGCTTGTAGTATAAATTTATACAATGTTAGTGTATATTTCAATTATTAACCCCTGAGAAATACATTTTTACAAAACTGTATCAATTCACATTAGCAAGTATTCATTCACTTTCTGAAATGTCTATTATTCCACATTAGCCAAGAAACCTGGCTCTTTCAGTTACTAACCATACAACTTTAAGAAAATTACTTCGTTTTCCTGGATTTCCCCTGTAAAATTAAGAATTTAGACAGAATCTCTAAAATCCTTTTCACCACTGAAGTTCTAAACTTTACGACTATCAAACTAGAGTTCAGACATAAAAAATAACTACAATATATGGCTCCAAAGTAATGGAAGTATGCAGAAGAAAGTTCAGAGAAGTCCTAAGGTTTTCCCAGAATATACCATAAAATGAAATAAAAATTAAAAGTTACTTCTTTTCTCATGTAAAAATTTCTAGGAGCCACTAAAGTTCTGTACTTCTACTGGTAATAATACATTTATGAAGACATAATCTATTTTGGGGACCCCAGAATAACATTTAATATCCTGTTTCCCAGATTTGAATATCCCAAATAATTAGTAAAGGCATTTGTTAAAAATATTGATTCCAGACTGACAGAAATGATGAAAACAATTCTTGTATATTAAAACACACACACACACACACACACACACACACACACACACACACACACACAGATTGATAGATAGACTGATAGATTCCCAAGTCCTATCTTAGATCTCACGAAACAGAACTTCTAGGGAAAGTACACAGGAATCAATATTTTAGTGTTCAGGTGACTCTTATGAGCATGCAAATTAAGTATATACTCCCAACATCTATCAAACTGTCTTCTAGGATCTAAAAGCATAAGGGCATTACCTAGAAAGGTGACTAGTTATGAAAGGCAACTAATGTACTTGGAAGAATTTTGCTTAAGCATTTTATCACTTCAATCTATTACTATAATTACTTCAAGGAGGTGGTAATTTAACACAAAATCCCAAAACAAAGTCAAATTAAAATCTCCTCTTAGTCTGATTTTACCCAGGAGTTGTGCTGTCTATCTAACTCAGTCATTCTTGTGATCAGATTACTAAAGCCTTTCTACTTTAAAAGCAAAGGCAAAGAAATTCTCTCTCAAGGACTTACATTGCTGTATGTGCACTCCAACCGAGGGGGAAAGGTGGTTTTGTATTTTCAGTGCAATGTGATGACAGAGTCAGGTATCTTGGAATGATAACTTGCTGCCCAATCTTGTTGTTAAGTGAGAGAGTGATATTGAAGCTGTATCTCTTCAAATGAAGAATGAGGATTCTGAAAACAGGAGATGACATTACTGGTTTGTACACAATAAAGGTAGCTCTCTTATAGGTGAAAAGAGATCACAGCAACTAACCATGCCAAATAGCACTTGATTTAAAGAATACATCTGAACAAACTATAGATTTGGCCAAAGAACACTTACTAAATACCTGCCACATGCTAGGCATTGTGCTAGGTACTAAGAATACAAAAAAAATAAAACACTGACATTAGGTGTATTTAGGCTAAACACAACATTCCTAGAGAAACAAAACACGCCAAAACAAAACAAAACCCCTGTATCAGACAAGAACACTATATTTTTAAATACTAATATTAATATTGGGTTAAATTCTTTACTTCAATGTTACCTAGTTTTAAAAAATAGGTGTTATAAAAGCACTGAAGAAAATTTTAATTAAAGTGTTAAAACAGCCCTATGATTGGTAACTGATTTTTTCCAAGACGATTTCTGACAAGAAGTATTCTTACTGTAGCAGACCTTCTCTGAAGAAAGCTAAGAGAGAAATAGAAATTTCCTCCACTTAGAAGTTCTACAAATTTCATGGCACATCTGGTTTGTGGGTCTGAAAAGGCTTTTAGCTCTGTAAAAACACGTCTTTTTAGTTACTATTGTGGCAACCTTTTCACCTCCGATAGAGAACATAATCTTTCCCTGATGGACTCTATATACTCCGCAGTGCACAAGAACACTTGAATAACAGAATTTCAGAACTCTCATGGGAATAAATCTCGATTTTAGGCAAAAATAATTTCTGATTTATGGTAAACGGTTTCCTTTCCATATATATATATACACATAGACCTTCACGACAGAAGCCACAAACTCAAGAATTTGTAAATTAAAGTTATTAACTGTATTTTTCTTTTAAAAAGTATGTTATAGAGCTTATAACCTTTAAATGCACAATTGAGAAAACACAAGCATACAAATGATGTGAAGAGACTAAAACTAATATCAGATGTCAAATATTTTGACTTAAATTTTCAAATAATACCAAAAATAAAAGATAATATGAAAGAGACAGATGACAGAATTAATATTACTGATTTATAAAGATGAGATGGACTAGAAATGAACAGATTTGATAAAGATGCCAGACCCTTCAAGAAGAATAGTAGATTGGCTTTAATAGTGAAGTGAACAAAAACAAACCAAATCCAATAATGGGATTTATGACAAAAAGTCTTCTCTTTTAGGTAAATTTGTAATAAATTAATCTTTAACATAGGTGACCTACTGGAAAAAAAACAAGAAGGAAAATTCTCCTCAGTATTTTTTTCCACTTTAAAGGCCAAATAGCTAGACAAATGGAAAGGGAACAGACATTCAGCTTGCCAGTTCAAACAAGTATTTTTTTTTAAATTAAATAAACATGATTTAATTTTTTATTGACAGCATTATTGAAATACAATTCACATACTAAATGACTTGCCCATTTAAAGCCTATTATACAATGTTTTTAGTATATTTACTTGTACTATTGCACAATTTTAGAACATTTTTTGTAATTTTATTTTTTAAATTTAGAAATCATGCTTATTCTATTCCAGTTGTCTCAATTTTTACCCCTTTACCCCCCCTTCACCCATCACACTCCCATCCCCCACTCCCACAGTCGATTCCCACTATGTTGTCCATGTCCATGGGTCATTCACACATGTTCTTTGTCTAGTCCCTTCCCCTTCTTTCCACCATTCAAACAAGTATTTTAATTGTACACTGATTTCCTTTGTAAATGACAACTGGTAATAATCCTTTGCCTTAATATAAGTTCCCTCATCTTTCTGCCTCAAAACACAAATGGCAAAGAATAAGTCTCTTAAGTAAGAAATACAGACTATGGTCAACATAATGATAGTGTTATGATTTAGAAAGTTGTTTCTTTAAAAAAATTTCATTTTCTAGAAAGGAGCAGATTATAGACTGTAAAAAGAACTAGTCTCTTGAGGTAAGGTTCCAGAAACTCCACACTCAGTCTTAGAAATATTGAAGCTAATGAAAGAAAATAAAGCACTCTGTAGGCAAAGTACCATATAAATACTTAATGGTAATAATAATCCTGTTTGTGGTTGAGATCTATTCTTGGAAAGAACTAAAAGCTGTCCTATAATCACATAATTTTTATAGTTAGTTTGGTTTTACATTTGTTTATAGAAAACTAATACAATTTAATATCATTCCTAATTCAGAATACTTATTATTACAGAAAGCTTATCAACTTATAAGATCCTCTGAATAAAGGAATGCACAATTTGCAGAAAATTACTCTTCCTATTTTATTTTTTACACATACGTGTATATGTCTGTAGCAGATTTTTACTGAAAGTTTAGGATAAGAGAGGGAGGGGCTACAGGAAGAACAACAAATTTTAACTGAATGTTATACATTACGGAGTTAAAAATCTACTAGTTATTCCTTATCATTATTCCAGAGTCTCACTGACCCTGTCCTCTTGTTGTCATCACCTGGGACTCTGAAGTTCCTTCAACATTCCAAATCTTCCTCCTTTCTTCTGCACTCCAGATTTGCATCCTCTACCCTCTTCATATTTCAGCTTTGCTGTCTTTCTTTACCAATCCGTTCTGGTAAACCTCACTTATTCAGTAATATTACTAAGTACTTTAAAGAAGAAAAATTAAAAGAGCAATTAATTTTACCTGGGCAACCTGTTAAATTTGTGCCTGACAAGAGCACACTTCCCATTACACTTCTCACAGGAATACTCAAGTTCTTCTGTCTGTAAAAAGACAGGAGGGAAAAGTAAAGTAGTATAAAGTTGAATCAGCAGTATCCCATTAAATGCTACTAACATTCTCCTGTCATACTACTTCAGTGGAATGACAACTCTGACCAATTTAACTGTGTCTAGAGTCACAAACTTTACTAAATTAAGACCTAATCTTCAAAGTATAGTTATAATATGTTCTATTTCAGAATTCCTAATTTCCTTTTTCTTTTTTTTACCAAGGAAACATCTCAATCTGTAACAGTAACTAGATTGCATAGCAGCAGATTCTCAACCTTTATACCATGACTACACAAGAAACACTGCCAAGAATATATCCAGACTTAACATTTGGCCATACCAAAGATAAGATCACCTAAGTTCCTGGTCTGTGAGGTGTAACTCTAACCCTTTCTTATAATGGAATTCAATCTTTTGGTAACAGCCCACTAAGAACAACTGCTCTAAAAGGACCAAAGTTTGAGGTGGATATCATTACCTAGAGAAAACTGAAACAAAAAATCCTTAAAAAAAAAGGGGGTAAAGATACCTAGGAAAACTTCAAATTCTACGGTAATAACAAGAATAGTAAGGAATGATTAAAACAAAAAACAAAACAAAAAACCAGAGTATTTATCTTTTGGTGGAACTAAATGTTCATCATTTAAAGAACAGAAAGGTTTTTTTTAACCTTAGGAAGCCAATTCTGCTCATTTGCTAAAATAAAACAAGAACCACTACTATAAAGACAACGGGTAGTCCTGGCAAGTTTCCATCAGTTATAAGGACTGCTACACAACAGATCCCAGAATATCTGTAACATTATATCACAGACACAAATATGAATTTACAGCTTGGGATAAACATAACTCTTCTTTGTTGTTTCTAACAGGGAACATACAGCCTAAAGAAAGCAAAGAGTATTTTTTATTCCTCAGATCTTATTACACTCACATGTATAGTGTCTCCAACTTTAACCCACATTACCAAACTTTAGCATATGTCATTTCTTTTTTTATTTTTTCCTTTTTTTAAATTGTTCAAATACATTTGTCTCCACCTTTCCACCACCACGTTCCCACTTTCCCCTGTCCCCCTCCCCCACCTCCCTCCCTCCCTCAATCCTTTCCCACTTTAGCTTTGCCCATGGGTCCTTTATACATGTTCCTTATATGCCACTTCTTATGCTTCAAATTAATATTTGTTTACAAATAGCTGCTTCTAAGGTTGTCTAAAAAAACACTGAGTTAAATGTATAATCTACTTAAGCAGTCAATTTTCTTCGATGAGTTAACAATGAGATTAAGCTTTTAAAAATAAATATCATTTATAAATATTTCTCATTTGTTTTCCCTGCAAGAATTTTGTCCAAATTCTGCCTTAAAGAAACCAACTTCAAATATAATTATTTATGATGTATAAAATTTAGTTATGTGAAAATACCAAAAGATATTACTTGCCCTAAAGAAAAGATCAAGAGAATCTTGAATTGACCGTGGAGGGAGTGGCTTTTTCCTTCGAGGAAGGTCAATAGAGAGGTCATTAAACTGTTCTCTTTTGGGAATAATCTCTCCACATCTGTAAGAATAAAGGACGACAAATCTAAGCATTCCGAAGCCTAACAGCAATACAAAATAAATACAAATATACTTCAGAAACACTGTGCCACTACAGAACTTACCAAGTACTGACCAACTATGACTAGGCGTAAGAAATATACAATATTTAAGACATGCTTACTTTAACCCTTATTAAATAAACCCAGGTAAAACCTCAATTGCAAGTATTTAAGCACTTTCTTAAAATGTGAAAAGGCTCCGAGGTACCAGGATCCTGGCATTTTTAAAAAAAGGCAGGAAGCTAGTTTGGTTAGAACAAATGAGCAAAAGGAAGTGTGGTAGGAGATGAAGTCAGAGTGTTAACTAGGGAATATGTGTTGCTCAAAGACAGATCATAAAGGGTTCTGTAGATCATAATAAGGATTTCAGCTTTTATTTTAAAGGTTACAAATAGATTGTTGACGTGAACTAATTTCCATTTTTTTAAAAGATATTTATTTTTAGAGAGAGGGGTAGGGAGGGAGAATGAAAGAGAGAGAACATCAGTGTGTGGTTGCCCCCTACTGGAGACTTGGCCTGCAACCCAGGCATGTGCTCTAACTGGGAATCAAACCAGTGATCTTTTGGTTCACAGGCTCGCACTCAATCCATTGAGCCACACCAGCCAGAGCATAATTTCCATTTTTTAAATGGATCATTTTGACTAATGTGTTCAAAATACAGCACAGAGAAACAAGGTCAGAAACACAGACTGGTTTAGAAGAAACAGCAACACTTCAGAAAAGAGATGATAGTAGCTTAGTCCAAAGTAATGGCAGTGGAAGTAGTAAAAAGGGGTCAGAGTCTGAGTGTATTGTGAATAGCTGGGTGTACTGTGAAGAGCTGGGTGTATTGTGAAGAGCTGAAATGAAGGGCTGTATTGTGAATTTGCTGACATCAGCTGCAGGGGTGCAAGGGAAAGTAAAGAGTTAAGAAATACACCACATTTCTGGAACTGTCAGTACTGAGATAAGGAAGACTACAGGGGGAAGTTTTATAGGAAATATTAAGTACTTTAATTTTAGATATTTTAAGTTCTTCAAATGGAGAATTCATAATTCTTCATATTTGAGAATGTATTATTAATATACTGAAATCCCATGTAATAACTGAAAGCCAGTCAATTAAAAAAAAAATAGGTATTTTGGCAAACTGGCCAAACTAACCTACAGCCAGAAGGGAAAGAGGCTAAATATGGAAAATTACCATGAGGAATAAAGTATGTGAAATCTTCCTTCAGCCAAAATTATTTTTTGTTTCAAGAAATGTCTTAAAGAAAACTACTAATAAAGCAACCAAGGCAAGACTTTTGAAGAGACAGCTGTAGCCCTGTAGCTACAGCCCCACAAAACCTTGTAGCCTCCTGCACTTGCCAAACCCCTGGACCACTGTTCAGCCTGGCTGCCTGGCGTGCCTGCATCCCGTGAGCAATGTCACTTCATGCACTGATGCACACACCTCAACGGTACACCCCGCATCTGGGTGCTGCACAACTGGAATGCCTGACTGGTGCAGTGCAGCAGCCACCACTTTGATGTAGTTGATTTTTTCTTTTTCTTTTTACCTTGAGGACATTCTTTCATTGCTTTTATAGAGAGAAATAGAGGAAGGAAGGGAGAGAAACATTGATGCGAGAGAGAAACACTGACTGGCTGCCTCCTGTACACACTTGGACAGGGGATGAACCTGCAACCTAGGTATGTGCCCTGACTGGGAATAGAACCTGTAACCTTTTAATTATAGGACAACACTCTGCCCAGGTGAGCCACACCGGCCAGGGCTTCATGTGATGTTCTTTCCTCCTGTGCTGCCTGCGGACATTTCTATCACAGGCAACTGAAATTTGCCTATCTAAAGAAATTTGGTTGGTACTCCCACAATTAAATGAAATAACAATCAAAAACTTTGTTTCTCTCTCTGACTTGAACAAATTTTGTTTGGAAAGCACATCGCAAGAAAGGGAAGGATGGCTGTCTATCATATTATTGGGCTGGCCACAAAGTTTTAGTTTTTTCCGTATGATGGCTCTAGTAGCAATTAGTTGTCTTTAACTTCATTCAGAATAATTTTGTTAGAATGCATTGTGACAGCTGTTACATCAGTGTGCATTTAAAAAAAAATCAAAATTGGTGAGTTTTTGTGCAGCCATTTAAATACTGAAGATGGAAGATAATATAGAACATTTTCGGCTTATTATGCTTTATTATTTCAAGGAAGGTAAAAAAAAAAATGCAACTGAAACGCAAAAAAAAACCCCAACAAAACCCAAAAGATTTGTGCAGTGTATGGAAAAGGTGCTGTGCCTGATCGAACCTGTCAAAGGTGGTTTGCAAAATTTCTTGGTACTACTGACATTTTGGCCAAATAATTCTTTGCTATGGGCTGTCTTATACATTGGAAGATGCTTAGCAGCACTCCTGGCCTCTACCCACTAGAAGTGAATAGCTGGAGATAGCTGACATACTCAAAATACCCAAATCAATAGTTATTGGTGAAAATAAAAATCGTGTCTTTTATTGTACAGAAAAAACTAAACAAACTCTTTGGCCCACCCAATATTAACTGCTGATGGGCTCTCTAATTTCTACAAGAAGATAAGCTAAAGACCTGGACTTTGTCTTTAAAAAATAACTTATGCACTGGAGGGAAAGGGGCTGAAGAAATCACAAAGTTAAGAAATGTCACAGACTAGTGTCTATATTCCACATGACTGTTCGAAATTCTAATAAAAAAATACTAGAATGTTATAGCTGGAAGAGGCCTAAGTGAACACTACTATTCTGAGCAACCTAAGAAAAACAGACATACATGGAAGCCAAAAAATGGACAGCCAATATATGGGTGTTCAATATTTCTTTAAAATGTTCCAGCAAAGTAGTATTTAGAGAATAATTTCCTTGAACTAAAGAAAACACGAATCTTCAGATGAAAAAGCTCCACTGTATTAAAAGCAAAATTAACAGAAAGTGTCTATACCCTGATGTAGACTAGTGAAACTGTGAATTTCCAATAAATAAGGAAGATTTTCAGGAAGAAATAGATTACTCACAAAATCAGGTTTCTTCCAAGTGACACAGAGCGACAAGATCCAACGAAACAGTATACATAACATGTTGAGGGGTAAAGCTACAGTGACTGAATATATCTGTATTAAGTCATGTATAAAAATCATAGAAATAATTCTCACTTATATGGGGACTGTGAAGAATTCCACTCTCTTTGAAAGACTGTATTCAGAGATGTACTAACAATAGCTGGAAGAGCCCTGACTGATGTGGCTCAGTTGGTTGGGCATGGTCATCCAGCAAAGCAAAAGGTCACCTGTGAAATTCCCAGTCAGGGCACATGCCTGGGTTGCAGGTTCGGTCTCCAGTGGGAGCAAGTGTGAGCATGTGTGAAAGGCAACTGATCGATGTTTCTCTTTCTCCCTCCCTTACCCTTCACTAAAACAATAAATAAATAAAGTCTTTAAAAAAGAACTGGAAGATTAACCAAAATACAACCTTTTGATTCGATACAATGAGCATGGGAATTAAATGTAGAAAGTAAATCTGAATAACTAATGTAAACGTGGTTAAAAAGCATTGTAGAAGTTAAAAGTAATTCAAATTTTGATCTATTTTATAAAAGTGCATTATTAATAAATGATTTGGTTCAACAATATAAGCAACTAATAGGAGCAAGTATTTCCATGCTTAAAAGAACAAGTATTCCCAAAGAACTTGATATTCCACACAGTGATTAAAAGAAAACACACACAAAAGAGAGGGTAGATCCAAAATCAACCATTACCACTATTAGCATATGACAAAACATTTAAGTACTCCTTAGTTCTCACCCCACCACACATTTTTATACCAAATAATGACATCGCTAAAAGATGTTTGTATTTATGTTTTTCCATGACAGAAGAAAGGTAAGAATTAAAACCTCCACGAAAGTTTCCATCACTTGCCATAGAGAATTAAAAGGAAAAAGAGGTTTACTGGAGACTACTTACGCTTTACAGATTATGGAGTGCTGAACCTCAAACTCCATATTAGTGATAACAGGGCAAGTGTATACTCTAGTGGCTGAAATATCTAGTAAATTTTCTTCTCCAGGAACAGGTTCAATCTTCCAAGTTTTATTTAATTTTTCCATATCTTCTTTCAGCTGGTCTAAGCACTGACTTAGAAATTCATGAGCATCCTAAGAAGGTATAATTATCTTTAATCAGATCAAGGCATTTTTTTGTCACTGTAACAGCTTATCAACATTGTGACTTATAAAACTAAGCATTTGAAAGTCAATACATTGTATTAAAAAGGTCAAATTTACTCTAACAATTTTACGTACTTTGTGAATAAGAACAAATGATGAATTTTATATTCTTTACTATTAGTGAGATTAGTATGAATAAGTAACTGAATCACTTATTTGTTTTTTTAAAAAAGGTAATTTTAAAAAATAGCCTTTGTAGTTAAAATAGCCCAAGTTGCTGCACTTATAGACCACGTGTATTATTAAACTATGATAAAATACACAGAAGAGTCACACTGAACTTTACCAGAAATCCTCAGGTTTTTCAACCTGTGATGAACACAACATACATATACAAATCTCACTTTAAAATAAAAATCTGGTAACACGCTAAAAATCATTTCAAGTTCCCCTATCTCTAAATATTTAAAAACAATTGGTACTCACATTCTGCATATAACCAGAAAATCTCTCTGCTGTAGCAGAAATGGCATTTTTAACCTTCTTGAGTAAATCTTTTTTGGTCTCTGAATTACAGGTATCTTTTTTAACAAGCAAGTGTGCAAAGCGTCTGGTAAGACAAGAGAGACCAATTTAACATGTTTTATAAAACACTGAATAGTATTATATTTTAAAGAATATTAACATGGCACATTAAATTTTAAGTGTCTAAAATTCCATTATTCTATAATCAATAAGGTAAAAGGTTACTTAGTAAGTATGTAACAACTACCTGATAAGTGCATTGTGTGGAATTTTCTTCCACGGGATACCTTGCTTCAGCAAGTCATTTGCAAACGACTGGAGTGAAAACAGGGATTGTAAAATAGCATTCATATAGCAGGTATTTCCCAAATTGGAGAAGCTGAAAATGAAAAAAATACTTTTGAAGATGATGGTAGTTCCTGAAGTATGTTCACTAGAGCAGGGGTTCTCTAGTACAGCATATATCACAGAATCACCTGGAGGCCTTATTAAAATACATATTGCTGGCCCCAACTTCAGAGTTTCTCATTCTGGACAAAGATGATGCAAAATTATGCATTTCTAACAGGATCTCAGCGGATGGTGATGCTGCTGGTCTGAGGTCCACACTATGAGAACCACTGCATTATAACAATTTAGTTTTATCTCAAGGAAAACCATACACTTTCAAATGAACACTAAAAAAAACTAGGGACTGCCCCAGCTGAAGTAGTTCAGTTTGTTGGGCATCATCCTGTGAACCTAGCCAGTTTGATTCCTGGTTGGGGTGCATGCATGGGTTGTAGGTAAGGTCCCCCTGGGGTGTGTGCAGAAGGCAACCAGTGGATGTTTCTCTCTCACAGGCAATCAACAGATGTTTCTTTCTCAAACTGATGTTTCTTGCCCTCTCTTTCTCCCTTCCTTCCCCTCTCTCTAAAAAAAAAAAAAATAATAATAATAAAGTCAAAAATAAAAATATTAAAAAAAAATATATATAAAAAGGAATGGGAACTTATCCAAAGAGCTATTTGTTCTTAGTAGAACCACTGGGTCATAAATACTGGGTGGAGCAAAAGTAGGTATAGAGTTGTGGGTATGCAAAACAGTTTATTCTTGTATTATTATTTATTAATCACTGCATTATTTTCCACATGCACAACTGTAAACCTACTTTTACTCCACCTTGTACATCGCTGTGTTTAGCTTTAATGGGTACTACACCACTTTTCCCAAGTACTTATTTTTTCAAAAAGGTTTATTTTACTCGCCTTTGAGGACATGTTCATTGAGTTTTGGGGGGGGCGGGCGCGGAGAGAAAGAAGCATCAATGTGAGAGAGAAACATCGGTTGGTTGCTCCCACATGTGCCCTGACAGGGGATTGAACCAGCAACCTAGGTATCTACCCAGATCAGGAAATGAACCAGTGACCTTTGTGTTTACAGGACAACTCTTCAACCAACAAAGACACATTGGCCAGGGCCACAGTACCTATTTTTAAAAACTTTTATTTGGAGATATTCTCAAAGTTTTAGACAAGTTACACAAAAAGAATATTTTTTACCTAGATTCACCAACTGTTAACCTTTTGTACTATATGCTCTATCATTTCATAGCTTTCTACTCTTTCCCCTGAATCATTTGAAAATAAGTTGCAGAAATCATACTCCCTTAGCTCTAAATTCTTTGGGGTTCATTTCATAAAAACAAAAATATTTTCTTATATAATCAGAATATAGTTACCAGCATTATAAAACAATGCTAATAAAATATTCTTATCTACTATACTTTCTTTAATCCAGTTTTGTCAATTGATGCAGTAATATTCTTTATAGCATTTTTTTCCCTCTCTAAATACAAGATTCAGTCCAGGATAACATAATGCATTTAGTTTTCATTTCTCTTTAGTTCTCTTTAATCTGGAATAATTCTTCAGCTTTCTCTTTCATGACATTGACAATGGTGAAGAATACAGTCCCACCCTCCCCCCTCACACTCCCCAGTTTCTTAAAGGAATGTTCCTCATGTTGAGTTTTCTACTTCTTCATGATGAGATTTAGCCCAGTCTGGAAGAGTTCATAGTAATGCACAGTGATACTGTGTCCTCCCAAGGGCACCACATCCAGCAACACGTGGCATACGTACTGCTCACTGGTGACGTCAGTTTTGAAAATCCTTAAAAACTTCACACTATGAGAAAGTATCAGGGTATGGAATCATCCTACCACCATAAACAATGAAAAAAAATAAAAACAAAAACACTGGACAAAATGCTGGAAAATGGGCAGCCCAGGACTGTGATCCTTAAGAGAAAGGAAACAGAGTCAGCTGTACCTTTATGCCAGCTTTCAGCCTGGAGGCAATTTGACAACTGCAGTCCAGGCAGAGGTCCCCAAAAAGAACTCAGAAATCTTATTAAGTCAAAAGAAAATGGGAGTTTGAGAGTATGAGATTGCTAAAACTTCTGGAATCAAAAGGAGGGAGCCGTGCAAAGGAAGTGCTCTACATATCTACACAAAAGACTGCTTGAGCATTCAGCTAAATACCAACCTGTGCACATTTAGGGTGAAACCCTATGACACCAGGCAGAAGAACTTCAAGAAAAGAATGATTGCTGGGGAGCTATCAGCCAAACAATCTCCAGAGCTCATGATGGACCCAAAATTGTTTGAGTTGCGACTAGTCAGAGTGAAGCAAGAGACCTAGATGAATTCATGGGATATTAGTAGAGACCCCTGAGGGCCCATGCTCTAGGGAATGAATGAAATTAGCCTTAAAGGCCGCTCTAGATTTGACCCCGAAGAGCTGAATCACAAGTCTTAAAATAATCAAATCCAATTGCAGATATATATTAAAACAATTATACATATGCTTCATGTGATCAAGAATGTGAAGGAAAACATAAACACAATGAGGAAAGAAATGGAAGGCCTAAATCAAACTTCTAGAGATGAAAACACACTATTTGAAATGAAAATTTTACTGAATGAGATTAACAGCATATTAAACATCAAAGGAAGTATCAGTGAGCTTGAAAACTCAGCAACATATCAAAAATGAAGTATCTATATTTTTAATATATAAAATTTATACATTTTGTTATAATCTAAAATAAAACACATTTATAAACTTTGCAAAATATTAAATATAATATATAGTTTTATTTTATATAACCTTTTATATCCTGACATATTCTCCTTTGTTGGGTATCAGGACTGCAATCTCTGCTTACTTATTGTTTCCATCAGACTGCTAAACCTGTCTTCTTTATTTTAAACCTTTTAAAATCACTGTTCTAGGATTATCTCTAATACACAGCACAGTTTAATTTTGCTTTATGAGCAAATTTGAAAACATTTTTATTATACGAGAATCCCAGTCTCATTTCCTGGTATTACTTATACATCTGGACTCAACTCTCGTTTTATGTTACAATTTTACCTACCTATGTGGTGTGTTTTAGAAATATTTCTTTTCATTCTAAGCAATATTTGTATTTTTTATTTTAGTGGTTTTATCTGTAAAACCAGTTTTTTTTGTATTTATACTTTTTCCCCTGTATCTATAGTTTATTTTATATTTTTACAAGATACTTTATATTTTTCAAGTATATTTTATTGATTGTACTGTTAGTTTTCCCAATATTTTCTTCCCCTTTATCCCCCTCCACCCTGCATCCCCATACCCCTTAGGTTCATGTCCAAGACATGTAAGGTCTTTGGCTTCTCCATTTCCTATACTATCCTTAACCTCCCCCTTTCTGTTTTGTGCCTACCAATTATGCTTCTTATTCCCTGTACCATTTCCCCCTGTTCTCCCCCTCTCCTCCCCATTGATAACCCTCTTTGTGATCTCCTTTTCTGTGATTCTGCTCTTGTTTTAGTTGTTTGCTTAGTTTTTGTTTTCGTTTTTTAGGATCAGTTGTTGATAAGTGTGTGTGTGTTGCCATTTTACTGTTCATAGTTTTTGACCACCTTCTTTTTCTTAGATAAGTTCCTTTAACATTTCATATAATAAGGGCTTGGTGACGATGAGCTCCTTTAACTTGACCTTCTCTGGGAAGCACTTTATCTGCCCTTCCATTCTAAGTGATAGCTTTGTTGGAAAGAGTAATCTTGGACGTAGGTCCTTGCCTTTCACGACTTTGAATACTTCTTGTCAATAAGGTCTTTTGAGAACAGTCTTATGGAACTCCTTTGTGGTAACTCTCCTTTTCTCTTGCTGTTTTTAAGATTCTCTCCTTATCTTTAATCTCGGGTAATTTAATTATGATGTGTCTTGGTGTTTTCCTCTTTGGGTCCAATTTATTTGGGAGTCTCTCTGCTTCCTGGACTTACATGTCTATTTCCTGTGCCAGATTGGGGAAGTTTTCCTTCATTGTTGTTTTCAAATAAGTTTTCAATTTCTTACTCTTCCTCTTCTCCTGGCACCCTTATGATTCAGATGTTGGAACTTTTAAAATTGTCCCCGAGATTGCTATGCCTCTCCTCATTTTTCTGAATTGTTTCTGCATCTGTTCCAGTTGAATGTTTATTTCTTCCTTTTGTTCCAAATTGTTGATTTGAGTCTCGGTTTCCTTCCTTCCATTGTTGGTTCCCTGTATATTTTGCTTTATTTCACTTTGTATTGCCTTCACTTCTTCCATTATCTTGCAATTCTGTGAGCATCCTGATTACCAGTGTTTTGAACTCTGCATCTGATAGGTTGGCTATCTCCTCATCGCTTAGTTCTTTTTCTGGAGTTTTGATCTGTTTTTTCATTTAGGACATATTTCTTTGTCTTGGCGGTACACCTGTTACATTGTAAGGGATGGAGACTTAGATATTGCCAGGGTGGGGCAACACACTTCACTGTGTGTAGGGAGGGGTCAGAGAAGAAACAATGCCACTTGCTCGGCTTTCACCAAGCTTTCAGTCCCTTCCCCCACTTCCCACAAGCGGATTGTGTCCTTTCAGGTGCTGCCCTGATGCTGATTCCCCGGTGGGTGCGCTTGTGTACGTTCTAGGACCCTGTGGGCCCCTCCAGTGGACTCTCCTGTGAGACTAGCAGTTTCTCCTGCCACTGCAACCTCCACAGGTTTTTACAGCCAGAGGTTTTGAGGCTTTATTTTCCCTTGCTGGAACCCTGGGTTGCGTGGTCTGTCTCACTTCGCAATTGTTCCTTCCAGTTTATCCCCTCACAAGTGTGGGACCATCATATCCACCAGCCACTGCCTTGTTGCACATCCTCTCTGCCCCTCCTACCAGTTTGGATGAATGTTTCTTCTTTAACTCCTTGGTTGTTAGACTTCCATACAGTTTGATTTTCTGGCAGTTCTGGTTGTTTTTTATTTTTAAATTGGTTATCCTTCTTTTGGTTGTGCAGGGAAGTGAAACATATCTACCTATACCTCCATCTGTATTTATACTTTCTTACAGCGCCCTTACCTCTCATTTTTCATTTTTTAAGCTTAGTCTGTCCATTTTAAATGGCATCTTTTGACTTATACCTGTTACTTATGATACAATTACATTATTCTTTCCCTTCCATTTTCTTTTTGTTACAAATGTACTCCTTTGTCAGAAGACTTAATTATATACCATCCTTTTGTATGTGTTCCCACTATTGTTTTAGTCTTAGCTCTCCAGTTGAATATATGGAAGGCTCACCATTTAACTTTCATCAATGCCTCCCTCATCACCTTTTGACTGAATGAAGCTTATACTCTGTAAAGTCCTCAGGAAGAGAATACTCATACAGTACTGAGTTCTTCCATTTTAAAACTCACTTTTAAGTTTTAAAATCCATGTTCATACTTTCTTTCATCAAGCCTCTTGAAAGTTATTTTTTATTATCATGCTTTGAATGATGATGTTGAAAAGTCGCATCTATTTTTCTTGTCCTTATCTTTAAAGTCTAAAAGTTGTACTAAGACGTATCTTGATCATTCAATTTTCCAGGTATCTGGAGGGCTTTTTCAACTTATAGATTCAGTAATTTTATTTCTGGAAAGTTTTCTAGGTTATAGTTTTAAATACTTTTTCTGTTTCACTGTTTTGTTTTTTTCTGCAGGAACTCTATAATTATACATAATTTGGACCTCCCTTGGCTGTTATCCAGTTCAAAAACTTTCTCTCTGACTGACCGTTTACACTTTATCCCATTTTCCTTCCTTGATTATTTTTGTTTCCTTCCAAGACTCTTATTAAATTTTCATTTGAATTTGTTTTGCCTTGGGGACCTTTAATTTAGATTTAATTTCTAATATGATACTGTTTTTATTCTTCTCTATCTTCTGAGTTCAAGTGAGTCATTTTCTTCCTGATTGTCCATTTTGATTCTTAGTTGGAATTCCTAATTCATGGTGTTTTCATATCTTCAAATAATTCAGTTTTGAATGTTACATAACAGTTTTCTTACAGTTCATGTTGGTTTGGGGCTTGATTTTTATTGGCCTTGATTTTTTGATTCATGTTTTCTAATTTTTTCCCCTTACAGTTTTACGTGGAAATGGTTTGTGTTTTTTATATTCTTATTCACTTTGTGGATAGAGTTCCTAATTCAAGCACATCCTCTTCTGCCAGTTTAGTAAAATGAAGTTTCTTTAATGGGTTGTGGTAGTGGTAGGAGAGAAGGAGTCAGAATGTCCTGTTTTCCTTTTATTTCAGCACAATCCTTTATTTTCCTCCCATTTGCTTCTAACCAAGTCTCCAGATTTGGCTGATTCTTTCCCCTGTAAGTAATGCTTCTCTGGGACTGTAACTTCTGATATCACTTACTTTCAAGCTCTAACCTGTAATAAGTGCTATGAACTACCAAGATCCAGACCTATATACACCATTGTGGTAGTTAGTATTTGAATTTCTCTTTCTTATGTGTGGTTTCCCCCACCCCCACTGTGCTTCATCTAAGTCTTCATCTCAAATATATTGTTTTTCATGGACTCTCTTAAGCATCTTATCCCTGTCAGTACCTTACTTAAAACAGTAGGTAATGGGAATACTGCTTGAAATCTGGTTCGCTTCTTTATTTAGAAGGTAGATTAAACATCGTTTTCAAGAAACTTGATGAAGAAAGGATGAACACAGATTTCATGCCAATCTAAGCTTTCAAATATGCAAGATGGAGAAAATAAGTTTGAAATGAAAGGTGATGGAATTCTCACCTGGTAGTTTTCTACTCGTTTCTCTTTTTTTTTTTTAAACAAATGCTCTGCTCTAAGTACATAGCCTACTTGAAATAGTATACTCTAATTCCTACAAGAAGTCTGAAAACAGGAAAACTGTACTTCTAGAAATGGGTACAGATACTATACAAAAATTAACAAAATACTGAAGGTAGACAGGGAGACTGGTGCACCAAGAGTAACTCTTGAGGCCATCAAAAGACTCAGAGGGGTGTGGATGACAGAGATCAGAAGTAGGCTATAAAATGTAAAAAATGAGGCTATAAAAGTGAGACAAATAAGATCAAGGTAGACAAAGACAAGATCTGGATGAAAAATGGTCACAAAATGGGATGGGTAAGACTAATATGACAATTTGAGGCAGACCAATCAGAATGAAGAACAAAGGAAATTAAGAATTAACTGAAAGGTAAACATTTTAGAAGGCAGAGCAGAAAAGAGGCGGCTCAGAGAAAAGAACAATAAAAAGTGAAATATTTTCACTGTAAATTTTATGCTGTTTTCTGCTAAGATATGAAGTTTATAAACTGCTATGGATAAGCCAAATTGGTAAATACCACTCAGTCAAGTAAAAATATAGTATTAAAGCTGGTATAAAAACACAGTGATTTGAGTGAAATTAAAAACAAACAAGCCAGTAGATTAGGGGAGAGCAATTTGGTAAGTGTAATCAAAGATTTCGCCTGACCAGTGTGCCTTAGTTGGCTGGACATCGTCCTACAAAGCAGAAGATTGCCTGTTCGATTCCCAGTCGGGGCACATGCCTGGGTTGCAGGTTTGGTCCCCAGGAGGAGTGCATACGAGAAGCAACCAACAGATGTGTCTCTGTCCATTGATGTTTCTCTCCCTCTCTCCCTCCCTCCCTTCCTCTCTCTAAAAATAAATAAATAAATCCTAAAAAAATTCACAAAGTGCCTACCTTCATCTTACCAATTCCATTTCCAAGAATATATCTTATAGGGAAGTTCCAACTAATACTAAAAACATATGCATATAAAAATGTTCATTCTAGTCTGGATTATAATTGGAAAATAGAAAAATCTAAATGAATATTAGCCTGCTTACAGGTTATATATTAATAATACGAGGGTGCTCATGATTAATGTGAAATGGAAAAAATGAGGGAACAGAGAAGTAACATGACACAGTGCTTAAGAATGCAAGTGGAATCCAACTGCCTAGATTTTCGGCTGCTGTACTACTGACTACATATCACCTTGAGCAAGTTAATTGACTTCCCCAAGGCTTAGTTATTACTTCATCTATAAAAATAGACTTTTAATACATCTAGCTTACTGAGCTGTTGCAAGGATTTAAAGAAAAAAATAATCCACTTAAAAACTTAGCACAGCCCCGGCTGGTGTGGTTCAGTGGATTGAGTGCCAGTCTTGAACCAAGAGGTTGCCAGTTCAATTCCCGGTCACAGCACATGTCCTGGGTTGCAGGCCAGGCCCGTCTGGAGGCATGTGAGAGGCAAATGATCGATGTTTCTCTCACACACCGACGTTTCTCTCCCTCTCTTTCTCCCTCCCTTCCCCTCTAAAAATAAATAAATAAAATCTTCAAAAGAAACAATGATGTCTGACTACCCTTTGAAGTAATCTAAAGATTGTGGACAGCCAGAGGTCATTTAAAAAAAAATCTTAGCACACAGTATCTGGCACATAATAAATGCTTTAGGTAAGATACTACTATTATTATTAGTTTTTATATTATGATCTTATTTTTGTGTTGAATAAAAACATAAGAATATAAAGGACTACAAGTAAAGCCTTGGAGAGGATACAAGTAAAACCTAATACTGAATTATCTCAGTAGTAGGATGAAGTATATGGGATTGGAGGTTACTCATTTTCTACTTTATGATGAATATTTTATATGTATATATATTTTCAAAGTTCAAAAACTGGACCAGATAATGAACTTATTTATGGATGTGATAAATCTGTAATAAATGAGCAAATATTTTATAACTATACTTAATGACTTCTTTCATCATCATTTTTTTATACCAATTAAAACACACTTCAGTCGAATTACTTTATAAAAAGAAAGCAAAATAAAGAAATTTACCTACCCCTGCAGTTGCTGTTGGTGAGAGGAAAGGGGTACTCTTGGTTTGTTCCAGCCAGTATAATCTTGATTACACCTCAGTTTTTTAACAGAAAGAGGAGCTGGCTGAGGAAGAAATCCCAAACTTCTTTTGGCAGAGGGAGTTTGGCTTGAAACATTAGTCCTAAAAAGAAAAAGAATAGAAAATAAAGCAGCAAAACAATTTTTAATATTACCTTTTCCCCCTAGTATATTCAGAGAAGACAGTGTCTAAGAAAAAAAAATCTGAATTTGGAGAAATAGCAGTAATAATGATCAATTAAGGAAAAATTCCACAAGCCCAAGTCACTTGATAGAAAGACTGAAGAGGTATGTAATATTGTACCTACTTAACCTACAATCAAAATTATCCAAGTAATGGCTTGAAAAAAAAACTGTAAGTATAGTTCTTTTTATTAATTTTTAATTACCTAATGTAGATCATACACTAGTTTACCTAGTCTTAAAAAAATCTGGCAATTAACTTTTTCCACTATTACAAAAAAAATGACACAACCAATATTACCCAGTCTCCTAGAGAACTTCCTCCAGTTTACATGCTGAGAAGTGAAAATGTCAGAAGTATTTTTAATTTTCCTAGACAGTGTGTTTTCCAAAAATCCACAAGTAGTGAATTTCCATTTCTTCACATGGTCTCTGATTACGTTATTACCAATCTAATGAGTGAAACATGATCTCATTGTTATTTTCCTGATTACAACTGAAGTAAAAAAAATGTTTTTGTAATTATTTACTCTTCTCTAAATTGCTTTTTGTGTACTCTTGGGTTTTATACTGGGTTCTAAAAGATTTGTAGTTTTTTACATAATCTATATTCTAATCCTTTGTCTATTACACATTCTAAACTTCAAGTTTTTGGATAGTCAAATTTATCATTTTTCTTTTATAATTTCAATTTTTGTGTCTTAAGAATCATTCTATAGCATAAGTTCACAGAAATGTTTCCCTATATTCTCTTAAGAGTTTTAAAACCTGTTTTCCCTCCTATTAAGGTCTTTAATCTGCTTGGATGTTTATCTTTTGTATGTCGTGAAGCAGGAACCTGATTTTTTTATAAGAGAAAATTGTTTCCAAACAACTTATTGTCTGGCTAGTCCATCTACTAGTAAGTGTTTGGTCTTGTTACTGTAAAAAAAACCTGTGAAATAGAATACTTACACACAAAAAAAGTGTATAAAAATCAAACATGTACCACTGTGGTGCAGGATGTCAACAGTGAGGGAAGTTGCATATGTGTGGTCACAGGTTTATAAAAACTCTGTACTTTCTCGTCAGTTTTGCTATGAACCTAAAACTTCTAAAAAACACGGTTTATTAATTTTTTTTAAAGAGAAATGTGGAGCTTAACAATTTTTTAAAAAAGATTTGTATTTATTTATTTTTAGAGAGAGGGGAGAGGAGAGAGAAAGAGGAGAGAAACATCAATGTGTGGTTGCCTCTCGTGCACCCCTACTGGGGACCTGGTCTGCAACCCAGGCACGTGCCCTGACTGGGAATCGAACCAGCAACCCTTTGGTTTACAGGCCAGTACTCAATTCACTGAGCCACACCAGCCAGGGCCAACCAATTTTTATAGAGCAAATACCTATTTAATTATCATTAATGTCAAAAACCCCAGATGCCTCTTCCCAAACACAACCCTGTTCCTCTACTCTAAAAGTTATGATTAGCTTTCTCAGTTTTTTTTCTTTCAGTGAATGGACTAAAAATATTAATACTGTAGTTTGGAAAATGCAAGGTATATTTATTTCCGTCTTTTTGCTCTCCACCTATCTGCATCTTTTTATTGCAGTTGTTGCTTTCTTCAATAGCAAATAGATTATTCTTCCTTTAAAATCCAGTCTATCTTTCTCATTAAAACATTTAGTATATTTTTATATATTACTGATTTGTGTAACTTTTAAAATCCTTGTGTACTAATTCTGTCATCTGTGTAATTTCTGCCTCAGTATTTATTAATTTTTCTACTCATTTTTCTGCTTCTAAGCATGTCTAGATGTTTTCTCAAATGGCAGCCATTGTGAATTTTATCTTGTTGGGTGCTGGATATTTTAGACTTCTATAAACATTCTTGAATTTTGTTCCGGGATGTAGTTAGGTTACCCAGAAACAGTTTGATATTTTTGAGTCCTGCTTTTAAGGTTTGTTATGTGGGACCAGAGCAGCAATTGGTCTATGGATCATTTTCCTTACTATTGTGGCAAGACCTTTCTCAGCATTCAAACTGCTATTCAGAATAGGAACTATGCCTGGCTTTATGTGAACTCCCTAGCATTATTCCCTTAGATCTTTTTGGGTGGTTCTTTCCCTGGCCGTGGCTAGTTTTCTCACAGCGTAAGCTGATTGGCACTCAACTGAATACTCAAGGTAGACCCTCCGCAGATCTCTGCAATTGTTTCTCTGTGAAACTTTCAACTCTGGTACCCTGTGAATTCTAGCTCTTTCGTCTCCCTGAACTCCTAGCCCCATTTCCTGAACTAAGGAAGTACACAGGGTTCTGCCTGGTTCCCCTCTGTGTGGCAACGCAAGAACTTTCTCTAGAAAGAAAGCTGGGGGAGTCATAAGGCTAATTTCATTTGTTTCCCATCTCTCAGGAATCAATGCCCTTCACTGCCTCATTTCCAACGTCTTAAGATCCATTGTTTCAAATGATTTGTTCGGGTTCTTAGTTGTTTCATGAAGGAGGGCAATCTGATTCCTGTTACTGCTTCTTGGCCAGAAAAAGAAGACATCTTCAACCTTTTAGTATGTTTAACTTACTGTGGCCTCCTTTCAAACAAGAAAAGGAACTGCAAACATTTTAATTTTCCCGTATTCTTCCCCACTCTTGTATTTCTCCTTCTTGTCTAATATATTATTATATATTTTTTGCTTTTAGTACTACTGTAACCTCATTTTATAAAAAGTATCGAAATGTATTTAGATGCACAGAATGACCCTGGAAGAATGTTAAAGCAGTTGCCTCTGGAAAGTGGAAATGTACAACAGGGAGTTAGTAAACAAAGGAAGATTTAGTTTTCACTGTATGCACCCTGTAACTTCTGAAGTTTCTACCATATGTATTTATTATACAATTTTTTTTAAGTACTTAGATTTAAAAATTCACTTTAAAAATTATTTTGCTCACGGCTATTTCTTACTTCCACTTTCCTTTGTTCAGTTTTCCTTTTGATGAATAAATTATCTTTGTATTATCTAAAAACAGTATTATTTGTCTGCATTCTTCAATTACAATTTAGCTTGTAATAGAATTATTTGATGCTATCACTTCATGCCTTTTGTCTTATTGTTGCTAATGTCAGTCTGTTTTACCATTACAGATTACATATTCTCCTGATAGCTTTAAAAACTTCTTTACCTATCATATTCTACCATATGGACTAAAAAAAAAAAAATTTGCTGTTTTGCATATGTTGAGATGGCTTTTCCATGCGTGGACTTTCATCATTCTCACCTATTAGTTCTTTTAGAAATTCTTTGCTTTCATCTTTCTTACTATTTTTTCCTCAGAATGCTATTAAGACATGGAGGGTAGACCAAGGAACCCAATACAAATCTCTTAATTTCATTTACATTCATCATCTCTTCTTTGCCGTATTCCATGATTATGCCTGCTTGACCTGCTAGCTGCCTTAGTTGTTAGTCTGGACCTCTAATCTGCATGAGACTTTATGTTAGGGGTTCAGAATTCTTCTCCCTATGCAGGTAACATTAAAGCAGATACCAGTCACTACAATTCCCATTTCTGTATATTTGCTCTCCGCTTAGGGAGCCATTAGGCAAACAGAACATTTATGGTTTTGACTTCATTTACTAGCAGTTCTAGATACCCACCTTCATGTAGCTTCACATAAAAAACCTGGTTGGGGTTCAAATCTAGTTTCCAATTTCATGTTAGTTTTGAAGACCCAACCCTAGATACGTGACTCCTGTCCTTGTTTTCTTTCTTTCTTTTTTTAAAACATCTTATTAATTTTTTTAGAGAGAGGAGAAAGGAGGGAGAGAGGGAGAGAAACATCAAGGTGTGGCTGCCCCTTATGTGCCCCCTACTGGGGACCTGGCCCGCAACCCAGGCATATGCCCTGACTAGGAATCAAACCAGTGGACCCTTTGGTTCACAGGCTGGCACTCAATCCACGGAGCCACACCAGCCAGGGCTCCTGTCTATGTTTTCCATGTGCCTTATAGAGTCTGCTTTTACTTAGCATAAGTTTTCTCACTGCTCTTGAAATCTTCATCCTATCTTTGAGTGCAGCTTTGCAATAAAATTTTTCCCCCCTCAACCACTGCTATGTGCAATGAACACGCTCATTCTATTATTCTGAGAAGAAATTTGTATTATATTTAATAAATCATTTGTAAAGCATATTCAGGTATTTAAAAAAACCCTCAGATTTCTTTAAGACCCTTCTAATAAACAGAAATAAGCCAAGCTTCCTCTCTCTTAAATTCAAAAAAGCTTCCTCTCTCTTAAATTCAAAAAACTTAGTTACCATTGCAGTCATAAAGTGTTTGACAAATACCACACAGGGCCTTATATACCTAAGTATATATTACCAAATTCTTTACTTCACCTTAACCACTTTATACAAATATCAAGATGTTTTCACCACTTTGAATTAATTTCTGGAAAAAAACAAAATAGGACTTAATAGGTCATTCATTATATACCACATTTATTATATACCACCATTACCCCACTTTTTACATTTACTATTGTTCCTTTGTGCTGCATTCTGTAATCATGCCTTCTTGACAAGTGCTTACCAGCTGTCATATATTTATATCCAATAAATCTCAATTAATCTATAGACTCGGCAATTAAATTTCTGACTAGCATTTTCCACTAATGTGAAACCTTTTTTTTTTTTTTAAAGAAAATGCCTTAAGTTTTGGTAGGCAGCTTAAAAAATATACGGGCAACAAAGGCAATTTGTTGAGATCTTAACATTTGGGATGATAAAGAATGAATACACTGGTCTAGACTCTGATCATATTACCAGTCACAAACTGTGGCCTCATATCTGAGAACAAATCTTCCTAGAACTCAGTTTATTCATTTCTTGAAAAACATAAAAAAGAAGAGCTTGTAGTAAAACATTTGTTGAGTACTTTCTAACTAAAACATCATGAGTCTATGAGTCTCATAAATTTTGTTATTTTAAATTAGGGTATTCACTTAGAGTACACTTAAAGATGTAATAAGCCTTAACAATGTGGATGGTACGTCTTACAGAGGTTGATGTGGAAGAGAGAGAAGGAAGGGTATTTACACAGTCTATCCCATCAGTCAACATTCTGAAGAAGAGAACTCTTCAGGTTCTTCACAGGGCATATAACCAATGCATACCTGTCAAGATTAGTGCTGCCAGAAGAGTAGTCCTTGGATCCAGATCTGCTACCATAAAAGGATGATGACTGCAAGGGTAAGAGCCCTATAAAACAAACAAACATAGGAACAACTTAATTCCTAACCAACCACTGAAGCCCAATTAATAAAGAAAAGTATACATTAGACCTGTTTACACTTAACTCTTTTCTCCCTTTTTTTCATTAAAGTTATATAAATGTTAAAAGATCAAATACCGTGGAAAAAATTACTATCGCAAAGAATATTTTCCTGTCCCACAAGCTCCAAAATTTTGCTACTAAGTTCTAACCAATTTTTAAAACTTAAGTTTTTCCGATTTCCTCTGTAACACTAGATACTGTTTTCTACTATTTTCGACTTATTAGTTCTTAACGGTATCAGCTGACTCCCTATTAGGAAAAATTTGGTATTTCCCTATTCTTACTTACTTCCAACCAATTATTACTTGTGTTACTTTAGTTCTACTGATTACCTCTGTAACTTTAAAATACTTAAAACTTCTGTATTTTGTTCCATGAACCTTGTATCAATTGACTACTTTCCTCCTCTCTCTTCCCCATCAATTTTCATAAGATGTACCTTAACTTCAACGTTGTTGAGGCTTATTACATATTTACGTATTGTTTTCAACTACATGTTTATTATAAAAGTTCAAAACCAGTAAGTGGAGTTTACATAATGTTTTATTACTTCAGAAATAAGAATTACATTGGAAATACTTCTTTCTGTAGGAGTCCAATATCTGAAAGATCATTCCTAGAGAGTCTTGATCAAATGAATTCTCTTAAACTCCCAATCAAAATCATGCCGTATTTTAGTTTACTTCAACTTAATTTCAAGTTGACACAATGTGCAAATCAATAGCTGAATCTCTTAGTTCAGAATATCAGAGAGATTGGTTAAGTGTAGGAAATGCTGACAAAAATTCATGGACAGTCTAACTTTTAAATTTTGTAAAAACAGGGTACAGGTCAGGTTAAAACAATTCTTTAAGCAATTAATTTCAAGAGCTTCTAGGACTTCTAGTAAGTGACAACACTTGTAAACTTTAAATTCAACCAATTTAATTCCTTAGATTCATTCTATGGTGCAGGTACTTTGACAATAATAGAGCTTAATTCTAGGCAGTTAAATAAGAAAGAAGGTAAAGTCTAGATTCTTTGCAAACAGAATAAAAGTTCCCTTATATTTCTAGTACTTCAAAAGTATTTTAGTAGAGTACTGGATACAAACTGGTGCCCAAAAACTAGTACCAAATTATGGAGTGTTCCTGAAGAACAGAAAGGTTATGTCCTACTTTAGGATTTTATTGCTAACCTATACAATATACCATATTAAAATAAATGAGTAGCTTATATAAAAACCAAATACTTACCTGATGTCCTATTCTCTTCTGTTTGTTTCAAACTCAGCTGCTTCTCTCGACTGCTGGTTAAATACTTTCTTGAGGGATCTGTCATAGCCTTGTTATTCCTGAAGTTAGTAATTTAATTCAATATAGGTATGTAAAGATACAGTTCTTAACTTTATTTATTTTTTTATTTAATCTTTATTGTATCTTTTCCCCATTACCATTTAGTCCCCTTATACCCTCCTCCCCTACGCAATCACCACACTGTTGTCCACGCCCATGAGTCCTCCTTTTTCACGCAATCCTTCCCCACCACCCTGTCACCCTGCTCTCCATCTATGAGTCTGTCCCCATTTTCCTTGTTAGTTCAGTTAGTTTATTAGATTCCACATATGAGTGAAATCACATGGTATTTGTCTTTCTCTGACTGGCTTATTTTACTTAGCATAATGTTCTCTGTGGTTCTCAGTTTTAAATAGTTGATTAAAAATTTTACATTTCAAGTGCTGAATTCATGGATCTGTTGAAAGTTAGGCTACAAAGTGATAAAAGCCTCAAGAGGTCAGAGACTTAAGCAAATGAAAATCTTTTATTTTCATATGAAAAATAAAATAAGCTTTCATTACCAAGTCAAAAGCCAATCTAATCCTAGTAATTAAGCAAAAATGAATGAGTATTTTTTTACAAAAGTCGAACCAGATACAGCAAGATTATATCCATTTTCTTAGTCAAAAGCAAGAACAGATGAATGACTTAGCTACTAAGACTAAAAGAATCAATTAAGAAGTAAACGCTTCAGGCTTGATACGAAATAGGTTTAAAAAGTAAAACAAACAAAACCCAAAATGTTCTTACAGCCTATAGATTTGAAGTATGATTTACTAAATGTCAATGTCACTTAAATTCTAGTCATTAAGCTATTTTAAGTTCATGAACACGAAGTTAAAATTTCTTAAGCCCCATTTCCCTCTTTATTACTCCCAAACACCTAAACCGGTATAGAGTGAGTCCATTCAGATAAATGCTCATGCTTTGATTAAAAGTGCTTATTTTAGAAGAACCATTATTAATAAAGCCTGTAGCAGACAGATTATATGCTCCATCCAAATTCCCTCTGATCCCATTTTTATATCCCCTCTTTCACACCAATTTAGGTATGTTTTCGACAGCAGTACGTAGGGCTATCCCTCATATTCTTTTATTTTGTTACCTTTAAGGCAGCAGTGCCCAACATTTTGGGCACCAGGGACTAGTTTCGTGGAAGACAATTTTTTCATGGACAGGGAAGGTGGGGAAAGGTGGTGGGGGCTCAGTGGTAATGCAAGTGAGCCCTCTGCTCACCTCCTGCTGTGCATCTGTGCTCCTAACAGGCCAAAGACTAGTACTGGTCTGTGGCCTGGGGAGGTTAGGGACCTCTGCCTTAAGGGATAGTCTGAGATCACACTAATACTTCATTTCCTGTGCTCACTGTCTTGCTCACTCCGGTCCCTTCCTGACAGACAACCCCTCGAGTGGCCCTCAATAAATCACACACTAATCTCCATTTCAGGGTCTGCTCTCTGGAGAACTTCATTTACAACAGATGGAACCAGGCAGCACACCCAAAGGTCAGGATTCTGGAATTGGATTACTTGTTTGTTAATGGCAACATAAATCCCGGTGCTGATGATAATATCTGTTATCCACGGTGTATCTGTATTGAATGGAGATGGGATGGAGTGGAAGAGAATACGGCTTATGCACTATCTCTAGCATTCAAGAAATGTGGTAGACTGCACGACGAATCTTTCTGGAGTTAAATGTTCTAAAACTGGATTACGGTGATGACTGCAACAACTCCATAAATTTACCCAAAATCACTGAATTGTACGTTTAAAACAAGTGAAATTTTATGGTGTATATAAAAATGTAACTCGATAGTGTTGTTTAAAAAATGTCCCAAATTACTTCCCTTTTTCTATCAAAGTCGTCCTCCATCCCATCAAGAAATGCAGTCTCTTTCCCAAAGGATGCTACAGACACTACAGTGCGTAAGTCCTGATCCAATGGCTAAATGCACCTTGCAAATTTCCACTCCCTCTCTCCTGCCACTGCTATGTAAATAATTCCAAGTTAACCTGCGAGATGATGAGACATCCATGGCCAATCACCCTCATCACTCCCAACCACTAGCCAGCCAATGGCCAGTCATATAAGGCCATCCTAGATTAGCCAACCACTAGCACAACTCACCAAATGACGACGAGTGCGTGAGAAAATGAGAGAATTCAGCCACACTCCAAGCATGGCCAAAAAACCAGAACCAATGAAGTGACCATTACTTGTAAAGAATAAATAGCTACAATTTTAAGCCACTAAGTTTTCGAGTGGTTTGTCATATAGCTAAATATAACCGATCCAAGTAATGTTAAGTAAACAATAATCAAAGAATATGGAATTGATTGATCGTTGCTATGAGTATGGATTCACTCAAGAGTGAAAATTATGGGCTCAGCTGAACCAAAGACCAACTTAAGGACAAAGACACCATGTAGAATTGCTCTCCCAACGAGAGTTGCAGCCCAGATCCTTAGGATTTGAGAGCAACACTTTATGGCAGAAAATTGTGTATCATTTGTAAAGTATGCAAACTATTCCTGGCAAATTACAGGCCCTGAAAGAGACTGAGCATCTGACTATCAGTTATCAAGGGACTAGGCAACCAGAGCCAGCCATCACAAGCTGGATGCTCTCATACTGATGAAGTTGCAAAATCAGGTAGTTACAGTAGTAATCCATCATAAAATGTATTTGGTACATCTTGGATTAGTTCTAAGTAAGCAGGAATAAATAACAAGAACAGACTTTATGACTAACTGAAAGAGAGAAACCTGGGCCTGATTCATGGGTGAATCATCTTGGAATAAAGACGGTTCAGTAAGGAACCTCTTAGTGCTCTCATGTTCAGTTTTACTATGATTGGGCAATTATGGCAACCACAGCCTGACAAGTATGTGGTAACCAACTCAGACCCCTGAGAAATGAAGATCTCAATCATACCACCAGGCAAACCATCAAGAACGGCAAATCTAGAATGGGTGGTAGAAGACGGAGATGATAGTATCAGTTACAGCCTTAAGGCTGTTGCAGCAATAAGGACTGTAGCCTACCCCACTGACCCTCCTTTTGCAAGAGTCTCACCCGGAAAACTGGAAAGCATGATGTGAAGAATCTGTGATAAAATGGAATGAAATTAATCGTGATGCTCCATCAGAGCCCCTCACATCCTTTTTATACTTTTTATACCTCCACAGTACATGTTTTCAACAGCCAGCACCGGCAGTTCTACAGAGGACTGCTTTGGGCTACTTCAAATATTTTGACCATCTGGGCAAAGCCAAAGTCCCAGGCAGCTGTTAACCAAAGACTGCAGTGTGGGAACATGAAAGCCCATGTTCTTTACCTCAGGTTGGGAGAAGCCCACAGTTCCCTTGTTGGATCAAGATGAAGCCTACTCTCTGTAGGACCTTTACCTAAAATCATATCCTTGGCTGGTTTCCTCCCCTTCCCGATCTTGCTTTCCTCACTTTGTTACTGATCTCCCCATGAGCACATCTTTAATAAGATACTTGCACAAGTATATTCATCCAAAGACTGCTTCTAGGAAGCCCAAACTTAAAAAATCTAAGTGTGATTGTGTAAAAAGTATTATTAGTTCAAAACAATGATCAAAAAATGCAGGGCTCATCAGACAGGATTCTAAGTGGAACCACTGGGACTTCTTCCCCAAAGTGTGGTGAATATGGTCAACCGGCATGCAGCAGTCCATTACAACCACCTTTTGTGTACTTCCCTGTTCTACACAAGCCAGAAAGCTAAAAAAGCTGTATTTCCAAGTTAGTGTTCAGGATGTGATTTAATATAAGGCAATTACACGTACTTGTACAATATCGGGAAAGTGGAAGTCTGCCAGAGGTCATGTGTTCTACTTATGATGACAAACATCATCTTGAAAGTGTCTGTTTTTTCTGCACAGGATTTCCAAACTTGGCAGTGGCAGCATGGTTCTATAGATAACAGCTTTGACAGCAGCTTCCAATTCAGCTGTTAACTTCATGAGAGCCAGAACATCTTTAATGACCTAATCTGGGGCATGGCTCTCAAAAACCATTCCTGAAAGCTTAATCTAGCAGGAGTGTCCAACCTGTTGGCATCTCTGCGCCACAATGGAAGAAGAAGAGTTGTCTTGGGCCACACATTAAATATACTGCAACATGTAATCACAAAAAAAAAATCTGTTTTAAGTAAATTTACAATTTTGTGTTGAGCCTCATTCACAGCCATCCTGAGCTCCGTGCAGCCTATGGGCCGCAGATTGGACACCCCTAATCCAGAGTCTACCTTTTCAGCTTTCTTAATGACTCTGTAAGCCATATAATACTCTCTCTCTATTCAAATACCTTTGTGTGTGAGCAAGCTAGAAAAACTTTTGCCCCCTACAACTGGACCCGGAAAACACATTTTTTTTAAACCAGAAGTGAGATGCAACCATACAAATCTCAAATATGTACTACAAGCTTAGGAGGAAAGTAGAAGGTAAGGACACAAATATTACAGACTGGAAAGCTGGTGACTGTTGTTATATCTCAGCAAAATATTTATTTTTTTATATTTATTTTATTTTTTGTATATTTATTTTTTTCCATTACCATTTAGACCCGTTACGCCCTCCTACCCCCTAGAAAACACCTCACTGCTGTCCATGTCCATGAGTCTGTTTTCCTTTCAGCAAACATTTATAAAACTGTTAACTGTAATGTCTTGGGAGGCAGACCTCATACTTCCTAAACCTATAGCTCTAGAGAAAAAGATTGAGATAATAAGAACACTGGTCTGTGTTAGTGTTTACTGCCTGCAGCAAGATCATATTTGAGACGAATAAATTTGGGTAAAAACTAGCCAGCTTGCAAGCACTGTGCTGACGACCTAGAATTGAAATTATCTGGTAATTTGAGACCATATGGAACTAAAGAAAATGCAATTACTTTGGATTCTCAAACTGGGGCAATAAGAGATAAATGGACACGTAGCTTTGTGAAATAACGCTGATGTTAATATAAGGGGAAACTGGGTGAGGGGTACATGGGAACATTCCATTTCATCTCTGTAACTTTTCTATAAATCTAAAATTACTGCAAACATTAAAAGTTTTATTAAAACAAACAAAGCAAAAAAAACCCCTCCAAAATACTGGTCCACATTCTTTCTGGACTCTGTAAAAGCCTGCTTGTTCTTCCTTTAAAGAAACTTCTAGATTTCTAAACACTTATTCCAGAACAGTACCAGCATGAAGCAGGCTACAAAAGCTTGCATGGTCCCAAAGAACAACACAGTTTCCAAGACCTTCAGCTATGGCCTTGAAAGGTAACAAAGTAAACCTACCAGAGGACAAAGCCAGGAGTCATATGGAGTACAATGAACAAGGGTTTCTCCCAGAGGAGAAAACAGAGACTGCTACATGGGCTAATCAAGAATTTACTCCCCGGCCTTCACAATTTCTACCTAGCAAGATTTTACTATTACTATAGGTCAGTGACTCCTCCAGTTTCCTATTCTCATCTTTTCTCAATGTAAATTTTTATTGTGGACATTCTGTGCTTACTCCAGCAATGTAGAGGTGTACCTCATTTTATTATGCTTTGCAGACACTGCATTTTTTAAAACACATTGAAGGCCAGATCCTCTGTCAGCAAAAAGATTATGAGCCACTAAAAGCTCAGATAAATAATGGTTAGCACTTTTTAGCAGTAAGATATTTAGACAAGGTGTATATATTTTAGACATAATGCTATTGCACACTTACTACAGTAAAAACATACACACTGGGAAACAAAAAAGATCGTGTAATTTTATTGCAGTATTTCCTTTACTGCAGATATGCTTGTATAATTTGTGTATGAAGATGAGAGTGGGGAATGCAGATTATCTTGCCTTTTTGTTTTTAGGTATCAGACCATAAGTCTCACAGTCCAAAAAAGCACACCTAGACCTTATATAGAGGACTGCACATCACCTAGAGATCCTGGACTTGGATCTGGATATAAGAACTAAATGAGGCTTGGAGGTTGTCTCCATTAGGGTGAGAGGGTAAGAGTGTTCTCTGTGTACGGGAAAAGAGAGAACAGGGGTATTTCTATGGCTAGAGGGTTAAACTACAGCAGCCTGTTAGTTGTCTCCAAGTAACCATGGTACCCTTCTGCTATTGTAAATCTGAGCTAGGCATATTTACCGGACTTTCTTATATCTTGATGTAACCATATGACTAAGTTCTGGTCAATGGGATATACATAAAAGTGGTGTGGCCCTGTCTGGGTAGTGCAGTTGGTTACAATGTCATCCCAATACTCCAAAGTTGCAGCTTCAATCCCTGGTCAGGGCACATAAAGGAAGCAACCAAGGAATGCATAAATAAGTAGAAAAACAAATTGATGTTTCTCTCTCTCCCCTCCCCTCTCTCTTTGAAATCAATAAAAACACTTTTTTACAAAAGTGGTTTGTACAACTGTACAATTTCCAGCCTAAAAGGAAAGCAGTATGCTCTCCCTTGTTCCTTCCTTCCTCCCCAGTAAGAATGCAGACATAAGAGCAAAGGCTGAAGCAGCTACCCTGGTTCACAAAATGGAAGCTACTTATTAAAGGAGGGTGGATCAACAAGATAAAAGGAATCTGAGTCCATGGTGATTGTAGTTTCAGATACCACACCAGCCCTATTACCTACCCAGAGATTTACATCTATTACAGCAGCAAAACAAGATCCCAATTAATATATAAAGTTTCTTCAGCTTTTTCCCAATTCCTTTTGGTGACCCTCTTGACCTTGAATACCAATTAACCATCAACTGATTTTTGTTGAGGTGTTAATTGAGGTATTAAACTGATAACTAGTAAGTTTTCTCCCCTCAGAAATATAAAACTTAAAAAAAAAAAAAAAGATCCTCCCATGAGGAAGAAAAACGTGAGCTGGTCACTATCCTGCTGCAGGTGTATATACTTTTGTTCAGCCTAGAAAATAGCTCTAAAAGACTGACGCTCCATGCCTAGAACCTATGTAGGGTTTACATCCTTTTACCCCAAAGTTAACTTTTCACATGAATAAGGTAAAGAAATTTTTATAGGTAAAGGGAAGAAGAAAAGAAGGGGTTCACACTAAAAGAACGTATAGCAGAAAACACTTATTTAGAGTTTTTCAGCTCTATTCTTCCTCTAAGTACTACAGATTTTTTTAAAAAGCTACAATGGGAGAAGTGCAATGAAATGATCACAGTAATAGCACTGGCCAAAGCTTCTCTCTACTGACCCTACAATCTACTATCACCAAAATGCTTTTCATTCTGCTCTTCTATCTTTGGAATTCCCATAAATTGAATAATCTTCCCTAGTGGTTGTAATTATCAATATAAGAAACACTGATCTAAAGCCCTAAAGGTTCTTAAAGCAACTTACGATGATGAATCATTTTCCTTAGGGTAATCTTCATTCAACTCTGAGCCAGATAGCATTCTTTTCCTCTTTTCAGTTCTACAGAGAATAGAAAAAAGGCTGCTGGTTTAAAAAGCAATAATTCTTATTAAAAAATATAAACCAACACACTCAAGGACAGGAACTGTGACTACTGCTATCTAATTCTCTACACCAGTTAAATTAATATATAATATTATCTGCAAGCTCAATACATGTCATTGACATAAACCACATAAGACAGATACTAATTATCTACCAAAAATGCACTCTACACTTTCTTCTTCTAACATACTTTACTCACTGGACAATCTCCTTTTTCTCAAATTACTGGTCTTTCTAAAAGGCCTAAAAGACATTTACAAACAGGTATAGCTAATGACGAAGAAAGAAAATCCATCTTTCATACCTATTTTCTAATAACCCTGATCTAAGAGGTGTTGATGTGGATGTCAAAGAGGGAATCGTCCGGGAGACAGTTATTCCACTTCCTGCTGCAGTCTTAATTGATCCTCTACCAGGATTACCAAGAACTTTTCGAAACGGAGTATCATCTTTAGTTTCCAAATTTCCTCTTTTTGAAGAGGCCTGTAAGAAAGTTTGATAGCAAACCTTTAAATTAATTGGCATTCTTTTAGACCAGTGATTTTTAAGGAATAAACTTAAAAAAATACCGACAACTACAGACCCATCTCCGGAGATTCTAACCTAATTGGTCTGGGATGAAGTCCATTCATTATTATTTTTTTAAAACACTCTAGGTGATTCTAATCACCCACAGTTAGTGTCATAAATTGAGCAACACTTTTTCCCTGTTGTACTGTTGTAAACTTAAGTATTCCACAGCATACCTAGAGGCGGAAGGGAATTTGCTGTGAATTACTGATTAAAAAAAAAAAAGATTCACATACATAAGACATGGTTTTAGTGACCAGGGTGAAAATGAATCTTTAGAGAAAAAAATCCAGCTATAATTATGATAAATTAAAGTGATGTGTCATTGAGTAGTCTCCAACTGGTGACCTCATGAATAAGTGATATCTACATGTCCTGTCCTCAACTGCCCTGCCCAGCTTCTGTACGTAGACGTATGCTTACGACTTCTTTTATGCTGTCAATCCATCTCATTTTTTCTTTCTCTTTTCCTGCTGCCTTCTATTTTTCCCAGTATTACTGTCTTAAAATGACACAGATGTGACAAAAAGGAGCAGTAATGACATTTGGTTGCCACAGTTTAAATGCCAAGTCACATGTACTTCATATGACATTTGAAGGGGTTCCAGTTTGGAGGAATGAAACAAATGTATGTAATGATAAGGAAAATGAGAGTGAGATAGAGATCACGGGCAGAAGCTGAATCAAAAAGTCTACTACCGTAAAGACACAGCAAGAACATTTAGAGAAAACAGCAATTAAAAAACAGATGATGTGGCAGAAGTACATTTACAACTGTTTGTATGGAAAATAATACAATAATTAATAAATAATAACACCAAAATACACTCTGTGTTTTACATACAACTATAAAACTCTTTTTGCTATACCTTGTATTAGTTGGGAAATAAGGCTTTTGACCAGCATTCTGCCAAGATAAGTTTCATAACTTACTATGAGGAGCTATGAAAGGTATTTCTCTATGAAAGGTATTCCCAATAACTTTCTACAAAATTACAATATTAGGAAAGAAAAAAAATCTCTATGGTCATTTTAACAAACAATTTAAAAAAGGAGTATTTATTTTCAAAATGGTGGTACATTCTCAAGATTCAAAAATCAAAATACTATATAAAAGCCATATACTGAGAAGTCTCATTATCACCCCACTGCCATCCACCCCAGTTCTTCCACTTCCCATTCTCCTACCACTTATAAACCGATACTTATCCTTACTATGTACAATACCTTCTATTATCTTCTCTTCTTTCCTTTTTTATTTAATGCTAGTCAAAACACACAAAATTCATTTTATAATCCCAGTAAGGGGAAGTTATTTGTAAAGTTATTCTGCTACACATGATAACACTGAGTTGGCCAAAAAGTCCGTTCATTTTTTTCCATAAAAGACACATTTTTTCATTTTCACCAGTAATTTTATTGATTTGGATATTTTGAGCATGTTGGTTATCTCCCACATGGTATAACGTTGATTGTTCTCAATGTCTCAACTTTATTACTATTAACTTCAACTGGTCTACCTGACCATGGAGCATTGTCCAGTGAGAAATCTCCAGCACAAAACTTTGCCACTACTTTTGATATGTTCAATCAGTCACAGCACCTTTTCTGTGCAGTGCAAAAATTTGTCTTTTGCATTTCGTTGCATTTTTACCTTTCTTGAAATAATGAAGCAAAATACACCAAAAGTGGAGTATTTTCTTCCATCTTTACTATTAAAACAGTTACACAAAAATTCACCAATTTTGATGTTGTTTTTTAAATGCACACTGACATGACAGCTGTCACGATACAATCTAACAAAATTGTTCTGAATGAAGTTAGAGACAACTAAACACTATTAGAGCCATCTTACAGGAAAAAAAAAAACAAACTTTTTGGCCAGCACAATACTTACACATTTAAATATTCCAACAGTTTAAATTTCTACCTATAAATGGATGAATCTCAAAGTAATTATGCTGAGTGAAAGAGTCAGACAAAACATATTACACATTGATCTCATTTATATAAACTCTAAAATATGCAAATTAATCTGCAGTGACAGAAAATAAATCAGCTGTGGCTTCGGGACAGGTACCAGAGAGGGAGAGAACTACAATGTACTCAATGTCAGTTATACCTCAAATAAAATGTTTAAAAAAAAAAACCCCTATCCTATAAAAAAGAAACTAACAAAAATGAAATATTACTCATTGCTTATCCCAGTAAATGGACTAAGTAATCACCTTTCTGTACAACAGAATAGAATTCATCAGTTTCCAAGTTTCTCTTTATGCCTGGTTTCCCTTTGTAAAACAAATTAAGAGAGATACAGGACAGCTCAATTGCAATAGTGCACAGCAAGTCTCATGACTGGCTAGATAGTATTTATGAAAGAAAAACTATTTAAAAAGCAAACAGAGACTTCAGTAAGAGTCTGGTATCATACTGTGTAGGGGCAAAGTTCATAACGTAGAACAGGCACGAAGAACATCACAGAAGTAGTAGCAGCAAACACTGACTGGGTAGTAAATATGTGGCATTGTGGACTAAGAACTACATGCATTATCTCACAGCAACCCTGAAAACATTAATGCTCAATTTTACAGATGGGTACTAAGTCTCAGGATACTTAAGGGACTTCTCCAGTGACCCACAGTTAGTGTCAGCACCAAGTCTCAAATGCACATTTAACTACAAAGCAATGCTTTTAAAAACTACACTTTACTGCATTTCATCATGATGACCATGAGACTCTGAGCAAAGGTTAAATTGTGTTCAGTAAAACTGTATGTAAGAAGTGAAGAAATGTGAAAAATTTTAGAAAGACTCTCATAAAAAGTCAAGAGATTGAGATAACTAAAATGGTAAATTTCAGGTACGTGGGAAACACCCTTGTGACAATGCCAGAATTATTAGGCATTATAGTCTGAATTCTACCTTTTGCAATTACATTATAGAATATCTATGATTATCACTTTTTTTTAAAAGCTAAGAATATTAAAATGAACTTACCTGATTGTCTGAGTAAGAAAGCTGCCTGTTGGTTTCCTTCTGTGAGGTCCTGCTTCCCAGAATAGCTCCAAAACTACCAGACCCCTGAGGTTTCATGGCTGGTGCAAAAACAAACAAACAAATAACCCCAAATCACTTATTTTAATAAAGAGATACGTCATTATATAATATTGTAGAAATAAATCAAGCACTGATTAACCAATTCTTTCTGAACAGAAAGTACATCTGATATAAACAGTAATTAAAATTTAGAGCTAGTCTCAAGCAAAAAAATTAAACAACATGCAAAAAACTGGGAACAACGTAATAGAAGAATAAAATCTTAAGTGCAAAATAAAAAAGCTAGAAATTCTCCTATATTAATACTTGGTAATTAACACTATAGAAAAGTTAGTCACTGTATCTATGGCATGGATACTGACACTGGTTGCTAACAAACCAGAACCAGTGACAAATACATTTCCAACAACATATACTTTAAAACATTTTTTGTAAGTTCAGCAAATGGAACACATGGGTTCTAATCCAAAAAAAAAATCAATGCTGGTTTAACAAACATCCAAGATACTGTATAAATATGAATTTGTAAAATATTTTTTATACTTTAATTCAGTCAATTCCCACTAATGATCATTTGCCATGTTTTAATTTTTAAAAATTGTCAAACATCTTTCATATTTCTTGGACTAATGGTACAATTTTAGTAGAATAAACTCCTCAGACTAAGAATTGCTGTGTTAAAAGATGCTCTGTCTAGGACTTTCAATACTATGCTGAATAGAAGTGGAGAGAGGGCATTCTTGCCTTGTTCCTGATTCTGGAAGAAAATCTTTTAGTTTTTCATCAGTATGACATTAGTTGTGGGCTTGCACATACAGCATTTATAATACCGAGGTAGTTTCCTTCTATTCCTAGTTCATAGTATACTTTATCATGAAACAGTGTTGAATTTTATCAAATGCTTTTTCTGCACTAAGATGATCATGTGGTTTTTGTCCTGTTTTCTTAGTTTGGTGTATTACACACTGATTGATTTTTTTCCAAATCTTAAACCATCCTTGCATTACAGAAGTGGGTCTTGGTGTGTAACCCTTTTAACGTGCTGTTGAATTTGGTCCACTAGTATTTTTGTGAGGATTTTTGAATAAATATTCACCAAGGATACTGGTCTGGAGTCTAGTAATATTCTTTTGCAACTGCTAATGTCAGACCTTGAGACAATTAGTGCTCACCTGCATTAAGTCTGTTTTGATGGACTGCATCTAGAAACAATCTCATTTCCTCTGCATCCTTACTTGGTACTTTGTCAATAGACAAGAAGCTGTTATCTTGTAGTGTTAACATTAAACGGCTTTGCTTTGCTCCACTGGGTCGAAGTACCACGTTTTTAATGTTATGACTTAGCTGATCAACACAAAAGAAAAATGATCTTATCATTACAAACACTGATAATGAAGTATGTAATAAGTTGTATAATGAATACTAGACTTTATACTTTATAAGTTACATTTCTTACTTTTACCCACACTGAGTTTTTTTCCCCCAACCAAAAATAGTTCCCATTTCTTGACACATATAAACAGAAAATTTCACCTTTAGCAATGGCAAACAGGTAGTATTAACATTTATTTTACATTGTAACCCTAGCAATCTTGTTTTGTAGTAGGGAATTGCATATTTTCAGGTTACAAAGTTTTAGAAACTAGTGGGTTAATTTTCAGATTCTGGATGGCTATACCATCACCATTTTAGAAAGCCATAGTAGATTAGGGGATTTCTATTTCTTTTAAACAAAAGCTTGTAAGATATCTGGCAAATGGTTTAAGTAGCTCAATGTGAAAAGGACATACATTGAAAAGGACATACATTAATACATATAGTTTGTATTAATTCAAACTATAATCCTCAAAAGAATTCCACCACTCAACCACACAATGAAATATAACTTTATCAGTATTCAAACATGTTTTTCTTTTCTCACCGTCTAAGCACACTCATTTCAATTTTATTCAATCACAAAGAACATGAGCACCCTGAAACTATCTTAGCTTACTCTTCCCACTCCCCAGAACTGGTTCAATAACTTGTCTTATACTTCTCCAGATTCTCGGTAGTTACCCTGAAGTGACAGCTTTTCTATTCTTTTGGCTGAAAGTTTTCTAAGACTAAATTAGTAAATCTTGCAGTTTCTTCATTATCTAAATAATTCTTGTCCATCAGGCATCCCTGCTCTATAACATTATCCTTCAGCAAGCATATACAAAGGTTTCTAAAGCTGCCTTTTGCTGAAGATACACTCTGAACAACATAAAAAAGTAAAAGCATTTCATAATTTTTTAATTAGGAAAAATTGGCCTTTGTCTATTTTTATATAAAAATGAAAAAACAATCTTACCAGACTTATATATAAATTTTAAGTGATATATAGGTCTTAAATTCAAGTTCTTGAGTAGAAATTTTATCATAAACACAGTAACTGGTTTCAGATGCTTTAACTCCAAAACATAAACGAACACTTTAGTATCAAAATGAAAATAGATCACAGAAACCCATTTTTTTCAGTCAATAGATCACTTTTTAAAAATAAAAGTTAAACATGAGGAGAAACATTTTGTTAACAAGGTGAGAATAACCTTGAACTTGACTGCTTCAATAACTGAAAACTCTCTCTAATCCCACAATTTTAGTAACTACCCATATGGTGAGGTCCCCCAATTCTTTCTCTAAGTGCACACCTCTCTCCTGGAGCTCTAGTCCTGTTCACCTAATGCACACTGGACACCAATATCTGGATGCCTGATACCTCAGACAACTCATCTCTCCCAGTCCCCAATCTTCCCCTCCGATCCCTATCACAGAGGATAATAAAGGGACTGCCATCCATTCAAAAACTTGGGAAATCCCCCCCAGACTCTTTTCTCTCTCAATTTCCCCAAATATAATGAATTAAGTCTTTTTAAATTACTCCAAATCTATCTTTTCCTCCTCTTGCTTCTCCCACTGTCTTTTCCTTTATTCATGACTTTCATTCCTAATTTAAACTCCCACAATAACTTCCTACATGTCCTCATTCTCCCACTATCTCTTGAAATAAAGTCATCTGCTTAACCCTCAAATAAAACTGAACTTGAGATTCTTGGCTCCTTAAAATTTAAGCTTCCTTAGTATGACAAATAAAATATTTCAAGATCTCATTCCTATCTAGCTCTTAAGTCTCTACATCTGCTACTCACTAATGTCCACTTATTTTAAAATAATTTTCTGGTTCTCTGAGTATTGATTCACACTTGCAAGTGTTTGTCCATGTACAGAAATCACCTCTACCATGTTAGGCAAATTCCTACTAATCCTCTAAACCCTCAGAGCATAAACCACTCCATTCTTTGTGTTACCTTGGTATCTCTGAAATACTTTTTTTTAATAATCAAAAACTTTTCTTTAATTTTTAAAAATTTTTAAAAGATTTTATTTATTTTCAGAGGGGAAAGAAGGGAGAAAGAGAAACATGATGTGTGAGAGAAACAGCAATCGGTTACTTCTCTCATGTCCCCAACTGGAGACCTAGCCCATAACCCACACATGTGCCCTGAGACCGAGAATCAAACCAACAACCATTTCTTTTTATGGCTGAGTAGTATTCTATTGCACACATATGTACCACATATTTTTGAAATATTTTTACAGCTGAGAATGCATGTGAATCAAAACAACAACCAATGTATTGGGCCACATCAGCCAGAGCTAAAATTTATTTTTAATTATAGTTTAGTTTCAGGTGTACAACAGAGTGATTAGACATTTATACACCTAAGTGATCACAACAATAAATCTAGTACCCATCTGTACTATCCACAGTCATTACAGTATTACTGACTATATTCCCTATGTTGTACTTTACATCCTGTAGCTATTTTTCTAAATGGCAGTTTGTATTTCTTAAATCTCTTCATCTTTTTTGCCCACCCTTCCACCCTCTTCCCATATAGCAACCACCAGTTTTTGTTCTCTGTATCTATGAAGTTTTGTTTTGCTTTGTTGATTTAATTATTTTGTCATTTTTAGATTACACATATAAATGAAATTATATAGTATTTGCCTTTCTCTAACTTATTTCACTTAGTAAAATACCCTCAAGGTCCCATCCACGTTGTGGCAAATGGCATGATTTCATTTCTTTTTATGGCTGAGTAGTATTCTATTGCACACATATGTACCACATCTCTTTGAAATATTTTTACAGCTGAGAATGCATGTGATTTTAAGTTTGAGAGGAAAAGTGTCCCTTCAGCTCTCTATTCTTAGCTCTTAGCACAGTATCCTCCACAGCAATCTCTAGGTGGCTAATGAATGCTGAATGCAAAATGATCTAGAACTGAGATGAAGGTGGAATCACAAGTGGAATGATTATGCTCTTAAAGATCTATGTTTGCTTAAATATTTAAACACTTACTCATCGCTAATTTGGGCTGAGGACTGAAAAACTAAATTTATATGTGGAAAAAATCTTTCACTGAGATGAGCATTTAGTAGACATATGTATGTGGCAGAAATTACTGTTTCTATTACCCATGTCACCACTTCTAATCTATTTAAGAATATCTTTAGTGTTCACAGCTCTTTTTGAATTTTCTAGTGGGTCTTCCTGTTCTAATGGTTTAGACATCCCCCCCCAAAATCTTTGATACACAAAATCATAAGCAATTTATTTTCATAGTTGAAAAGCAAAGACAAATGGAAATTTTACCTCGGCTCAGGTTCTCACACATAAAGTTTTACATATTGTTCTTTAATAGGGTACTTTAGAATGAATATACTGTTGTATAATTTAATTAACAAATGTAGAAATTTAGAGTACAGAAAAATATAAGTAATACATTATGTCCTTAACGCATATTGAGATGAGTAGTTCTTGATAAACAGTGTAGAATTAAAAACAAAATTACCTATTTTTTGCAGTGCTAAAATAATGAGGTCTTTTAAAAGTTTATAATTAGAAGAGTTGTAAGAATGACCTTAAATAATCATCCTTGAATGGTCGGTACCACCACTCTGGCAGGATTATTTAGAAAGTAAACATTAAGCTAACACTAAGAAGTCCTAGTAAAACTAACACTAAATAGTGATGAATCTATCATATGTGTTAAAGAAGAAAAAAAAAAGAATAACTATAGTTATCCTAATGTGTTTTTTAAAATAGCTTAGACAGATAGTATCTAAACTCAGTTCCTCTCATCTTCCTCCCACCAGCTTTCTTTTCAATAATGGTAACTAATTCTGCTCTTTATTATACATTATATTGCTGCTGAATAATTTATAAAATATGAGTGCAACAGTATCAGGGTCCTGGAAATAAAAAATAAGAAAAATTAATCTAGTAGGAAAGCTACCATGATCAAGGCTATGATTAAAGATCTATTTCAAATCAAAATTTGGTAATACCTGAAATATCCTTGGAATTCCTCCAGTATTGTAGTGAACAACTAGGCTAACTTTATTCTCTTTTTCCACAATTTCAAAGGATCCTTCTTTCCATTTTGTAATCCCAGTCTGCATACTTCGAATTCTGATAGGACCATGTATCTTCAGAGGAGACATATTTTCTTTAAAAATAAATTGCTTCTAGCCAAATTTTAAAGCAAAAATATACCTTCACCTGACAGATTCTGAGAAAGAAAAATAAAATAATTATTGATTAAAATATTTAATGACCTTTTCCTTATGTCCTACCTTATGTCCTTTACTACATTTCCATAAACCGTATTTTATCATACATCCTCTAAGGCCTTGATTAGCTCGATGAGACAGGTAAGAAAGACGACTAAAGTAGTCACTGACGTTGAGTGCATGAATCAAACTGACATTTAGTTCTTCTGTAGACATTCTCTTCCTTCCCATATGTCCAGCACCTGCATCTAAATTTTGCATTTTGCACCATTTACAAATCATATTGCTGCCACTAAAAGCATGCCAAATGGGACTACTAAAGAGTCCATCCTCAAAGTGACCCGCTTTTACATTCCCTCATGAATGCTAAAGGGTCTTGAATTTCAAATATAAGTAAAAAAATATTTTCAGTTAGCTGACTCCATTTCTTAGAATATAGATCCCCCCAAAATATCAAATCATATCACTAAGTAGTCTAAGCATATCCACATGTATAGAAGACATTAAATGAATACAAAACTGTAATCATCATCAAATTAGTTTAACTTCCAGAATTATTTGATAAATAATTTATTTCCTAGGGAAAAATAACAAAACCCATCTCCCTAAGAGCCACCTATCACTTATGTTTAATATTACCATTCCTGGCAAGATTCTTTTATCAATTTTATCCATGACAAATATTCAAATTTCCCAAGTGAACTTCTAACACTTAAAAATGGCTTACAACAAAAGAATGTCTAAGACTCTTCAAACTAACCTACCAAGTGTCAACAAGTAGAATTCTAGTAACAGCACAATGCTATTAAATAGTGCATGTATTATATAATACCGCCACATACCTTCCAGATACCTTTATGATGAATTGCAAATCGAATTGTATCACATACAATGTTAAAACAAATTTTATTTATACTCTTTTCAAATCTCTAAAAATATTGCCTCTAACACAGATTCTTGTTTATAATAAATTAAAAAGTCATTAAATTTTGCATCTGCCAAAACAGCTTAACTAGGAAAGTTTTTAAAAAGTAGTATACAAAGTAAAAACATACTAGGTCTAGATATCAGGAATCACCTCTGCCACTCCTAGTTTGTAACTTATCTTTTCTAACCACTAGTTTTCTCAATTGTAAAACAGGAACAGTGAACGCTATAGTGTTGCAAAATTAAATAACACACATTAGGCACTCAACAGACTCCAGCCTTAATAAGAATGAAATTAGTGTCCACTTTCTGAATTTATTCCTTGTCTGCAACACCTCTTTTTCCAAAGATGCCAGATAAATAAGTTAACAGGGGTTACCAATTCAACAGTCTATAGGGGCCTGGAAGGTTACATAAATGACTTAGGCAAAATATGAAAACTGTTATTCAAATTTAGCCAATTTTGTCATGTGAATATAGTGTGCTCAGCATTGACAGATCATCTAATTTTTTTATAAAAAAAATTAGTGAGAGAAAATGGGTGAGAGAAAAGTGAAAGGTAGCTAGGAAAGGCTTCTTAAAAAAGATAGTATCTAAGTTGAGCCTTGATTTTATAGACAGGAGAAGAAATAGTGGGAATGGGGAAAGTACATTAAAATCCTGTAGACACTGACCAGAGTGTGCAAAGGTATAGTGGCATGAGAACATGTGGCATTTTTAGGGAAATTATAAGTAGTTCAGATGGCTGGATTTGGAGAGCCTGTTGGGGTTCAAGACATAAGGAGGGCCGGCATCACGAAGGGAGTTTATGTCGTGCTGTGTCATCTTATTGTGAGGGCAGTGGGGAGTCACTGAATAATATTAAGGAGGAAAATGACGTGATTTGATCTGTTCAAATTTACATCTAAATTTTTAGGTAAAACTGCCCATTTTTAATTATGGGCAATGAATTAAGTTATTTTTTTAAACTACAAATCAAATAAAACCCACCTGTAGGCAGGGTACAGCCTGGGGACCGCAGTTCGAGGCCTCTATATACTGTACATCAAATAACTGGGAATAAAACAGAAAAAGAGATGTGAAAACACTTTGAATACTTAAAAGGTGTTATGCATTTTAAGTCCTCTATTACTATTCACTTAACTCACTAAATTTGTTGAGTGCCCACTGTGGCCAGATTTAGATAGTATAATTTACTGGGTATATAAATCCATCAAAGTATTTTAGTAGAGTCCAATGCTGTTTATAGCCAGTCTGTTAACATGACATTTTGCTAAAACCAGGAATTATAGAAATTTGGGTCAGCAATGTGTGTTTGTAATATATTTTTTTGGCAATTAATAATTTGGTGCTTCCCTGTTTGGGTATGTCCTTGAGATTTTTTTTCCATTCTGTCTCTTAACACTGCCAGTAATATGTGTCCCCTCCTATCCCAGTTGCCCATGCCAGAAACATGGGAGTTTCTTTGACTTCCTTCTTGGTGATTAGTGGTATTGGGTTGGAAATGGAAGGTCAAGGTAGAATACTGTCAATTCTACCTCCATATACCTTCCAGACATCTTTATAATGAACTGCAGATCAAATCACGTCATTTTCCTCCTTAATATTATTCAGTGACTCCCCACTGCCCTCACAATAAGATGACACAGCACGACATAAACTCCCTTCGTGATGCCGGCCCTCCTTATGTCTTGAACCCCAACAGGCTCTCCAAATCCAGCCATCTGAACTACTTATAATTTCCCTAAAAATGCCACATGTTCTCATGCCACTATACCTTTGCACACTCTGGTCAGTGTCTACAGGATTTTAATGTACTTTCCCCATTCCCATTATTTCTTCTCCTGTCTATAAAATCAAGGCTCAACTTAGATACTATCTTTTTTAAGAAGCCTTTCCTAGCTACCTTTCACTTTTCTCTCACTCATAGCCACACGGAGACTGTTTAATGTTTCTCTATTCTCCTGTTGCACCCTGTTCTTACTTCTAGTAGAGCATTTATCACATTATATTACATAAACTGTCTGTTTACCTCTTTGTCTCTATCTACACTGTTATTTAAAGACAGAATATGTTCTTTAATCTTCGCATCCCCGTTAGAACAGTGTCTGATGCACAAGTAACAAACTCACTATTCAAGAATAATGAACAATAACAAAAAAGAATAATGAACAAATCAGTACTACCAATCTAATTCAATTTGCTGTTAAAATATACAACAGCAGATACTGGATCCTTTATATACAGCCTTTGTATACATAAATCCTTTATATACAGCCAATATAGGATTTTTACTAAATCCTATACAAGAGTATCACTATGCACAGTATTGCATAACTCATCTTTTGGATGCTTAAGTTTTTTCTATGCGCATCTTAACTTTTCCACTAAATGCACAGCTGTTCTCATATCTTAAGATTCAATGAGAAAATCATTTATGAACAAGAATTAATATGCAGTTACAGAATGCATTATTAAAATAAAAACATTAATAAACTTACCTAAACTGGAATTTATTTCATTCATTGCTCAATAAACTCCATTTTAAGGATTTTGTCAAATTACCTCACCTCTTAAAAAAAAGTCATTATGTGTCATGGCACCACATTAAAAGGGAATAAAATAAAATCCCATTATCTCAGTGTTTTCTCTTACAGACCAAAAGTGAGTGAAGGTGGTTAACCTTGAATTCCTCCAACAAAAATATACTTTTAAAAATTAGATTTAACAAAAATTTGAGGTAAAGATTTCAGTGTTCACTAAAGTACATCAGAAATAAAGACTTGATTGGTTACTTCTGTGTCTCTATAATTTTCTCTATTAATTTCGATATAATTCTCAAACATTTGATGCAGAGTTTTGATTAAGTATATAAAATTTTACTTCAGATATTTAACATTTTCTTAACCGTTTCTATTAGCTACCTCTCTCTCTTTTAAGGAAAAACCCCCATGAAGGATACAGGGCATAAAACTGGCCGAACCAGTAAAACTTTTTCTTAATGCCCCTATTTAGTCCATCACCTACTCTTGCGTTAAATGAATTAACTAACTATTTTTGTACATTCATCGTATTTTCAGGGTTTTCTCTAATCAAGAGGAAAAAAACTAAGTTTCTTTTTCAGTATTTAGCATAATCGAGTAATCAAACTTTCTCTGAACCTAGGACAAAGACAAGGTTTCTTTGAACTCTGTAATGCTAATTCACTATCAAAGTGGTATTAGGAAGACGAAATATAATAAAAACTGATGAGATATTCCCCTTTCCCTAAATTTCTTCAAAATTATTAAAATCACCGTTCAACTTTGAGCATTCTATGAAAGCACCGTGACATTGCCAAAATTTTTTCTATACCCTGGACAGATATTTAAATGCTAGTATTTTAGGTACTGTTTTGAAAATATACTTATCCAGAAGGGTATTTTTGTGGTAAAGAAAGCACGCTAAAGCATAAAACTGTTACTACAAAATAGAAGAAAGAAAAGTTAATTCCTGCCAGTGTGCATACTTTTGTAAACATATCTAAAATAAAAACCTTACTTACTTTTTGGTGACTTTTACTAAAAAACTGTATGTAATAACAATTCACCTTTATTCTGATGCTGGTGCCAAAGGCAATGCAATCTTCTTGGGGAACTACTCATATTCTGCAGCTATCCCAGTTCTCCAGAAGCCATCAACTCAGCTAAAGAAAAGATAAGTGCACTTTGTTAAAGAATCAAATTCACAAAATTAAAATTATTTTTAAAAGTGACCATTTATACAACAGACTCACCTTTTCATTATTTAAAAACCACCTAAAACAATGTTCAAGATACACACATGCATGAGAAATAAAACTTTAGGGATCTGTGTGCAAATTGAGGGATTCAGGAAGAGCTACACCTTCATCAATTTGTGTCTTTCTTTATCCCCAGCTACATTTCAAAACTAAGGCAATGAAAAAGAATACATCCTTTGTTGACTTCATAAACATTGTTACATAATGATGTCTTATGTCTTAAAATACTACTTCCACAATGCTGTTACAAATTTCAAAAGGCAAATAAACTTAGTTCTAACTTTTCTTTTAAAACTAACTTTATGGCTTTCTTTCTCAAATTTAGACACCTCTAAAATCTCTCACTGCCTTCTTGAAGGCTGTAATGTCAACTTTAAACTCATTTGTTCACAGTAAAAAATCATTATCCAGCCATTCCAATTTGATAGCACTGTGGTAGGGATACAAATGTGAAAATTATACGGTCCATGCCCTCAAGAGACTCCCCAGACTTCCCTACACATGTCCTTCCATCACGATTCATGGAAAAAAATAAAATAGAACAAATTTTTAAAAACCTTGGCATCAGTGTTAACCTCATTCTCATTTATCTAAAATCTAGTCTTTTTATAACTACTACCCTAACTCAGAAGCATATCACTTTGCCACCATTCCCATCTAATATTTATTACACAACATAAACTAATAAGCACAGTGCTAAATGCCATATATTAGGTACTTTCAGAATAATCCTAAAGGACAGGTATTATTATCTCTATTTACAAATGAGGAAACTGGGGCTTAGAGAGATCAGGTAATTTATCCGTGGTTACAGAGTAAAAGTCAAAAGTCTAACACCAGAACCTATGTTTTTAACTACGACCATATTGCATCCTCATCAATGAAAGTGTCTGCAGCAACCACTTTCCAATGTTCTCAGGATTTTTTCCATACAATGAATCCTTTACCCTCTTAAAAAACTACTCCTTTTTATCTCTTACCAAAGAAAGTATGCACTCTCTTTCTATAACTTTCTCCCTAAAGCAAAGGCAGAGATAGGTGGACCTGTCCTATCTTCTTTTGTACTCCTGCAGCGTAACAGGAACTTTGTTTAAGTGCTAAATACTTGCCACTGATGCTAGTTCCCTCCCAAAGCATTTTTTAAATTTTATTTTATTGTGTTAAGAATACATAAGATGGCTCTCTTAACAAAATTTAAGTGTGTAATAGTCTTCCTAACTATAGGTACAATGCTACACAGCATATCTCTAAAACTTACTCGACTTGATTAACTGAAACTTTCTCCCAAACATTTTTAACAGCTCATCACTGTCTATAAAATAAATCCAAATGCCTCTATGTTTTGCGTTCATATACTCCCTATGTTTTATTTCCTACTTCTCAACAAAAATCTTGTGCACACACATACAAATTACTAAATTTTAATATTTTCTTTCACATCCACCACCAAAAACTTACGTAAATATGACACTTTACCTATTTATGGAAACATCATCCTCACTGGTCTCATAAAGTTTAACTTGTTCTTAAGATATATAAACCAGTGCTCTAATTCCTAAGGGCTTTCTTTCTTAAAACAAATAAAACAAAAATGCACAGAGATAAAATTAGTGTTGTGGCGGAAAGACAGGAGTTGATCTAAATAAAGTTTATCTCCAATTCAAAAAATCTAAAATCTGAGTGTTTTTATGCCATAAGAATGTAAAATGATCCAAAGCAATGAAACCCTTTAGTCTTTTTCTTTTGTGTCCTTTGATTTGTCTACAGAGTGGCTATTCAAATGACAAGAATATTGTTAGGTTGGTGCTTTCAAAAGACATGATGGTTCTTACAGTAAGCTCCAGTTTACTTATTCACTTAACAAATTTTTTAGAAACAAACATAGAATAGTTACTAGCTTATATCCTAGCAGGCGACAGACATTAATCACACAATATATAATTACAAGTTCTAAAAAATAATATAAAATGCAGAATGTGATGAGAGATTATAATACTATACCTGAATTAAGACTTGGAAGTTAGTGATTAGAAAGCATCAAGAGAAGGTTTCTCTGAGGAAGTACCACTTAAGCTGAAAACTGAAGAGTGAGTTTATCTGAAGGACGGTCATGCTAGAACAATCCAGACAAAACAAAAGGTGCAAAAGCCCCGTGACAGAGAATAACCTGGTGTGACTGAAATGAAAAGTAGTATGCCTACAGTTTAGAGACAGAAACGGAGGATGGTGCAAGATGAAGCAGTAAAGCAGGAAATAACCAGGTTATGCAGAATCTTATAGACCATTTTAAGGATTTTGAATTTTACCCTAAATTTAATGAACACTGAGTGATGGAAAATCTGCTGAAGGGTTTTAAGCAGAGAAATGACATGTGACAGCTGAATGGACAAGTGATGTGGTTTGCTTGAGTTTGGAGAGAACAGCAAAAGGAGCAAGAATGAAAGAAAACAGGGCAACTAGGTAAGAAAGTACTGAAGTGATTCAGCTTATGACAACAATTAATGCTTACTAGCCATTTACTGTGTGTCATGTGCTTACTATGGTATATCACTTAACCCTCATAGTAATAAGGTAATGTTTATTTCCATTTTACAGATGAGAATACAGGCTACCAGTGACATTAAGTCCAGGTAAATGAGGACTGTGGCTTGAACTAGAAAAGTGATCCTGAACATGTAGAGAAACAGATTTAAGACATATATTGGTAACAGAGTAAATATCAGTTGAAGAGGGTATAGACGCTGGAAAGCCATTCTGGACTTCTTTGTCAGAAAGAGTGGCTTCCCTCTGACAGAGAAGTCAAGAATGGCTTTCTGGTGTCTAGCTTATGTACATGAATAAAAAGGATGTATCACTTAGTGAAGTGGTATACTGGGGAAGAAAGAATGTGGGTCTGGAGGAAAAGATTAAGATTTTGGTGTGTAGACATGTTATATTTGACATTTCTAAGACAAAATTAAGCTGAGATGTCAAGGATGACAGTGGCTATTTAGATCTTGAACTGAAAACAAAGGGAACAAGCTAGAAATAAAAATTCTTAAGTCATCAATAAAGAAGTGGAATTTAAACCTTAGGGCAGAAAGGGAAGAGTGAAAAGAACAGAACCTGGGACCGCCCCCGGATATTCACTTTTACTCCATCGGACATCTCTCACTAGGATCATTGATTACTTTGACTTCACCAGGCTTCATTCCTCATTCAACTTTACCTTTCAGCAAAATCCAATCCTACTGATTACTTCACCTCTTTTACAAGACTTGTATTCCTCTATTCAGCTATTAAATGCCCAGAATCTCTTAGGGCTCCATCTTAGGTCCCCTTCTTTTCTAGCACTATGCTCTCTTTAGGCAATTTCATCCACATTCATAGCTTTGATTACCATCAAGGCAACGTGGCAAATGACATAGATTCCTTTATCTCTATGTCCATCCCAGAACTCTCCTCTGAGCCCCAACCCTCTATATATCCAACTGCCTACCTGACATCTTCTCTTTTTAAAAAAACACTTAAAGAAAAACTACTACTGTGAGAGAGACAGACACGAAGGGGGAAGGAGGAAGAGGGAGAGAGCGAAACATCTGTTTGTTGTTCTACTTACTTGTGCATTCACTGCCCTGACCAGAGGTCGAACCTGAAACCTTGGCGCATCCAGACGATGCTACAACTAAGTGAGCTGGAAGGCCAGGGCCTTGACATCCTCTCTTAAATATTTCTTCCAGTTAGATACTTCTCAGATACTGGCACCCCAAAACGGGCATTTACACGGGGCCAAATTTTTGAAAGAATTACCACAAAACCACTCCAGGCCAACTCTCCAAAGAGACAGGACTTTATCATCATTTCCTTTCGCGGACCATGAACTGAAACAGGTAAACCTGACAATCTAGTCTTATGACTAGAGACGGGCAGCAACCAAATGCGTGACAAAAATGGAATTCATATCTTTTAGTGAGAGATGGTCAGGAGACGAGAGAAAGTGAAAAACTGTCAAGAGAGTTAAAGAGTAGCCTGTCCAAGGCTTGATGGAGGTGCGGCAACCTAAGTTCCCCTTAGAGGCAGCAGACCTCGTTAAGGGGCGAGCGGCGCAGGGCGACAGCCCCCCGCGAAATGCGGCAGGTTCGGGTTGCAGAGAGAGCAAGTGACAGTAAAGACTAGGTCAAAGAAGGAAAGCCTAGGGGAAGACCCAAGTGGAGTACCGGTGAGGCCAGGGGTGCGTCGAGGGGTTGAGGGCTGCGCTGAAGGGCAGCGGCGAACTCCAGAAGAGTGAACGCCGAGTGGGCGGACCGCACGGGTCAGGGGGGAGGGGGCCTGAGGAAAACGGCTCAGTCGAGAAGCTCGCTGGGCCCGTCTTACCTGTGTCTGCGAGTCTGGAGCTCCGACAGGCCTGCTGGAAGCACGGAGTCCGCGTGGAAGGGAAGGAGAAGGGGGTTAAGAAGGAAGAACCGCCAAACACGAAGAAGAGGAACAGCTCACTCCCCCGAGTCAGGGAGAGCGGCTGATGGCGGGAACTGTGACCACACGCAAACACGCAACGCACGCACGCACACTCGACGCGACCGGACGAGGCGCGTGCGCGCAAGCCTGCAAACTCCGCCCTTCCACGCCCTCGCTCCGCCCCAGCACCGGGTGCAGTCTCGCGGAGGCAGCCCCGCCCCATCTGACGGTAGTACGCAAGCGCATTCCCTATCACTCGCTTTCGACTTCCCACCGTTTTCCTCCCGTTCAGCCCAGTGGGCATGCGCATTGCTTGTCCTCCCAGGCCTGCTCGGCTTTTCCCGCCCTTTGCTGGCCTACGGAGGAGGGTTGGAATTCATTCCCCTCTCTGGGGGTGCTTGCCGGGGATGCAGGGACTAGTGGGTAGCGGATGTCCTTTAAGTCTTGATTATTAAGAGGCAAAGTTCATACTTTGGGACTAACGCCGCTGAGGGCTAGGAAGCGGCAAGAGGTTGTGTGGGCGGGGTCAGGGGTGAAAGGTCATAGGGCTGCGAAGGGGCGGAGCGAGCCGAAGGCGGATGGCGGCTGCGGCGGCCCCTCAGCTTTGGCGGCAGAAGCACTGAAGTGGGGAGGTGGGTCGGGAGCGTCCGGCGGTGGGAGTAGAGCGGTGGTCGCTCCCAACATGCACAGCCTGGCGACTGCTGCGGTAAGTAACTGGCATACCTGGCCTAGGCCAAAAACAACTCCTCAGCCTAGCATTTCGGCCTCTTTTCCTAGCTCCCCCGTCGAGCCTGGAGTTCAGCTCCGCCTGCCCTCGACCCACGCGGCCCGGGGCCCCTACCTCGCCGCGCCTTGGCCGTGGCGGAGTGAGCTCCCAGTTAACTCGGCGGCCGGCCCTGGTGGCCTCTCGCGCGGCGTTTCGCGTTCTTTTCCGGCCCGGGGGCCTGGTCCCGCGTCCGGAGCGCCTCTCACGTCCGGGACAAACCATTCATTGATTCATTGGGCTGACCCAACAGTTTCCGGATGCCAGTTGCGTGCGGGACGTCAGCGAGGATGAGGGGAGTTCCGTGAGCAACCCTGACGGGGCCCAGCGCTGTCGGAACTCACTGCCTAGGCACATCGCAGCGGGAAGGAAATGGCTTCTAGCTCAAACCACATGGTTCACAGATGGCAAATTTGAGACCCGGGGAAGGGAATTATTATTATTATGTCTGGATTTTGGTTGTCAGCGCTTCAAATCTTTCCCCACACGTCACGTTTTATCAACGTAAACGGATCGTGTAATTCACCTGCCCGAAGTAATCCTATGGCTTCCCATTGCGTTTAGATAAAATCCAGACTCCTTGCCATGACAAGGCCCTCCGTGGTCCGTACCCACGTTTACAGTCTCGTTTTTTTGTCACTTGCTCGGTAGGCTCCAGGGACACTGGCCACCTTTGCATCCCTTCTGTTGTCCCTTCTAGTGTGCTTTTCCACTCCAAGGTGCACTTTCTGATCTCTATTCCTGGAGTGCTCAATCTCCTCCCGACCCTTAACACACACGTTTCTGTACACCGTCCCCCCCCACGGGGGTGTAACTGGCTCCTCTTCCTCGGGTCTCTGCCTGAATCTCCTTAGTGTTGGCCTTCCCTTGCCGTCCTTTTTAAAGTAGTTCTGTAACCCCCAACTTTTCTCTGTTGTAAGTACCCTGTACAGCATTGATGCCAATTCATTCACTTTGTTGTCAGTGTCTCTCTTGAGGACAGCGGCGGGTATTACGTAGGCCCTGGTTTTATGTTTGCCCCCGTGCCTGGCACAGAGTGAGGGCTCAGACACTTGGCTGAACGAGGGGTGTAGACGAGGGAGGTGGCCACTGAGAGCACTTAGCCATGATGGGAAAACGCGATCATATGATTTGAGCACACTCTTCTAATGCCCATCCCACTTTTTCTGTTTTCACCAAGGTGAAGTGACTGAGGAGAGAGTAACGTACTGAAGTTACATTAGGCAAAGTGATATAAGTACCACATAGAGAACAAAAAAAAATTGCCTTGACTTTAGATATAAAAAGCTTAGTGTGATTAGACTATAGGAAACTGTCATTTCCAAAGCCAGTGGCATCTCTGCCTCCTGTCACCATGTTTCTAAGTGTTTGTAACTATTCCATGTGGAGAGATACCTTTTATATCTTTCAGTTGGTGTTTGCAGTTTTCCAGCTTTTTTTTTTTTTCCTTCTCCCAGATTTCATGTATAATTTGCAAGAAGCCAGTCAAGATGAAGTTGCGGCTGGTAGGGGAGGGACACTTTAAACAAGGGGTTCTTCTAACATGGGCTTGTCTCTCCATCTCTTAAAATGTGATTGTGTAATCCTCTCCACACTCTGGTACAAAGCTGCTCTTTTCCTTGTGCCTCCTCAAACTCTATACCTATTCAGTTCTTTTTATTTTCACTTGCTCCCTAATGCATCTCTTGAACAGCCATTAAAGCTATGGTTTATTTCTAAGTACCAAATTAATGGTTCTTCAATTAAGTTTACAATACCTTACATTTATTATAAACTTGAATTTTTAGATACTTTCACCTATTACGCTGTTTGGACCACACAAAAGCTCTGACAAGTTCCTCTGTACCCCTCATTCACTAGAGTACTTGGTTAGTGTGGACACTGAAGCACAGAAAAGTTGAGCGGCCTCTTTCCCAATCCTTCGTGCCTTCCATTCGACTAAACTGCCTGTATTATTCTGCAGAGCTAACAGCAGAAACATTTTAATTTTAGTCTGAGATTTTTATGTATTCCCTATCTGTATTGTTCAGGTTACAGGAAATAGTATTTTAGAAAGTATCTTTAGCTCGGACCTTGTCTTTCAGCTCGGTGAGAAGCAGCATTAGCAAAGCAGTTAAGAGTGTGGACTCTGTTGACAGACTGCCTGGATTCAAATCCTGGCTTGCCACTTAAGTTTTAAGTAACTTCTCTGCTCCTCAGTTTCCTCATCTTTAAAATGAGGGTGGTGATGGTACTCATTGATTTAGGACAGTGTCTAACAGAGTAAACGCTATATATGATAGGTTCCCTTTTAAAGAAATAACTGTACTTATCCCATAACAAATACTGTATTTTACTGTGTATAATGTGCCCCAGTGTATAACGCGCATCCACATTTGTGGCCCACACTTTCAGGAAAAAGATCTTTCGTTTTAATTTTTCAATTCAATTTTTTATTTATATTTAGAAACAAAACCAATTATCGTATTCCAGGGTATTGTTTTGCATGCAGATATCGTTATTGCTTTATAAAGTTACATTTCTAATGCATACGCATAAATAAAAGAATTAAAAACATTTATGTAGATACAGAATTAGTACTATCCGTGCATGATGCACACCCTTATTTTCCCTCAAAAATTTGGGCAAAAAGGCACATTATACACAGCAAATTATGGTAGTTATTCAGTGGGTTTAAACTAACATCTGTTATTAAATTGGGAGCAAAATCCAATAGGGATGATGAAAAGGAGTGTCCTTGCCCCAGATATTTCCTGGTATCAAATTGCCCTCGCTGCCTTCCCGTTGCTAGAATGGCTATAGAACCCTCAGTTCCAAGCTAGTGAGGCCGTATTACCACCCACCTGACATCCGTAGTTCTCTTAGAACCAAATTTTCATGGAGGCTGCAGCTCCCACACATAATTTCAAAAGTTCGATTATTGCTGGCAGCAGGTGGTCATGGCCTAGGAACACAAAAGTAGGCACCAAAAATTAACCTCCCAGAGTGCCAGCACCATTTAAGAGGCACCTCCTTCTCACTGGAGTCAAGTCTGCTCTAGAAATAGAATGTGTGGGGATGGGGACGGGGCAGGGGGTGGGGGAGCGCTGTTCAGAAGACCTGATATGCTGACTGGCTACCAATACAGCCCTGGTGGTGTTCACCTAAGCACCCCAGGGCAGAAAGGGGTACAGAGGTGCTGGGTACAAGTCACAGGCTGGCTCTAGTTGGGGTGATGGAATTTACTGGTGGTGGTGTCTAGGTGACAGGACTTTGAGGAGAGTTGACCAGAATGAACAATGGCTAATCAGGATAGATACTATATTGCTGAAGTAGTGTCTATGAGGTCCCTTTGGTTACTGGGTTGTGGGTCATTCAAGAGACTGGGCAGGAAACCCAAGGCTAAAATTTTAGCCGTTGTTTTTACTGAGCTTTTAAGGTGATGTAATACTCTAAATAAGCATATCCTATCTTCTGGTGGGAATTACATTTCCAAAAATAATTTTTTAAGTTGAGGGCTTGTCTGTAGCAGCATAGAAAGGACAAGTGCTTGGACAGTACTACTTTTGCGGTAGGGGGGGAGAAAACTGCCCTATTCTTTGTGCCTCATCTTGTTGCTTTAGGAGCCCGTGTTTCCTTGAGGAGCATCACTAATGGGAGTCCAAAAACAGCTTTAACAGATTACTCTAAGGCAGCGACTCTCAACTGCTGGGCGCGGCAGGCACACTAGTATGCTGCAAGAATTTTAAAACATGCAATACCTGACGATTTAGTCAGGGGCACTGACCTTTTTTTCTTAGATTGTCAAATAAAAAAAATGATAACAGCCAACATGACAATAGCCATCTGGTGTGAGTGAATCAAAATTATACCCTTTTTTTTTTTTGGTCAGATCAGCAAAAATATATTTTTTGGTATGCTGCAGAAGTTTAGTTACTAGTTTATGTGTGCCATGAGAAAAACGGTTGAACATTGCTGCTCTAAGGCATTAAGCTGCATGGCATTTCAGTTCATTTAGCAGAACACCTCATGGTTCCTTCTGTCAAGCAAGTGAAATGATAAACATTAACATTAAGCTAAAAGATTATAATCAAGCTTCCATTTATAGAAGGCGATTGTTCAGCTTGGATAGAGTAAATATGAATACTCCTCAAAGTCCATCTTTTTGTTCCTCATCCTTCCATCTGTGCAATGGGTGGGTCAACATTCTGTCACAGTAAGGTGTGGTGGGAACATGTAAATGCGGTGAGAAGCTGTGTGATACAGTTCAAGAAAGCATTGGAATATGCACCTTCATGTTTGTGTGAATTGAGGTTTATTCCTCTGAGCATAGTGATCTCATCTGCAAGTGTAGAGCCCTTCTTTCTATCTACCCACATTTTCTTCCTCAAGGTTTTGGGGAGAATTAAGTGAGAAAATATTGGACATGGAGATAGAAATCATCGTGAATTTGGTAGGACTTCTCAGCTAGAAATAGCAATGGTAATTATTTTTCTAGCCTACCGCATTATTTTCCACATAATTAAGAGGTCCTGGCTGGTATGGCTTACTTGGTTGGAGGATCATCTATAGACTGAAAGGCCGCAGGTTTCATTCTTAGGGCACATGCAGGTTAGGTCGCCAGTTGGGGAACATGCAAGAGACAGCCATTCAGTGCTTCTCTCTCACATGGATGTTTCTGTCCCTCTCTCTCCCTTCCCCTGTCTATAAAATCAATAAGCATGTCCTCAGGTGAGAATTTTTAAAAAGAATCATTAAGGGACTACTAACTCAAGGCCATAAGGTTATTTGACAAGTGTGAAGAATTATAGAAATCCTCAATTTGGAGAGAATATTGTGATTCCTTTTGTTCCCCTAAGATTTTACTTATTTATTTTTAGAGAGAGGGGAAGGAAAAGAAAGGGGGAGAGAAACATCAATGTGTGATTGCCTGTCATGCTCCCCCTACTGGGGACCTGGCCTGCGACCAACACATGTGCCCTGTCTGGTAATGAACCGGTGACCCTTTGGTTCACAGGCTGGCACTCCAGCCACTGAACCACAACAGTCAGGACGAATATTGTGATTCTTTAGCACAATAAGGAAAGTATGTTCTGGAAACCTGTTTATATAGTTCTACATGAGTGAGTAATGAATGGTTTGCAAAGGAGGGAATCATTAAGAAGGGAGAGCTTTTCCAAATTACATAGTTTTCCGCTCCATGGAAGAGGATGCTGGAATTACTGGGGAAGGACCAGCAATGGGTGGGGAGGGTGTAACTTTTTTCTTTCAAAAATTATTTTAGGTGCATAGTTAAAAAAAAAATTTTAATTGTGCAGAAGATTTTATTACATACAATGAAAAGTAAGCCTCCCATGTGGATTCCAAACTTAGAGGTAACTACTGTTAACAACTTCTTGTGTCCTTCTAGAAGTGTTATACATAAATATATAAGAATATATGTGAATATCAATGGAAGCATATATGGTGTTCTATGCCCTTTTTGTTTTTTATTTTTTAATTTATTATCAGCACATATAGAGGTATTTCTTTCTATATAGTATTATATATAAAGACGCACCCATACATGTTTAACCAGTTCCTTAATGACAGCTATTTGTTATTTCAAGTTGTCTTTTTAACACAGTGCAACAGTAAATATTATTGTATGTCTTCAGTACAGCCCAAATATACCTATAGGATAAATTCCTAAATATGGAGTAATTAAAGGGTATGTGCATTTTAGATTTGGTAAGGTCAATTAGTTTATATCAAGTGTATATATTTAGAAAAGCTCCCCTGTTATTTATGAGAAGTATATTCCCTCTAAAGCACTATGGCAGAGTAAGACTTGGTTTGACTCTAATGAAACTCACTTGTTTTCTTTCCTGTTTTCATTTGAAGCCTGTGCCTACTGCGCTGGCTCAAGTGGATAGAGAAAAGATCTATCAGTGGATCAACGAGCTGTCCAGTCCTGAAACAAGGGAAAATGCTTTGCTGGAGCTAAGTAAGAAGCGAGAATCTGTTCCTGACCTTGCTCCCATGCTGTGGCATTCATTTGGTACTATTGCAGCACTTTTACAGGTGGGTATTTATCCATAAGCTGTAGTTCATTTCTGTTTATCACACTTGTAACTCTCTGCCTTTGCCCAAATGATTTTGAAAATATTAGTAGGATGAGTCTCTAAATGGTGGCATTTGTAAGATTTTTAGAAAAGTCTAAGGTGCTTGCTAAAATGCAGATTCTTGGATCCTACCCAAGAGATTTGGTTTATTAGTCTGAGATTAAGATCTGTATTTCTTTTAAAATGTTCTTTTATTGATTCTAGAGAGAGGGGAAGAGAGGGAGAAAGAGAGGGAGAGAAACATCAATATAAGAGAGAAGCATTGATCAGCTACCTCTTGCACACTCCCCAACTGGGGACCTAACCTGCAACCCATGCATATGTCCTAACCAGGAATCAAAGCAGCAACTTTTTGGTTTGTAGGATGATGCCCAACCAAGTCACACGAGTCAGGGGAAAATCTGTGTTTTTAATAAGTACCTCCCCTGCTCTCAGGTGATTCTGATGGAGGTGGTTTAAGAACTACACTTTGAGAAAAACAGCATGACAGTGACAGAAAGGTGGAAAGTAAGGTGTAAGGACTGCGAGGTATTTACTGGGGAAACAAAATGTTAAAGATAGAACAGTTGTAGGATTAAAGGTGGGTACATTTGTACATTAAAGTATAAATAACAAATTTGTTTCTGACCAGAATGGTCATTTGTGGGGAATAAATTGATACGGTATAGTCTAGAGAATGTTCATCCTTTAAAATACTGTCCTAATCTTTACATGACGTTAGGTATTAAAAGTACCTAGTCTTTAGAGTAATTTTTTAGATCTGTTGAGTCAGTTCACATTCTGTTCCTACTGCATATAGCCAAGAATCTAATCTAATCTTATTGGAATATTTTCTATGTAAAAGTTTTACAATTAAAATTAATGGAATTGTATTCAACAGATTATCACCTTTTGATAGAGAATACATATATTCACTGCACATACCCATGTACTTATCTTCCTCTTTGCAGTTGCTATCCAATGAAACTCAAACTCCTTTATGAGTCACTGTGGTTGATTTACTAAGACTTTTTGGCTAGCTGCTTTATCACTATGACTTAAAGCAGGGTGTTGACAAAAAAAGGGGGGATTTTAAATGTAAGAGTTCCTCAAAAGTGAAAGCCTCAACAGCTGTAGGATATAAGGAAAGTGTCAGTGACCACAATTGCCCCATAGAAATCTTCCTCGAGACCTGTAGAAATGTCACAGATAGTCTTAGTCGAGCATATTTCTGATGAAAGGATGGGAGTATATTTCTGTTCTATTTTAACAGGATATGTGGAATTAAGAGGGTTTTTTTAAGTTATTGCTCTAATATGGGAATTAATTTTATAATAAGTTATCCTTTGTTCATCTGGTTCTGGTTTCTATTTTTCTAGGAAATTGTAAATATTTATCCATCTATCAACCCACCCACCTTGACAGCACACCAGTCTAACAGAGTTTGCAATGCTCTAGCATTACTGCAATGTGTGGCATCACATCCAGAAACCAGGTAAATTCTTTGAATGAGTCTGTTGGGGGAAGTTTGTACTGAATGTGACCTTTAACTTTTTCTGAGTGATGACAGTAGAGCATGTGCTAGGGCGTATGTGTGTGGGTGTGGATCTTCAGGATCCACATTTACTTTTTGTTTTTTTTCCTGAAGAATTTCTGGTCTCTAATTCACTAATTTTAGTGTAGTGACAGTATAGTATAGTTTAACATGTTCTTTTTTTTAACTTCTCTTGGTGCATTCCTGGAAGTACTACAATACCAAGGTGATGCATGGAGTAGACAGCAAGCTCCTGTTTCATCTCCTAGTTTCAAAAGTCCATTTGATATTTTGTCCTCGGATACAGGACATATCAGATGTGAAACAGATAAGAACAGATACTACACTTGATCTTAGCCAAAAGGCTGAGAAGCAATAACCTCTTTTTATTATGGTAAAATATACATAACATAAATTTTACAATTTTAACCATTTTCAAGTGCACAATTCAGTAGCATTAGATACACATACAGTGTTCAACCAACACCACCATTTGTAACTTTTCCTCTTTTAAAGCTAAAACTCCATACCCATTAATTAATAACTCTTCATTCCCCCAGCCCCTGGCAACACCATTGTACTTACTGTCTCTACAATTTTGACCACTCTGAGTACCTCACATAGGTAGAATCATACATTATTTGTCTTTTTGTGATTGGCTTATTCCATTTAGCATAATGTCTTTAAGGTTCATCCATATTATAGTATATATCAGAATTCCCTTCCTTTTTAAGGCTGAATAATATTCCATTGTCTCATATATGTCTTACCCATTCAAAGCAATGAGTTTTGAAGCCGTGGTATTCACATCTCAGGAAAGGTCAGGCATATAGCCACTTCTTCCTTCTGAATTCATGGTAGGCACCACTATGCCATGTGTGAGGCAGTGCATGGCATTTAGTAAATATTTGAACCCAGAATATTTTTTCCACATAACCCAGGTTCAGCATCAGAATATTTTTTAAAACAGGATTCTAGGCAATCTCTGTAAAAAATGAGAATTGGGTGTATGCAAGTTGAAAGGGAAATCCTGTTTAGGAATCTGCTATGTGACGTGTATAGCCATAAGATATCTAATAGTCATCCTATTAAAGTCTTTCCTCTCTTTGTCAAGTTCCCTTGACAATTTTGAGTGCTAGGATGGCACTGACTTTCCAGACCTTTAGAGAAGTTACTAAAAAACAGTTGTTTTTAAGCACTTAAGAAAAATGCAAGAGTACTTCGAATGTTAAAAATTTAGGGTGTTAGCTCTCCTACAAGATTTAACTATAAATAATATATTGATTCCATATTCATTGCCTGACATTAGTTGCAGATTAAAATGTTTTTAGAATATTTAGTGAATCTGAAATTCTGTAGCAAAAAAGAGTATGCACTTAAGTACAGCAGATAAACCTGGAATGGCTGCTTTGTTTTGATTTATAAGGTTTTGTCTGACTATACCTCTGAATATTGTTATTCAGCTATACATTAGGTGAGAGAAGGCATTTAGGAGAATCTCTGGACACTTGATTGCATTTTACGTTTTTTTTTTTTTTTTAATTGCAGTTGGATATTTTCAGTTTTTAAGGTACTTGGTGCTGATAAGAGGGAAAATCATGTATTCTCTTAATTACCGACCTAGACTAGGGTTTTTTAATCTTAGTACTATTGATGTTTTGAACTGTGTCTTTGTGGTGGGAGAAAGGGGGTTGCAAATGGCTGTGCTGTGCATTATAGGGTGCTTAGCATCCTTGGCCTCTGCTGACTGGATGCCAACAGCACTGCCTCAGTTGTGACAATCAAAAATATCTCTAGACATTGCCACATGTCCCTTCAGGGGCAAAATCATCCCAGTTGAGAACCACTGGTCTAGACTTTCCTAAAGATTCTTTCCAATAACAGTCTCCTAAGGATTCTTTTGTCAATCATGTATAGACCTTACAGAATTAACCATCTGGAAATTTGAATGTTTAGAGTCCTTAGAAATTAACTCTAACCTCTGAATGATTATTTTTTTTCTTCCAGGTCAGCGTTTCTTGCAGCACACATCCCACTTTTTTTGTATCCCTTTTTGCACACTGTCAGCAAAACACGTCCCTTTGAATATCTTCGGCTAACCAGTCTTGGAGTTATTGGTGAGTCATTAGGGTTGTTTTGCAAGCCTTAAATCCTAACTTATAATAGTGGTCTTAACTTGTGTGCATTGTCCAACATTTTACAGCTTTTGTTCACCAATTGTTTTTGTCTTTGAGATTGAGTCTGTTTTTACTAGTAAGTGAATATCAGGATCATGATAGCTCTTATCAAGTACTATTCTGACTGTTGTTTATAATCCCAACATTTGGGATTAAATTCAGCATATTTGTAGGAACATCTACTAGAATTTTAGGGAGAGTAAAGAACAACTTCAGTCAACAAATAAAGAGTATAGTTATAGGAATACGAATTTGAGTTTGTTTTTTGGCTTTGTTTTGTCTTTCTCACTTCTAAACTATCTCTGAGGGTTTACCTTCTATTGCACCTAGTTAAATTTTTGCATGCTCAAGTTAATGTTTTCCATATATATTTACTTTGGGAAATGTGTCTAAAAAACATTTTACACAAGAAAATAACATATCAGGTACTTCAGATCTCAGCCTCCTGGGTAGTAAAGAACTACTTTTGGATTTGTGAAATGTAAATACACTCAAGAAGGTTTCTTTCCCAATTACCCTTCTTGTTTTCAATGTCTCCTAATCGTTTTTGCTTATATACTGACCAAACAATAAGAACATTGATTATACAAATTTTATTTTATTTTATTTTATTTTAAGATAGTATTTATTTATTTTTAGAGAGAGGAGAAGAGAGTGAGAGAAACATCAATGTGTGGTTGCCTCTCATGTACCCCCTACTGGGGACCTGGCTCGCAACCCAGGCATGTGCCCTGACTAGGAATTGAACCAGTGACCCTTTGGTTCACAGGCCACTGCTCAATCCACTGAGCCACACCAGCCAGGGCACAAATTTTATTTCGATAAGGTATTATTTTTACATTCAACTTGTGTTCACATCACTACAGTTATAAACCATGAATCAGGAAGTATAATTTAAAAGTTTGGTATTTCTAAGACATATTTCTGAGACATTGTACTTTTAAGGAATAACTGCTACTTCATATACTTCACATGAATGTTGTATTGTTTTTGACATCCCCTCTCAAGTGGTACTCTAGAAACTTTTTTCCAATATATTCTTTTCTGTTTTTAAGCTATACAGATTTTTTATGTGGGATTTAAAACAATATAATTCCAGCCAAAAGAAAACATTTGTATTCTTAATTCTCATTTAAATCTTCCTATTCCTGCTGGGGTTTTTTGCCATTGAGGTTGGATGATGCATTTATGAGATGATAGGGTAAAGTTAACAGTGGAGTGATGAATAAAATAGCGTATTTTGCAATGTATAATGCACACTTTTTTGCCCAAATTTTTGAGGGAAAAATAAGGTATATTATACATGGGTAGTACTAATTCTGTATCTGTATAAATGTTTTTAATTCTTTTATTTATGCGTATGCGTTCAAGTGTAACTGTGGAAAGCAATAATGATATCCATATGCAAAATAATACCCTGGAATACGATATTCAGTTTTATTTTTAAATATAAATAGATAAATAATTGAATTAAAAAATGAAAATGAAAGATTTCTTTTTCCCTGAAAGTTTAGGCAAAAAACATGGGTGCGCATTATACACGGCAAAATATGGTGCTTGGACAATACTAAGCCAGTTTTTCACCCTTGCATATATTTTCTGAAACTCAGTTTCTTTCTCCAAGTCAGTTGAGGGAACAAGCAGAAGGTGAATATTTGGACTTAGACTTTTTGCTTATAGTTAAAGAAAACACTTGAAACTGAATAAAAATTAAAACACAACATATCAAAATTTGTACAATGCAGCGAAAGAAGGGCTAGAGGGAAAAATGGAGCATTGAATACTTATACTAGAAGAGAGGTATTTAATCAAATTTCTTAAGCTTTCGCTTTGAGAAACGAGAAAAAGGAGCAAACTAAACAAAAGCAAACAAAAGGATGGAAATAATAAAGAATAGATACCAGTGAAAATGAGAACAGCCCTAGCTGGTGTGGCTCAGTGGGCTGAGCGCTGGCCTGCAAACCAAAGGATCGCTGGTTCAATTCCCAGTGTAGGGCACATGCCTGGGTTGCAGGCCCAGTCCCCAGCAGGGGAGTGTGCAAGATGCAACCACACATTGATGTTTCTCTCTGTCTGTTTCTCCCTCTCTTCCCCTCTTTAAAAATAAATAAATAAAATCTTTCAAAAAAATGAGAACAGAAAAACAATAGATAAAATCAATGAAATCAAAAACTGATTTTTTAAAAAATTGAAATATAATTGACATATACCATTGTATTAGTTTCAGGTGCACAATATAATTTTATATATATATCAAATTGATTATTACAACAAGTTTAGTTAATACCCATCACCATAATTTTTTTGTTACAATATTTTTTTTCTTGCAAGGATAACTTTTAGTCTATTCTTCTAACAACTTTCAAATATGCAATGCAATATTGTTACTATAGTCACCGTGCTGTACAATACACCCTGAGAGTTTATCTAATTATCTAATAACTGGAAATTTGTACCTTTTAACCATCTTTACCCCTTTCACCTACCCCTAATTTTTAATTGCAAAAAATTCAATTAAATTAATAAACCTCTAACCAGACAGACCGAGAGAAAAAGAGAGGACAGATTACAAATAGGAGTGAAAGAGGTTATGAAAGACTGTAGACATTAAAAGGATAATAAGGGAATAGTGCTAAACTTTATACCCATGAATTTGACAACTTAGATGAAGTGGACAAATTCTTTGAAAGATTCAGTCTGCCAAGTCACACTCAAGAAATATAGAGAAGCTGAATAGTTTTACATCTATTAAATTGTTTTCATAGTTAAAAATCTTCCGATGTAGAAAACCCCAGGCCCAGATGGTTTCATTAATGAATTCTACCAAAAATTTAAGAGAAGAAATAATACTAATTCTACAAAGCTTTTTCAGGACACAGAGAGGAGGCTTCTTAACTCTTGGTAAGCCCAGCCTCACTGTGATAATAAAACCAGAAAAAGGCATAAGAAAAGAAAGCTATAGGACAGTATCCCTTATGAACATAGATGTAGAAATTCTCAACAAAATGCTAACTTATCAAATCTAACAGTATATGAAAAGAGTCATGACAAAGTGACGTTCATATTGGTAATGCATGCTGGTTCACCTTTCAAAAATCAGTCAAAATGATTGACCATATCAAGAGACTAATAACAATTATCATTTCTGGAGGGGGTTTTTTTTTAGGCCTTTAATAGAAATCAGCATCCGTTTATGATAAAAACTCCAGCAAAGTAGGAATAGAGGGGAATTTTCTCAACCTGTAAAGCACAAAATATAAAAACGAAAACCTACTGTTAAGATCATAGTTAATGTGAAAAGCTGATTGTTGTCCTTGAAAGTTGAGAATAAGGTAAGGATATTGTTTATTCTTACCATTCCTGTTCACTACATTCTTGGGTAACTTAGCTGGGTACAATAAAGTAGGAGAAGAAAGTAAAGGGCTTACGAATTTGAAAAAAATAAGACTCTTCACAGATAACATGATTAACTATTACATATAAAAATCATGAGGAACCACCCAAACAAACTACTAGAACTTGAAACCTACTTTTATGATAGCACCAAAACATGTGGAAAGACTTGGGTGTAAATCTTACAAAATATGTGTGAGTTCTATAGCTAAAAACTACCAAATCGTGAAAGAATCAAAGAAGGCCTAAATAAATGTAGTAATATACCATGTTCATTGATTGATATTTCAGTGATTCAATATTGCTGAGATGTCAGGTCTTCCCAAATTGATCTATAGATTTAGAGCAATTCCCTAAAATATCCAACAGAATTTTTTTAATGGAAATTGATGAATGATCCTAAAATTTATATGGAAAAGTAAATGCACTAAAGTATCCAAACTTTTTTTTTTTTTTTTTTTTTTAAGGACAAAGTTGGAAGATATACACTACTTGATTTCCAGACCTGCTGGAAAACTATAGTAGTCAAGAGTGTGGTATTGGGTAGACTTGTAGGTTAATGAAACAGAATGAAGAGTCCAGAAATAAACCCACGCAAATACAGTTAACTGATTTTTGAAAAAGGTGCAAAGGCAATTTAGTGGAGAAAAGAGTTTTGTCAATAAAGAATGTTGGAACAATTGGATATTCATATGTAAAACAATGACCCATGATCCGTACTGTATACTCTATACAAAAAATAACTCAAAATGGATTTTAGACCTACATGTAAAATCTAAATGAAATAGTAATTTAATATCTACTATAGGCCATATTAGTAAATTACGGTTATGTGCTGTTTGCTATGGGGTTTAGAGATGTAGCACCTAGAGATTGCCACTTATGGGTAAAACAAATGATATTCTTTACTCTCTCATATAGTGATTAATTTTAGTTATTATTAGGTCTAATTAACCAAGGCCTTTCATATAAAGACTAGTGATGCATTAGGCAGCTTAGGGAATAGTCATTTGTTTCATAGAGTTCTGCTTCCCTGTATACAGAATGGAGAAAACGCCACTGAACTGTGTCGGTCACCTGGTCAATGGTGTCAGTTTAGAGACCAACAGAAAAATAGAATTGGAATGACCTCTGGCCAGGTGGCTCAGTTGGTTGAAGCATTGTCCCATACACAAAAAGTGGTTTCAGGTTTGATATCCCATTGGGGCATGTACAGGAGGCAGCCGATTGATGTTTCTCTCTCTTTCTCTTTCCCCCTTCCTCTCTCTCTCTCCCCCACTTCCTCTCTCTAAAATCAGTCCCTGGGTGAGAATTAAAAAAATATTAAAAGAAATAAGAACTGAGGTAAATTTTAGAATTCATTCGTCCCAACTATTATTTTATAGATAAAGAAACAGGCCTGCAAAGTGAAGGTAACTTGATCAAACTTAAGTAACTGTTGTGGAACCAGGATTAGAATCCAGGTGTGTGTGTGTTCCTTGTTTGGATATATCCACAATGTTTGTGCTGTTTGAGGAAGAGGGGCAATTAATATTCAGGAAGTAATGTTTATGTGATTGTGAGGTAGGATTCTAACATATCATTTCTTTGCTATTTGGGAATATACTTTAATACTGATGTAGAATTCTTCTGTCTTATCTAAAATAAATGGAGAATAGATGGTGATATTATCATAGGATTATCTACCAAGAATGATTGAAAAATTATTTAGATGGCTAAACTGCTGCTAACTCTTAAGTTGGACCAAACTTGGTTCCTCATCTTTTAATGCTGACTGATAACAGTCAATTTGTGCTTTTCATCCTTTTTTTTTTTTTTTAAACGTGGATATGACTCTGATTCTCTGACATAGAAACCATAGTTTGTATTCTATGTTATTTAAGTTCCACGACTAGCTGGATGAACAATACAAAGTTAATTTTAATTGGGAACCATAATGCTAAAATACTTTTGTCTATATTTTCTTTAGGGGCTCTGGTAAAAACAGATGAGCAGGAAGTAATCAACTTTTTACTGACAACAGAAATTATCCCTTTGTGTTTGCGCATCATGGAATCTGGAAGTGAACTTTCTAAAACAGTATGTGCTTTTAACGTAATTAGACTCTATGTTGTGTTGGCTCTTGAGCTACTTCTTTATGGTGTATAGGATAACTATTTTGGAAAGCTGCTTGACAGTGTCCACCGTAAACATAAGCATATTCCGTGACCCAGCAGTCCCAATCTTAGGAATATACCCAAAAGAAATGAGCTCTCATGTACATCAACACATGTACAAGAATGTTTATAGCAGTTTTACTCATAAAGGATAAATTATAGTGTAATCCCAAAATAAACTAGACAGTAATTAGAAAGAACAAACTCCTGATAATACTCAACATAGACGATGCTTATGGGCATTTTGTTGAGCAAAAGAAGCCAGACACATGGGTTCATACTGTATTCCACTTACATGAAATTCAGCAACAGGCAAAACCAATGAATGGGGATTAGTCACAATAGTGGTTACCTCTCAGGGAAGGATAGTGACTGGGAAAAGACACAGGGAATCTGCTGGGGTGATGGAAATGTTCTATATTTTAATCTGGCTGTGGTTCATAAATGCATACATAAATAAAAATTCATCAGGACATACTTGAAGATTAGTGCACTATGTATACTTTACACTTTTTACTGTGTATGTGTTTTTATTAGTTTGCTACTGCAGCCATAACAAATTGCTACAAGCTTGATGGCTTAAAACAACACAAATTTATTCTCTTATAGTCTTGAAGCAAGAAATTATAAATCAGTTTCATGAAAGTTAGGGCATCAGCAGGGGAAGGAACCTTTCCTTGCCTTTTCCAGCTTCTAGAATGGCATTCCTTGACTCATGTCCCCCTCCTCCATCTTCAAAGCCAGCAGTATAGCAAGTTCATCTCTTTCCGCTTCTCTCACGTTGTCTTCTCTGTGGTCTAATCTCCCTCTGCCTCCATCTGATAAGGGCACTTGTGATTACATTTAGGGCATACCTGGATAATCCAGAATGATTACTCTCCCCTTGCCCCCAAGATCCTTAATTGAAGCACACCTATAAAGATTCTGGCAGATGGTGTTCAATATGGTAATATTTGTTTGTTTGTTTGTTAATACATACAGTGCATATCTTGTCAAGTAAGGTGTATATAATGCAAGGGTCTCTGCTTAATTTTATGATTCATGGTTATTTCTGGGAGATGACCAGACAGTTAGAGGACAAGTCTGAATAACGTTTTGGACGCCTTAATTTTGTTTTGCTCCAGGTTGCCACATTCATCCTCCAGAAGATCCTCTTAGATGACACTGGTTTAGCTTATATATGTCAGACATATGAGCGTTTCTCCCATGTTGCCATGATCTTGGTGAGTTCTTTTATCAATCCTCCTTGCAACGACTTCTGACCACACAGTTTAGTCTCTTTGCTCTTGACACTGAGCAATTTCAGTCTTCCAACTGGAAATAACAAACCTGGAACATTGTATAATCATTCTAATAATATCTGGTCTCTCATGTCAACTAGGATTATTTTGTGTTTTGCATTTTTTTTCCTACCCCACTCCATTTGGGGGGAAACAGGGTAAGATGGTCCTGCAACTATCCAAAGAGCCTTCCGCCCGTCTGCTGAAGCACGTAGTGAGATGTTATCTGCGACTCTCAGACAATCCCAGGTAAACATTTGTAGGATTTATAGGACTTTGGGGAAATACTCTGGTGAATGGTTGCTTCATCTCATGGCATAGCTTCTATATCTTTAGGACCGGGAAGGGCTATAACTATATTTAGTTTGCCTGAGACAGAACTTGATTAATTCTTTTTAAAAGCTGAAGTGCTGAATTTAAAAAATCTATCATAATTTTATTTCCCCACTATAACTCTGTATCCTACTCGAAAATTCTGGAGAGTTCAGATAGTTCCCAGGGAACCTTAGGATATATTATTCCTGTGATTTGAACTTTCTATTGCTACTCTAGGTGCTCAGAAAGGGAAGAATATTTTCAAAGATCTCTTAAGAAAGGAACAGGGCCCAGAGGGTTCTTGATGTATTTTCATTTCTCTCCTTGATTCCTGTAAAGTCCTTGAGCTAATTATTTTATCTCCCAATGTTTATAATCTTTCTGCCAGAAATCATACATTGTAGGTAGAATGCATTTTAGAAATGTTTGACCTTTTCCTTTGTAAATCCATAATTCATGCTGAAAACCACTTGCTCAGATTCTGTTAAACCACATAATGGGGTGATTTCTGTGTTCCTAGCAAAGGAATAACTTGATTTAATGTGAACTCCTGCCACTGAGGTTATTCATGCCCTAGCCATTTCTTCGACCATTTTGTCCTGTTCTTTAGTGGTTCCTATTTTCACCAAAGTTTGAAAATATGTTTACTTGAAACTCCACTTGTACAGAATCATAACTTTGCCTAAAACTGCCTTCTACAGGGTAGGCAAAAGTAGGTTTACAGTTGTGAGTACATGAATGTTTATTCTTGTATTATTATTTTTTAATAAATGTATTATTTGTATCATTCATCTTATTATTCATATTTCATATCCTTACTTATAAGTTATCTTTTTGTTAATGATGGCTGATAACCTACTTTTGCCCTCTCCTGTAGTTAACAGTCACCTTTTTGAGGTTTTCAGATTTGACTTTTTGCTGGTCATCTTTTAAAGAAAATGAAACATGTAAAAGTTCATCTGATAATTTTGCTACCATTGTTTTATTTTTACTGCTCATTTCCTATTAAAGGTTTTAACTATAAAACTGAAGCAGTTTTTGGAAAAACACAGGCTTACATTCGTTTAGAATTAAAGTCTATTTATCATACTGTGACTCAGGTCATGTTCCCTGTTAATGTACTGATTTTGGAAATGTTTCATTTACTGTAACCCATATATTTCTGATATGAGTATATTGGTGATATTTACTGTAATAAATCAGAAAGCAGGTTGAATTGAAGTAAACTATTGTACTATTTTATTCTATTTTCCTTTGTCATGAAATTCTTCATTGGGGCATCACTGTGAAAATGTGTGCAGGCTACAGAACCTGGAGATCTCTGGGCCTGTGCCTCATATAAGTTTTAAAGAATTTTAATGGCTTCTTAAAGAAACTTGACATAGCCATAGTTTCCCAGGATTCTGTATGTTTATGTCTAAAAAGGGGCTCTTCCCTGTCCCTCAAATGTAGATTTATTTGTTGGTCTCCCTGGTTGGTTTGTTTGTTTCTGATGTAGGGCACGTGAAGCACTCAGGCAGTGCCTCCCTGACCAGCTGAAGGACACAACCTTTGGCCAGGTGCTAAAAGATGACACCACCACGAAACGCTGGCTTGGACAACTGGTGAAGAACCTGCAAGAGGGCCAGGTCACTGATCCCCGGGGTATCCCCCTGCCCCCTCAGTGATCTTCCCCTGTCCCCTCCCAGTACTCCCACAGTTGGGGAAGGGAGAGGGAACCTTCGAGGAAAACAGCTCAGGTTTTATTGCCGACTGGGAATAGACAACCTCAATGCTGAACTGCACTGGAGAGAGGGGGCGAGGTACCCCAACTGAGGTGTATGAGCTGCCATCTCAGGCCACCTTGAGGACCTGGGCTGCCTCTGCTACTCCCAGAAAGTGGGCTCCTTGACACAGCAGTCTGCCACCACAGCCCCAGGAGGGTGTCAACACCAGCAAATGCTGTATTCGCAGCATGCCCAAGACGACCCTTCTCCCTCGCCTCTACCTAGCCACTGTCAGGGAGAGGAGACAGTGGTGATTGCAGCAGCACTCTAGGCATGGTGAACGCCTGGGACCAAGCCATGTGGCGTGTTTTTTTTTTTTTTATTTTGCCTTCCTGGAAGACTCAAGATGTGTCTCTTCATTCTCTCTCTCTCAGTATTTGTTTACTTTGGTGTTTGTTTGTTTTTTTTAAATCTTAGAGAGAGATGTGTTTAGTGGACACAAGCTGTAATACTCAGCAAAATTTTGTCAATTGGCACTGTTTACAAATCTGTTAGCTGCATAAGCTCAATAAAAAGTTGGTCTGGGCATTACATCCCTTCCAGCAGGCCAATAGCTGCATGAACTGTTCGGGAGGAATGGGAGGCAGGGGAAAGGGATGATGCCAAAGGACAGCAGGAACCCACCGCCTATTTCCCTTCCCTTTCCCAGTCTTCTGCCCTCAGTTCTGGGTGCCATGAGGACTTGAACCTTGTTTTTGGCTTCAGCTGCTAGCTTTTCCCCTTTTTCATTTTCCTCCAATTAAACTTAAAACAAACGTCTTAATTCATCAGGCTGTCCTGGAAGGGGATTATATTGAGGGAGGAGAGACGGCGGTGGATCTCACCTTCAATTCAAATTCTCAAAGATATTTTCTGGAAGACCTTTAAAAGGGAGGTGCCTGGGATTAAGATGATAGGCTACTTGATTCCCCCCACTTTATTTTTTGTTTGTTTTCGTGTGAATTTCTGCAGCTCCCTCTGTCTTCATGATTGTACTTGAAGCAGTATTAGCTAAACTGAGTTAATTTGGATTTAAGATAGAGGGTTGAGTCCACTATCTTAGTCCACTCAGTTATCTTTCTTCCTTTTTTTTTTTTTTGACACATTCCCTTTTGGTCTATGGGAATTACAGGGTTACCACTAAAATATTTTTCACTGTTCACAGGTTGTTAGAGAATCCCCCTTCTCTGGAGCTTTAGGTGACTACTCACAATCCAGTGTGAACTGCCTTGCTTTCCCTCAGTCCTTCTTCCTGCCAACACCTGCTCTCTCTCATCACCAACTCCAGTCAAAAATGGGTTGTTAATTCAACTCTAGAGAGAGACCACGTATTTTCTGTTCACATCTCACACAATCGAAGGTAGCTCTGAACAGATGTGGGGGGAGTGTCTACAAGGGGCAAGCTCAGAGAAATCTTTGCAGAGGCAGTTTTGCCAACACAAGGGCTCTTTCAAGCCGACTTTCACAATGGGAGCCGGCCTTGTTAGTTGGCTTCTGTCTCTTTGGAGCCAGGAAAGCTGTAATTAAGCCTAGGTGTAGGAAGGGTAGGATAAGTACTTACTCCCCTGCCTTCCAAACTGAAGAGGAGAACTAAGCCAGCTCTCAATAATCTCAAGCCTGAAGAGAAGAGGTCTTGGAGAAACAGAAAAATTATGGACTGGATAGACATCTCGACTCCCTTCAGCCCATAGTTTGTATCTGGAGAGTCCAGCTAGGGTAACCCTGATTTTTGCCAACCACTTTTCCTGCTGAGCCAAAGTTTTCTCATTCCCTCTCCTCTGGGGAAGCAGCTGAGGCCCAGGGCCTGACTCCTGGGAAAATTTCTTTACTCTCCATCCTTCGGTGCATTGGCCACACTATTGTGCCAATAGTGTCTTAATCCCTGTTCCATCTATTCTCAGCTGGCCTTGGACCCCACAGAGGAGTTGCAGGGGAGGGATGGAAATGTGCGTTACTCCTTGTAGTTGATCCTGATTATCGTGTGTGTATAAATAGACCCTTCCCCTCATTTTGTGTTTTTCATCCCTTGCACTCCCTCAACAGGATTGAAATAAAACATGCTTCTGTTTTTATAAAAATAAGTTTTTCTTTAAACTGGAGATTTTATTTCATCAGAAGAGAGATCTAGGCACTTTGGTAAGGTGATCCTTGTCACCCTTGCCTCTACCCTCTGTCCACCTGCACAAACACACTGCCCTGCCAGGAGAGCAGTGATGGTTTCTTTGTGGATAGGATATTTGGGAGAGGCTTGCTGATGAACAAAAGCTGTTTGGGAGATTGGGATGGTGCCCTTCATCTGATAAAATGTCTCTTGCTGAACAGAACCTCACTCCTGGCCGTAGTGGCCAGAACTTAGCACTGGTGTGGGGGAGAGTTCTCTAAGTAAAGAGGTAACGCTTGAAACATTTTATCACATGCCTGATCATGGCTCTCAGTGGGACAGAGCCAACCTCTGCTTCCAACGCCTTTTCCTTCGAGACTTTCAAGGGCCTGTGACTGTTTCAGTGGAGGAACAGGACAAGGAGAGGCATTAGTAGGTAGCCTTCAGAGCATGCCTTCCTTACTGTCCGCATACATGCTTTCCTTGCTCACTATTCCTGCTGCTCAGTGGCTGGGAAAGTAGGAAGATACACAGAATTATTGCTGTCAAAAGCCCATGGAAAAAATCTGGAATAGGAAACCATAGAATGAAATGCAATTTCTTTCCTGAATGTTGTGGAATTAAATTTTTGAAAATATTTTAATATATGTCAAAAGCAGATATAGCGTAAGTTGAACAAAACAACAAACCTAGCTTAGTTGACAGAATACTGTCCTCTAAACCAACAATATACACACTTGAATTACACTGGAAACATTTTACTAAAGTTGAACATAATTGGACCATTACACAAGCCCCAAACATTTTTGTAAAAATTAATAGAATATTCTCTGAACTGAAAATACGGGATTAAGCTAGGAACACTGGAAAGTCCCTGTTTCAAAAACAGGTAGTTCAGCCCTGGTTGGCATGGCTTGGAGTGCCTTCCCATAATCAAAAGATTGTGGGTTTGGTTCCTCGCCTGGGCACATGCAATTACTGGTCCAGGAGGTAATCAATCGATGCTCCTCTTGCATTGGTGCTTTTCTCTCCCTTGTCCCTTCCTCTCTAGAAAGCAAAAAAAAAAAAAAAAAAAAAAAGTCCTCGAGGATTTAAAAAAAAAAATTTTTTTATACGGAGTACAAGATAAGACAAATACCATATGATTTCAGTTGTATGGGTAATCTAATGAACAAAATAATCAGAAACAGACTCAGATACAGAGAACAGACACACTTATCAGAGGGGAGGGAGTTTGGGGGTTTGGGTGAAAAAAAGGGATTAAGCAGTACAACTTGGTAGTTAACAGAATAGCCACAGAGATACATATTACGGCATAGGGAATATAGTCAATAATGTGATAAACTTGTATGGGGCCAGGTAGGTACTTGAAGCAGCAGGGGGACCACTCTAAATTACATACTTTTCTAACCCATTTTGCTGTACATCTGAAACTATTGCAGAATAATATCAAATGTAAATTAATTGGAAAAAAATTGGGAGGAGGGTGTGGGGAAGTAGAAGAGGAGATGGGGGGGGGGATAAATGATGGGGTGGTGAACACAATACAATATACAGATGTATTATAGAATTGTACACCTGAAACCTATATGTAATTTTATTAATCAATGTCACCTCATTTCAATACAACTTAAAATTCATGGTCCTAAAAAATATAAATTAATACGTTAAATTGAAAAGCAGGGAATATGGCACCACAAAGTCAGATCAACTTAAAAATCAGAAGCAAAAGAGAAGAGTCTCACAAATAATGGGAATACAAAGAAATATGCCCCACTCAAAGGGAAAGGAGCAATCCCCAGAAAGAGAAGTAGATGAAATAGAGGCAAGTAAACTCAGATATTGAGTTCCAAACAATGGTTCTAAGGAAGCTCAGTGAGCTCAGAGAATTACCAAAAACTACAGAAAAACTATTAGGAACTAACTGCAAACTACATCAACATGAAAAAGGACATAGAAACTATCAATAAGAGACAAGGAAATGAAGAATACAATTTCTGAATTGAAGAACACAGTAGAAGGAATCAAAAGCAGGCTCGATGAACCTGAAGACCGAATCAGTGAGCTGGAGGATAAGGTAGAAAAAAGCTCCCAGAAAGAGCAAGAAAATGAAAAAAGACTCAAAAAGAATGAAGAAACATTGAAGGGAATGCAAGACAACCTGAAACATAATAATATCCGTATAATAGGTATACCAGAAGGAGAAGAGGATGAGGAAAGGGTAGAGAACCTGTTTGAAAAAGTAATGTTGGAAAACTTCCCTAGTTGGAGGAGAGAAAAAGTCACACAAGTCCAGGAAGCACAGAGGGTCCCATTCAAGAGGAACCCAGTGAGGCCCACTCCAAGACACATCATCATTAAAATGGCAAATATCAAAGACAAATAGAGAATCCTAAAGCAAGCAAGGGAGAAAGAGGTAGTAACATATAAGGGAGCCCCAATACAGCTAGCAGCTGACTTCTCAACAGAAACCCTGCAAGCCAGAAGGGACTGGCAAGAAATATTCCAAGTAATGAAAAGCAAAGGCCTGCAACCAAGACTGCTCTACCCAGCAAGGTTCTCAATTAAAATGGAAGGCAAAATAAGGAGTTTCCTAGACAAAGGAAGGCTAAAAGACTACACGTCCACTAAACTAGCACTGCAAAATATGCTAAAGAGACTGCTTTAAGATGAAGAAAAAGTTTCTATGAATACCCAGTTCCTTTGAGAGTTGCCAATACTTGATATTACCAATATTTTTAATACCCATTAATTTGATTGTGACAATGATATTATTTTAATTGTTCCTTTACTATTTGTTGAAACTAAACCTGTTTTAGTATATTTCTTGCCTATTTCTATTATTTAAAAAAAAAGCTTTAAATGACTTTTTGGTTTTCTTAATCCATTTATGATTAAATGTTTGTAGAACTTTTTTCCCTAAAAAACAAACAAAAACCTATTAACAATGTTTTCGATGTGTTGCAAATAATTTTCTATTCTATTCCTTGTCCTTTAACTTTTTAATATCTATATTACTATATAGTTAAATGTTTAATATAGTCATATTGTCAATATTTATTTTATAGCTTCTGGGGTTGAGTATTTTACTTCAGGTCATGAAAAATATTCTATTTTCTTCTAAAACTCCTTAGATTCTACATATTGATTTTTAACTCACCTGAATATTTCTTGTATAATGTGTGAAATAGGGCTCTATATTTGTTTTATTTCAAGTAATAGTGGTCATGCACCTTATTTGTTGAATAAGCCTTGTGTTACCCATTGATTTGAAATATCAACTTAATCATATATTTTTAGATATATACGTTTGTCTCTAGAATGCTCGTTTCATTGATCTACTTGATTATTTCTGTGCTGATGTCGTGTTGGTTTAATTGCTGAGACTTTGTAATGGTTTTACATTTTTTAAATATGTTATAATTAACTTTGACATTTAAAAAATAAATAAAATCAATCTGCATTTAAGAAAGAGAGAGAGATGCGATAGCCTTTTGCGATAACATGGATGGAACTGGAGGATATTAAACTAAGTGAAATAAGCCACAGTTGATGAAAGACAAATACCATATGATCTCACCTGTAAGTGAATTCTATTCAACAAAATAAAACTAACGAACAAAATAAACCACAAGCATGGAAACATTGAGCAGACTGAAAGTAACCAGAGGGGATTGGGAAAGAAGGCAATGGTGGAAAGAAGGGGAGGGGACTAGACAAAGAACATGTATGAATGACCCATGGACATGGACAACAGAGTGGGAATTGACCGTGTGAGTGGGGGAGAGGGGTATGGGTGGAGGGTGGTAAAGAGGTAAAAATTGAGACAACTGGAATAGAATAAACATGATGTATAAGTTTTTTTAAAATGTATAAAAAAAATAGGTAATACAATGCTGAATAACCCCTGGATCACAGAGGAAATCACAGGGGAAGTTAGAAAAAAAATTGAGTGATGAAGATTTACCATCTCAAAAATCTGTTATATGGGTAAAGCAGTATTTAAAAGATACATTAAATGCACACATTACAAAAGAAAGGCTGAAGTCAATTATCTAGGTTTTTATTTCAAGAAACTGGTAAGAAGCAGATTCAAAAAATGGAAGGATACAAAAAAAAAAAAAACGTCAGTGAAGTAAAACAAATGTATGATAAAAATCAACAACGCCAAATATGCCCTTGAAAACATCGATGAAATTGATCAACCTTCATAAACTGATCAGGAAAAAATAGTATGTATCAACAATGTTAGAAATGGAAAAACGGACATTTTCATATCTTAGAGCCACCAATCTCAAATTTCCAGAGACCATAAAAAGTGAACATCCAATTCACTTATGAAGCAGTATAACCATCCACCAAAACCTGTGAAAGATCTCAAGAAAGGAAAACCAGGGGCCAAACTCCCATAAATGTAGACATAAAATCCTCAGATTAAGCAAGTCAGATCTAGTAGTATTGCCACAGTGGCTCAGTGGGTTGAGTGCAAGCCTGCAAAACAAAGCATCACTGGATCAATTCCCAGCTTGGGCACATTCCTGGGTTGTGGGCTGGGTCCCTGGTCGAGGGCAGGCAAGAGGCAACCAATCTATGTTTCTCTTGCACATCGATATTTCTCTCCCTCTCTTCCTTCCCCTCTCTCTAAAAACAAATAAAACCTTAAATAAATTAAATATTTTTTAAAAATCTAGTATTACATAAAATGATAATGTATCATAGCTAATTTGAGTTTACTGCAGAAATGCAAGATTAATACAATACTTGAACCAATGCAACCCACCATATACTCAACATAAGGAGAAAAATCCCACAATTGTCTAGATAGATGCAGATAAGAATATAAAATTCAACACCTATTCATGATTTAAAAAAAAAAACAAAACTTTGAAAATCAGGAATAAAAGGGCACATTCTTAAGCCAATAAAAAGTATCCATAAAAAACCAAAACAAACCCCTACAGTAAATCTCTCATATTGAAGTCCCTGATAAAACATTGAAATCATTCTCCACGAGATGAGGAATGAGACAAAGATGTTCATATTATACCTCCACTCATCATTGTACTAGTCCTAATCAGTGTGATAAGGCAAGAAAATAAAAGACAAGATTATAAAGGGAAAAAGTGCTGACAACATGATTGTTTATACAGATAATCTGAAAGAATTTACAAGTTCTTAGAACTAAGTGAATTTTGCAAAGTCAGTATACAAAAAGATCGACCACATGTTTCTAAAGATGACAAAGAAAATGAATTTTCAAAAGTATTTCATTTATAATAGCATAAGAAATTAAATGGATATAGCAAAGGATATGTAGAACTTTGATACTGAAAAATGTATTTCAATAAATTTTATTTCAGAAGTGTGAGTAGTTTAGCTAGATGAGCTGGGAAACTAACTAGTCTCTGACTCCCTAACCTGACTGTCCCCAAAAGGAAAATGTGGAGGGTATCTCTCCTGGTTATCAGGAGGAAGGGCTAGGCTTGTCAGGAGGGCAGCGTGAGAGTATAGAGTTTAGGCCTTCCTCTGCCAGCTGTACCTTCATTTAAATTTAAGACCTCTAGGCCTTTCCTGGGCATGGTTCCCAGAAAGTCCCTGTGCTGCTGCTGCCCTGATCAAGTTTCTGGATCTGTTAATAATAGACAACAGTGGGGGAAGGGGCAAGATCATTATGGCAATAGGAACAACCAAACCAGATGGACAGTTCCTGTGCTTGGGGCCATCTGTCTGCTCCCTTCCTGATCTAAAGGACATCCTGCAATGGGCGTGTCTTCTAAGCCACTCTTTGGAGCTATTTCAACCTGTGATGGTCTCCAAGTGCCTGCCCCCAAAATCAGAACAAGTGATCTGAGAGCACTGTTTATGAGGACACTGAAACAGAATATCTGAGGTCTGAACTCTCCCAGAAAATCCAGGATGAATGAGAATACTCCTCACAAAACAGCCAGAAGGGAAGGAGGTAGGGCTGCAATGAGGTGAAGCAAACAGTGACTCAGAAAGAGGCAAGCCAATGTAATCCTGGAGCTTTGAAGAGGAGTGGGAAATGTAAAGGGGAAACATGGAAAAATAAGGACCTGACGGTGCTACTGAGAAAGTGAGAGTGGGAGAGTGAGACAAGCATGATGAGACGTGGCCTCTGTTAAGTGACATCTAAAGTCTGCACAGTTTAAATATTGATACCCACCTCATCTTTCTGTTCCCCATAATGGGCTCCCTCTTCTGCTTCCCCTCTCTGTGTCCTCCTCGTCATTTATCAAAACCTGCTCTCCCTTAACTATGGTAAAGACAACCTAGGTGTAAATTGTGGAAAAAAACAGTAAGCCTTCAGAAATTACCAATCACAAAAATTTGAAACTCTCTTATTATAGAATATAACACAGATATAGAAAATGACATAAAGAAAACATATAGCTTAATAAGTTATAAAGTGGTGACCCTTTCTTAGCACCCAGAATTAGAAATAGAACTTGGCCGACTATTTCGGAAGCCAACTTTGTGCCTTATCCCATCACAACTCTTGCCTCCTCCAAAAATAACCACTGTACTGACATTTATGGCAATCACTTAGAAGGATTTGATTTTAATGGGACTAAAGTTTTAGCTATAAATAATCACTAATGGTAGAAAAGTAAGCGGTTGAGGGGTGTTTGGGGGAGTCATTAGAGGCAGCCAGATCTCTGCGCACTTAAAATCATGTTATTTCATACAGTTGGTTCACTCTGTGCCTATGGTTAAGACACCACACTGGAAAAAGACCCCACAGAAGTCCAAATATAGGGCTGTGCCCCATGCCCTCAGCTGCCTTACTATCTTCCACTGGTCCGGAAACAGCCATACCCTGCAGTCTTTTCCAGAATAAAGCAAAAGTAGGACCCAGCTCACAGTGCTTGGGAGAATGCAAGGGACTGGTTTTCTCTATTGCCGACGTGTGCACATTGCCTAAACGTCCCTGGGCCTCAGCTTCTCACTGTGAGGTATGGGGCCATAACAAAGCCCTGTACAGTCCCCTATTCCTCTCCTAAGGTGGTCCTCTTTCCTCAACCTTGGTTTCTGTTTCAGCTGTCTGTCCATTCACCCTTATAAAAATCTCATTACATTCCTTTCCCAGCTGGTGTCCTTGCAGTCGTGTGCTCTTCTTTTTGCCCTTGATTCTTATACTCCATAAGTCTGCTTCATTTCTGCACACACCTTTATAAACACACATGCACATGGAAGGTGCTGAACAAGTGCTCATAGAAATAATGAACATAAAGAACAATGAATTCCTGTATACATCCCTTAAATATTTAGTGAGTACCTAACATATACACAGATGCTAACCTGTGCCTCTACACTCTTAAGATCATTCCTCTCCTCCCTTTCCTCCTCATCTTGTTCCTTTTCCTCCTCCTCCTTCTTCTTTTTTTTTTTTCTTTCCCTGTGTCACAGAGCTAGACTGAGTGCCTTACAAGGCAGGATGCAGAGACACAGAAGCAGGCTGGATGGTGGAAACAGACACCATGGCGAGGAGCCAGATGAAATAAGGGCAAAGACAGCTGTATAACATGCAGGGGGAAACCAACCAGAATGAAAAGCCGTGATTCATGGAGCACTGCGACTCAGACACTCCTTGGATTTCACTTTGAGAGCTCTGGCCGGATCGGGGTCAGTAAGGGCTGGCTTCAAACTGAAGGGCAGCTGGGCTCCTCCTCCCTGCTTATGTGGTGCTCCAACCCCTCCCCTTAATCCTTTTCTACCCAGTCCACCCCATGACTCCCTCCTTGACCAGTGTCCTGGGCCTTTAAGAATTGGGTGGGCTGGACTGAGGACAGAGCTCACACTTCTCCCCACCCCACTCCTTCCTCTGGCTGTGACTCTGGCGGTCACAGCAGCAAACTGCAGTAGAAGAGGGGAGGAAACCAGCGAGTGCAAGAGGAGCAAAGGAGAAGAGGAGCCGGCAGGGTTTCCTCATCCCACGGTGGAGAGCATCGCAGAACTCACAGGCACAGGACTGCTATCCTGCACACGGTAAGGGCCTGGAGGCTCTGACCAGCTTCTGCTCCAAGCTCTGCTCTGCCTTCCGCATGCTTATCCGCCCTGATAAAATTGCACCCTGGACTCCTTTGCCGGAACAGGTCTACAAGGCTCTGACCTCCTGATTCTTTCTAGCTTACCCTCTTTGACTTACTGGTGCTGGCTGATGTCGGTCACTTCTTTATATGGGACTTCGTAGCTACCCAAGGGCTGCCACTAAGAGGTGAGCCCAACCCTATTAAGGAAAGAGAGGACTGGAGTAGTTGTGCTTTAGCATACGGTCATTAACAGATTGTTGAGAATTACCAAATGAGGGTTGGCCGAGACCTATGGGGAGTATAGAAACCCCCGGGAATAGTGGGGGAGTTATGAGACTTCCTCGGAAAGAACCAGGGTTTGCGTTCTATATCTCCTCGCTCTTAGCCTGATCAGCAGACCAGGCAGTTTGTTGGCATGCACAAGTGCTGTGCAAGGAACGACACTTGTTTCTAGTCCTGAATTTGCTATCAACCAGGTATGGGACTTTGGACCCCAACTTTCTGATCTGTGAAAAGAGGGAGTTTGGGTTTTCCCTGACTTGCAAATGTATCAGGAGTTCTTGGTAAAAATACATCTACCTGAGTCCCATCCATAGAAATTGTGACCTGATATATTTGGGGTGGGGCTAAGGAATCTGTTTTAAGACACTCTCCAGGGAATATTGATATAGCCAGAAGCCTATAAATTAGATGTGTTATAAAAGAGTCTTCAGCCCCAGCTGATGTGGCTCCAATGGTTGGAGTATTGTTTGCACACCAAAAGGTTATGGGTTCAATTCCTGGTCAGGGCACCTACCTAGGTTGCAGGTTTGATTCCCAGTCGGAGCACGTATGGGAGGCAACCAATTGATGTTTCCCTCTCTCTCTCAAGTTAATAAACATATTTTTAAAAATTAAAAAAAAGAGGCCCTAACCAGTGTGGCTCAGGTGGTTGGGCATCGTTCTACAAAGCAAAAGGTCGCTGGTTCAATCCCTAGTCAGAGCACATGCCCAGGTTGCAGTTCTGGCTCCCAGTCAGGGCAGGTGTGAGAGGCAACCTATCAATGTTTCTCTCCCTCTCTTTCTCCTTCCCTTTTCCTCTCTCTCTCTAAAAAAAAAAAAAAAATGAATAAAATCTTTTTTTAAAAAAAGAGCCTTCAAGCTCTAACATTCTGGGGGCTATGACCTATGAACTGGAGCCATTTTGCCCTCTTTATATGAACCAGGTCAGGCATAACCTGCTCAGAACCAAAATGATTCCCTTCCTTCTTGCTCCCCAGAAAGACCAGAGGCACTCCGGATTTCACTGCAATGCCATTGACAATTCTGCCAAAGTCCATGCCTAGGTGACATAAACCACCTGTAAGTTGAGGACCAAATCTTGCTTGGCAGCCCTGGCCACTTCCCACTTTCTTTTGTGTCTCTGTTTTCTCATCTCTGTTTTAGAGGAAGTAATCTGTATCCTAGAGGGTACATCCTCAAGCATGTCCATGAGTGAATAGTTAGGGTCCAGCCTCTCTTACACTCAATGTTCATCCTCTGCTCTTCATCTCTTGCTCTTGCTCCCACTCCCAAATCCTTTGTGTCTTCTCTCCTAACTGCACCTGTATCAGCTGTGAGCATCCTTCCCATTTTACCTTCAGACACCGGGGGAAGTGCCAAGACCTAGAACACCTGGGTTCTAAGTCGCATTCTCTGCAGTGTGTTTAGTTAGTCTCCTAGGATACGGGGGAAAGTGAGGCTGAGCAGAGGAATGTACTGCTGGACCACAGTTTCAAAATCCTCACAGGGGCTGAGAACCAGAAAAAAGAGAGGAAGAAGTGATGGAGAAAATGATGAGAAGAGAGCAAAGACAGGCCGACAAGTGAGCCAACAGGGAGGCAGAGAGGATAAGAGTGGAAAGAGTGAGTTGGGGAGAAAGGAAAAGGAATGGGTCAGACAGGATGGGGAAAGGAAAGAGAGTGAAAAGAACAACAAGGCTGTTTCGTGGGGTATGGAGGAAACAGGAAAAGATGGAAGGGAGAGACAGAACTTTGACATTCCTCGTTGATTATCAGCCCTGCTTTAACCTGCCTTCTAGAGGAAGCTATTTTTAAGTGTAGAGTCTCGGTGAGATCTCTGAGCTGGTCATATGGAGACCTTGGTTCTTGTCCCAGTTCTGCCACTTAATTCATTAAGTGACTCTGGCAGTTCAGGTAATCTTTCCAGTGCTCAGTCTCTTTCTCTATAAAATGGAGAGCAGCTCTGACATTCTGGAGCTCCTTGTGTTGAAACTGGCCCTCTTATGGATGGCCACACGTCACCTGGATACATATTTATTTATTTAAAGATTTTATTTAAAGATTTTATTTATTTTATTTTTAGGGAGGGGGAGAGGTGGGGAAAGAGAGGGAGAGAAACATCAATGTGTGGTTGCCTCTCACGTGCCCTCCACTGGGGACCTGGCCTGCAACTCAGGCATGTGTCCTGACTGGGAACGGAACCGGCAACCCTTTGGTTCACAGGCTGGCACTCAATCCACTGAGCCACCCCCACTGAGATATATATATTTATCTCAGTATTTAAAATAGTGATTCAGGAATGGGAGCAGAATGTGAACATTCCATGTCCTGGGGTTGAAAGAGTTTGACAAAAGAGGATAAAATAATTTTCTAAGGCTGGTCTGAGAGGAGGTAGGCTCCAAACTAGGGGCATCCTGGTACTTGGGCTCTGTTTTCAGGCTTCCCATGTTTTAGGACATTATTGTGTAACTCCTGGACCCAGGCATAAAGGAAGGTAATTCTGTCTTCTTCCAGGGCCAAGGCCCACCCCATCCCAGAATCCCTATGCCCCAGATATGGGGACTACAGTTCAGAGAGGAGATAAGGTAGGATATTGGCAAGGGGGTTTAGACTTCGGCCCCAGGCTAACCCCACCCCCAACCCACCCCAGAACCTGAGGGCCTGAGATACTTAAGGTGGACCTGTTTGTTATTTTCTACTTCAGTCTTCATATAGCTTTTGCGAGCCTCAGGTTCAATGCTGTGCCTCTCTACCCAGAAAAGAAGAGAGGTTTTCTGTCTCCTAAGAAGCCCTCTGGGCCTCTTCTTCCATCCAGAATTTGCTCAGCCAGGCTCCCATGTTCAGTCTCAGCCAGCAAAACCTTTTATTCTCAGAACCATTGCAGGGTTCTTTCTCTCTGGAGAGATGCCTTGAGTTTCCTTCCCCACTTAGGTACAGACTGTTTACCAACCTTGCCCCTCCCTCTGGGCATGTGCGCATTGCTACTCATTTAGAAAGTCTTCTCTAGGTCCTGCAGTCAGGGAAGCTGTATTTGCAGTGACCTCTACCTTCTTCTCAAAGACTTAGTTACCCCCAGGTGACTTTATAGGCTCTCCCCACTCATGAGACATAGGGTACTAATATACTGTGTGACCTTAGACAGGTCACATCACATTTCTAGATTTCCACATTTTCATTTGTAAAATATAGGGAGTTGAGTCACATGATTTTTTTAATGGAGCATTAACTGAATGATTACCTCAGGGATTCTTTTAGTTTTTTAGATGTTCACCAATGTCAACATTTTAAACTTATTAATTGAAAGGATAGACTACATGGTAGGTCACAAAACCAGCTTCAACAAATCCAAGAAAATTGAAATCATAGCAAGCATGTGTTCTTGTCACTACGGATTGAAACTAGAAACCAAACTCAAGGGGTAAACTCAAAAACATTCAAATACATAGAGACTGAATAATGTGTTATTAAATAATGAATGGGTCAACAATGAGACCGAGGAAGAAATCCCAAAATATCTGGAAACAAATGAAAATGAACACTTAACAACCCAAAACCTATGGGACACAGTGAAGGCAGTCCTGAGAGGGAAGTTTATAGCAATACAGGCCTACCTAAAGAAGATAGAAAAATGTCAAATAAATAACCTAACCCTGCATCTACAAGAACTAGAGGAACAACAACAAACAAAACTCAGAGCTAGTAGGAGAAAGGAAATAATCAAGATCAGGGCAGAATTAAAGGACATAGAGTCTAGAAGAACAATTCAAAGCATCAATAAATCCAGGAGCTGGTTCTTTGAAACGATAAATAAAATTGACAAACCTTTAACCAGACTCATCAAGAAAAAGCACAACATTTCTATTGAAGTGTAGATCCTTCACTTACACAGAAGCATAGAGGTTTATGTTTCATGGGCTTTGCCAGTTTCAGAATGGCTTGGTCAAAAATTGAGTATTTCTTATCGGGGCAGAGCTAGAATCAAAGTGGCCATATATCAAATCTTCTAGTACTTTCCAAAGTTTGTTGTTACTTACTAGGACAAATGAACCAGGTTCTGAATTAGCATATATCATAAAGGAGATACTTTTTTTTTAATAGGTAGAGAAAACCTAAAAATGCAGTTCTAAGTCTTTGTAATTTACATGGTTCATTGAAACTGAATAATTGTTATGAAAAGGAGTATAAAGTATGCTTTACCATGTGAAGGTAGAGGAAAATGGCTTATTTAGCTACGTACAGCACCAACTGTTGTAGAAGAGACAAAGGAAACACTTCAGGGGCTGAATGGTCTACATGGGAGCATGGAGAGGCTTCCAGAATAGGGGAGCTAGATGATTCCACCTGGAGAAAAGAAGGCTGGGATGTAAATATTCCAGGTTCTGAAAGGACAGCCAGCAAGATGGCAGTTGCTAATAATGAGGAGCCGAGCAATGTGACTCCAGGTTATCTTGTGGATTATGGGGTATTGGGAAAAGGAGGGGTATTTGGCAGAAAGCCTTGGTTTTGCCCTCTCTGGAGATGGTTATGGGAAACAGCAGAGGTTCTGGAATCAGACATACTTGGCTTTAAATTCTGAATCCCCATGTGATTCAAGGCAGTTTTCTTAGCCTCTCTAAGCCTCACAGTCACCAAATTCAAATCAGAAGTAAAAAGAGCTGCAGACTATCTAGATGAAATGCCCGCTGCATTTCAGGAAACGTTGGTTTCCTTCCCTTCCTCCCTTGATCTGTTAAACCATCAAGGTTAACCCAAAATCTTTTGCTCCTCTGTACTCCTTTAGGTGACTCTGGCGCCAGCTGGTGGAGTAGTGGGTGATGGCATTCCTGCTGCAAGGCCGTGAGTACCCCTGCAGATGAGGGCTTGGGGAGACAGCCCAGGGACGGGAAGGAGGCCAATTCTCTGTTCGAGAGCTTCTCCTGGGCCCTCCACCTCCCCAGTCGCCTCTCCAGCTCCTGCTTCTCCTGGCCCAGGGCTGCCTGTCAATGAGGATGTGCTGCTGATGCAGAAAGGCACGCTGATGCGCAAAGTGCGATCCAAAAGCTGGAAGAAGCTAAGATACTTCAGACTTCAGGAAGACGGCATGACAGTCTGGCATGCCCGGCAGGCTGGAGGCAGAGCCAAAGCCAGCTGTGAGTGACATGGATAGCTAGGGGTGGGCAAAGGGGCGGGTAGAATCCTGAGGAGCCCAGCCGCCCGCGGGCAGGAGAAGGACCCGGGTCCTGTGATGTCTCCTCATGCTGTCCCACTCGTATCTATATCTGAGCCTATAAAATGGATATTATAACACTACTTGCCTCTTCAGGCTCTTATTAGGATTAATTCAGTTATTGCACGTAAAGGGATTAGAAGAGTCCTGGCACATATCAAAGCTCAATAAACCATAGCTTATGTCTTGGTTTTTTATTATAATAAGAGCATGATCTCAGGCATTCCACTGCCGAGATTAAAGTCTTCTCTCTGCCACTTTCTAGCTCAGCGGCTTTAGACAAGATACTTAAACCAAGCTTTGGTTTCCTCATCTGTAAAATGAGGGTTAAACAGTACCTGCCTAGTAGGTTATAGGGACTCAGTAAATTAATGTCTAAAGCATGGGACCTGAAACCAGATGCATTTAGTACATGTTAGTCATTATGGTGAATATTTTAAAATATCATAAATGCATCATCACAAATGAGCATTCTATTGGCTAAACACTTTATGATCCGACTAAAAATCTGATCACAGGACACATCTAAGAAAGCCTGCTTTAGAGGCATAATCAAAGCTCACAATCCGCACCACCCCCAGCTGAGACCAGAGGGTAGAAGAATTTCTCCGGCTCCCTCCGATCTGGAAAGGGGAAGCCCTCCAAACCCAGAACGGGAGAATTGAAATTGAGCATTTCATGCTTTGGTATAACTGCTTCCACCCTTCAACTCTGCTTCCATTTTTCAGCCTCACCAGTCCTCTTGTGATCACCATGCACACTGGCCATGGAAGGGACCATCCCTTATTTAAGATGGGGACACTGAGGATTAACTTGTTTTGTCTGTGTCATACTGCCAGCTGGCAGCTGGAAGCCAGGTCTTGCCATTCCCAGCAACAGGCCTCTGGCCATGCTGCCTGAGGATGCAGCAGTGATTCATGTGAAATCCTGAATCCCAAACGTTGGCATCTCCCTATACTGAGGCATTTGGGGTTTCGGCCTTTGGAGGCTGGGGTTCCTTCTCTCTGTGGCTTCACAGTGAAGAGGGGAGTAATGGCCCTTGACCCTTAATCCCCGCAGCCTGGTGAACTGTCTTGCTTAGCTCCCCGACCCGCTCTTCTCTGGCAGTCTCAATCTCTGATGTGGAGACAGTGCGTAAGGGCCATGAGTCTGAGCTGTTGCGCAGCCTGGCAGAGGAGTTCCCCCTGGAGCAGGGCTTCACCATCGTCTTCCATGGCCGCCGTGCCAACCTGGACCTGGTGGCCAACAGTGCTGAGGAGGCCCAAATCTGGATGCAGGGGCTCCAGCTATTGGTGGACTTTGTCACCAGCATGGACCAACAGGAGCGGCTGGATCAGTATCAGCAGAATGGAGTCAGTGTCGGGGCCAGGGGTCACTGAAGGAACAGATGCTGCAGGGCTAAGAACAGGTGGGAGGGGGGACAGGGTTAGGGAGGCCCAAGAGTCCAGATGGGGTGGGGAGGGGCAGCTCAGGCTGATCTGAGACTGAAAACAGTGAAGGAGGAATCAAGGTTTGAGGTGGCAAAGCCATAGTCAGGCAGAATTTGACCATGAAGCAGGCCCCCTAGGATTGGGGGAAGGGGCAGCAAGAGGCCAAGGACCAAACAAGGTGCTGATCCTGAGAGCTAAACAGAAGGTCCCAGTGGCATTAATTACTACAGGGATGGGAAGCAACCCCTTAGAGGGCTTAGTGGTGTTGACCTACTTCAAGTTTCCTAGATTGTATTCACTTCTTATGCCAGTGCGTTCGTTCATTCATTCATTCATTCATTCATTCACTCATCTATTCATTCATCTATTAAGCAGAATGTATCAGACACCATGCCAGGCTTTAGGGGTACAAATATTAAGGGGACTCAGATATTGTGTTTGTTGGTGGAGAGGATGGACTTGTGTAAATAATCTAAGTACCATGGAACTATTATGATACTTAGACTATTTGAGGTGTTCAAAAGAAAGAGAAATTTAATTCTAGCTAAGAGAGTTCTGAGAAAGCTTTAGGGAGGAAGTAGTATTCATGAGCCTTGAACATGAAGAAAGAGGGAGAGAAAGACACTCCTACCTGAAGGAACAGCATGAGTAAAGGCCCAGAGATAGGAAAATGAAGAGCTGGAGGGCTGTGACATCAGAGAGCAGGGAGTTGGGGGTTTGGCTCAAGTACAGAAAAGACAGACATATGTTGAGAAGACTGGGTTGGGGCCAGATCATGTGGGCACAGATCTTAACTTCCGTGTGAAGGAATCTGGGCTTTCTGCAGGCAAAAGAGAGGTCTCTGCAGACATGAGAGCCATGAGGAAATGAGATAGATAGGTACTCTGGGGAGATCATTCTGGAAGCTAATGTGGAAAATGAATTGATGTGGAGGATAGACAGGTAGCAAAGACAGGGAGAGATGTCAATGGATGAACATGCACACACATCTGCACACAGAGTGTTTTTGCCTTGACTCAGACCTGGATGGCTGAGCGACTGGTTCCAGCGTGGAGACAAGAACCAGGATGGTCGGATGAGTTTCCAAGAAGTCCAGCGGTTACTACACCTGATGAATGTGGAAATGGAACCCGAATACGCCTTTCAGCTCTTCCAGGTGAGTTTTCTGGGGAAGGATTGGCAGCAGCCCGCCAAGGCCACACTCTTACTTGACCCTGCCCAACAACACTCATTTACTGAATCTCTATTATACACCCGAGCACTATGCCAGGCTCGCTGGGAAGTGTAGGCTACGGTTCTTTTTTTTCAGTTTTGTTGGAAAGATGATTTATAACCTTATAAAAGACACATAACAATATGTTACTACATCAGACCTCAAGGACCTCTCTCTCTGTGGCCAGAATTCTACAGGTGCCTGGTACAATGGAAAACTTCACCTGGAATATGAATAACTAGGAGGAAGAATATTTTGAACTTTGGGGCATTTCAACTCTTTCTAGTTGAAAATTTTCTCTAGCAGCAAAGGCTGTGGCTGAAATTTGGCTTTTTATTTCCTGAAGAGGCTTCCTCTCTGAACGCTACATATCAGGTGTTCTACGGAAGCATGTTTGGATCCATCGGTCAGCGAGACTGTTCTTACAAGACAAGTCAAGGCCATAAATTTGCTGTTCAAGGGTCTGTCTACTCTCCTCTAACCCTTCCTGCAGGCAGCAGACGCATCCCAATCTGACACTCTGGAGGGAGAAGAATTTATAGAGTTCTATAAGGCACTGACTAAGCGTGCTGAGGTCCAGGAACTGTTTGAAAACTTTTCAGCTGATGGGCAGAAGCTGACCCTGTTGGAATTTGTGGATTTCCTCCGAGAGGAGCAGAAGGAAGGAGACCACGCTTCTGACCTTGCCCTGGAACTCATCGACCGCTATGAGCCTTCAGATAGTGGTAAGAGGACCGGAGCAGGGAGGCACCAGACATGGGCGCAGGGAGGGAGACCCTGACTAGAAAGGCCCAGAGACCAGCAGCCTTCTGCCTCGCTCCAGGAGGGCTGAGTCCATCCTTGCCCCGGTCCCCTGCCCTACCACCTTCATCTCATTCCACTGCCCCTCAGGAAGCAGAGCAGCCATTTCTTGCCTAGGTAAGACAGGAGTTTCCTCTTTGATGCTAGGTCTCTCAGGAGGAAGAACATTCCATAAGACCCCTTTTCTCCTCCGTGTGCATGTTGCACATCCTTCATTTGCAGAAAGTCCTTCCTGATAGCAGCCTTTGGCCGCAGTGGAAACGGAAAATCCTCAGTCCTCTCGCTGTGGCCTCTTCTCCTCTAGTGCATATGATTCCTTTTCTGCTAGTTCCATTCATTGTTCCTGTTAGAAATCTCTTTAAATGCTGGCTCTCTGCGCTTTCCTGGGCTTTCTCCAAATTTACCAGATGGTTCTTGAAGTCTATAAAGCCTCTGAAAGCCCTAAGAAGGTAGTCAGCCCCTGGCTGAAGGGGATGGTGCTGAGGTCAATCATTCAGTTTTTAACAAACGCAGTTGAAGTTTTCAAATCTTTTCCTTGCCCCTTTAGTAGAACTCTTTCTGCTCTCCATTCCCTTCAGAATGTGAGGAATTTACGTTATTAATAATAAATAATTTACAAGGCACTTTCTCATGCCTTACTTCGTTCAGTCCTTACTAAAACCTTGTAAATCTTCCTGCTCTCCATTCCCTTCAGAATGTGAGGAATTTACATCATTAATAATAAATAATTTACAAGGTGCTTTCACATGGCTTATTTCATTTAGTCCTCACTACAACCTTGTAAATCAAGATTGGGCCTTTGTTAAAGGACACATAATGTGCCAATACCTCCACATGCCCTTTCTCTTCTAATCCTTCCCATGATCAATTGAAGGTTCTGTTATTAAGTCACTTGTGCAAAAGAGGAAAACTGAAGTTTACAACAATTAAATGACTGGCTCAAAGCCAATGGCCGATGAGGGGGAGGAACTGCGATTCAAACCTAGGTCATCTGATTCTTGGTGCCTCTCCTGAGAATGAGGATTAGAGATGAGATGAATGAGAGCACCAGCGACTCAGGTTTCCTAAGTTGTAACTCCCACTTCTTTTTTAAATCAGTAATTTTTAAAAATATTTATTTATTTATTTTTAGAGAGAGGAGAGGGATGAAGAGAAGGAGAGAAACATCGATGTGCCGTCCGCAGGCTGGCACCCAATGCGCAGAGCCACACCAGCCAGGGCTCAACCCCCACTCCTTTTCCTTCATTTTTTCCCTGATTACTTTGGGTAGTGCTTATTGAGCACGTAAATGTGCCAGGACCGGTGCTAGGCACCAGAGATGCAGTAGTAGGTCAGACAAGGACAATGTACTCATGGAACTTAGAGTCGAACAGAGAGTGCTGGATTGGTGACTCAGGTTCATGGGGGAGCTCAGAGAAGAGAGAGGCTGAGAGTGATCATTTCAGAAAACTGCATAGAAGAGGAAGGTCACAGGGTTAAAAAATAGGATCTTCTATCACCAGTGCAAGACCCTGCATACATCAGTTACATTTATTCTACACTTACCTTGCACTCAACTATCAGGTATTATACTCTGGCTGCAGGGTAGTAGCAGTCAAGAGACCTGGGTTCAAGTCCCCATTCTGCTTCTTACTGAGTGCCTTGAGGAAGTTGCTTAATCTGAGACTCAGCTTTCTCACTTGTAAAATAATTGGTGATCAAATGAAATAATGCATATGAAAGTATCTGGCAACTGTTGACTTAACCTAGTGATCTGATATGTTATTTACTGTAAAGAATGAAACTTCCTGCCATTCTCCACCATCTCCGGGCCTCTTTAAAGCTGCAACAAGGGAGCTGGGTGTGAGAGTCTAATTGTTTTGCCTCCCAAAGGAGCCCCCCTGCAGCAGTGTTACCCTCAGCGAGACTGCACAGCCCAGTGGTGTAGAATGTGGCTCTGACTCCTGGCTGCCTGGGTTCAAATCTCTACACTTACTGGTTATATGATCTAGGATAAGCCACCTAACCTCTCAAGGAAGATTACATCACATCTACCTCACGTGTTGGTGAGAGCATAAGAGAGGTGCTGCGTGTAACATCCTTGGCATAGAGCGAGCCCTCAATAACCGTTAGTCATCGTAGGTAATATACGAAGCCTGTGCTGAAACGGGTGAGGGCTGAGGAAGGAGTGACAGGCTCTGCCCCTGAAGAAAGTGTAGTTCAAAGCAATGGTGGACAAACATTCCTCAAAACACCGTATGGGGACTGACAGCAGGAAAGAACCTTCAGATCGTTGTTGGAAGCAGCTACACAGTCCAGAGAATAAAACAAAGTACCTGGGTCATGTCGTTAACAAGTTTCTGACTTTGATTCTCTCTGGGCCTCGGTTTCCCTATCTCTAAGACTACTCCTTCAGACTGAATACTGCACTGCCCATTATGGTAGCTGTGAGCTCCGTGTGACTGTTTAAATTTAAATGAATTAAAATCAACATTTAATATTCAGTTCCTCAGTCACACAGCTACATTTCAAGTGCTCAATAGCCTTATGTGTCTAGAGGCTACGATATTGGACAGTGTAGAACAGAATGTTTTCATCATTGTAGAAAGTTCTATTGGACAGCAGCGGGCTAGGATGATTGTAATGATCCCCTTGTAGCTTTAACACGCTCTGAGGGTGGGGATGATTGAAATGATAGACACGGAGCGGGGCAAGTTTGGGATCGGGAGCCTGGGAGTGGACACCATCTGACAGGCAGCACAAAGGGGGGATGGGGTGGACTGGCTGTAGGTGTGCTGGGGGGCTCCCATTCAGAGTGCTCTCATTCTAGTGCCCCCTACCCCACGCCCTAGGCAAGCTGCGGCATGTGCTGAGCATGGATGGCTTCCTCAGCTACCTCTGCTCGAAGGACGGAGACATCTTCAACCCATCCTGCCTCCCCATATACCAGGATATGACTCAGCCCCTGAGCCACTACTACATCAACTCCTCTCACAACACCTACCTGGTGGGGGACCAGATTTGTGGCCAGAGCAGCGTCGAGGGATATATACGGTGCAGTCGCGGGGAGGGGAGGAAGGGTCGAGCTCATGAGAAGGGAACATCTGTGGGAAACTGAGGGCACTGTCAGTGGATAACAGGAATTGAGAAGATGTTGTGGGGGGTGGGCTTGGGGGCTGAGGATCCCTGGATACCTGAGAGACCTGGAGGAGATAATGAGGACTGGTGGGTGGGAGAGCGGCGTTGAACCCTCTGGGGAAATGGAGCTTCTCTCTCTTCCGTAGGCTAGAAACTCTCTTGGAACTCAGAGGTCCCCGCAGACTTATTTTAAATAAATAAATAAATAAATAAATAAATAAATAAATAAATAAATAAACTAAATGTTAAATGGGAGGCAGTAGAGCATAGGAGTTAAAAACATGGGTTCTGGAGTCAGACCATTTGAGGTCAAATCCTGGCTCCCTCACTTGGTACTCTGGGGCCAAATAGTTAACCTCTTTATACCTCATTTTTCCCCATTTGTGGAATAGGGATGGTAACAGTGCCTATTCTGTCTGGATTGTTGTGGGAATTCAATAAGATCATGTATGTGTCAATAGCTAGTAAATGGTACCTGCTTTTATTGTGGTACATCATGGATTAGATTGAATAGTCAAGGTATCTTTGCAGTTGTTACTGATCTTGTAGCTTCAGGAGATACGAAGATGGATGGGACATATGGTTTCTGCCCTAGGAAGTCTAGTAGAGAAAGTAAGTTACCGAGAGTTTGAATGACCCAGGTGTTGTATAACGAAATACAGCCAGAACACCAGAAGCATCGCGAGGCAGTATGGGTAGCTTGCTAAGGAAAGATGTGAGTTGGGTTGGGAATGGGGGTGTTGGAGATCAGTGTGAGCTGCACCTGTGTCCCAGTGCGCAGAGAATGGTCCGTGTGTGGTGCGAAGGGATCCTGATGGGTAAGTGCCTGTGAGCACCATTCTATCCACAGTGGGGAGAGGGGCCCGGGGTGGAAGATCAGACGGTGACCCCTCCTATCTCTGGGGGCTCGGGGTTCTTGCAGGGCCCTCAAGAGGGGGTGCCGCTGTGTAGAGGTGGATATATGGGATGGACCTAGCGGGGAACCTGTTGTTTACCACGGACACACCCTGACCTCCCGTATCCTGTTCAAAGAAGTTGTGGCCACTGTAGCACAGTATGCCTTCCAGGTAGGAGCCCCGGGATGGCAGTCCTGGTGAGGCAAGAGGATCTGAGGGAAGGGTGGCTGGCTCTGGGGAGGGTGGAGGGACAAGGGGAGGTTATGTCAAATGGCATATAAGTAAAAGAGATTTTAACCGTGAAGCATCAGACACATATTAAGGGATTATTATGAACGTGTTACCTGTGTTACTAGTAATTAGTTGTCATAGAGGTAATTGCTAGAGATTAGTAATGATTACTTCTAACAACTTCTGCCCCCTCTCTGAGAGGGGGTGGGCAGGGAAATGGACACCGTGGTGGGGAGGGCTGGGGGAGGGCGGGAACCTGGAGATGAAAGCCCGAGAGTGTAACGTAAACATGTAACCAGGGCAATGGCCTGGCCTTCTCCCTCTGAGCCTGAGACTCAAAGGTCCCAGAGGGACCTGGGTTGGACCTGACACTTGTCTGTCTGGGGATTCCAAGAATGACTTTTAGATGTGAGGTGGCACCATGCCTAGCAAGAAGTCCCTGACGCCTGGAATGGGGTTAGAAGAGTTTAGCAATCAGGGTTCTCAGTTGAGTGAGTAACTAGGTGGGCCTGGAGATGCAAGGAGGTTACAGGCTTCAGAGCTCTGGCACCAGCATCTCCTTCCCTCCCAATCAGACATCAGACTATCCAGTCATCTTGTCCCTGGAGAACCACTGCAGCTGGGAGCAGCAGGAGCTCATAGCACACCATCTGACCAAGATCCTCGGGGAACAGCTGCTGAGTACCACCTTGGACGGGCTGCTGCCCACTCAGCTGCCCTCGCCTGAGGTAGGGGTCCTACTTCCCCAGCCCAGGCTCTTCGGTGGCTTCCATAGCCCCTCGCCCTTGGCTCCTTCCATGGGGTTCCCTTCTTCTCACCCTTGGATGGACCATCTTGACCTTTGTAATATCAGAGAGAACTTTAATTTACAAAAAATCTAATTAAACACAGACTTCTATTTATAATTCTCTAAATTTTAAATCATGATTTGCTTTTCTCTTAGTTTTTCAATGGAAGTATCTTAATTGTTTTTCCTGAGAGTTCATAATTGTTGCAGACTAAACCAAAGTACAGAAAGGGAACTCTCCCTACCATAATCTCACCCTTTGCCAAAAACTGCTGTCAATAGATTTTAAATGCTTATACAAACATATATGTGTATATATATTCACATTTTAAAAAAGCGAATGATAATATAATATTATACATCAACTGTTAAAAAGTGAATGGGATTATCCTCTACAGCCCTTTATATCACATATAATCTATATCCCGGATGTCTTTTCATGCATCATTTTTTCCTTTCTAACAGCTTTTGGCATTCCATTTTATATTATGGACCATAATTTATTCAACCAGTAGATGGTAAATGTAACTAGTAAATGGCAAATATTTAGGCTGTTTATAAGTTTTCACTTGTACACACATCTTTGCCCATTTATTCTTTCTTTGAGATGGATTCCTAAAAGCAAAATTGCTGGGTTGAAGAATTTGCATGTTGACATTTTGGTTGTCATTACCAAGTTGCCTCTGGAAAAAACTACCAAATTGCACTCCAACCAGCAGTATAAGAGAGGGACGACAAATAGCTCCAGTAATGAGATGGTTCGTAATGGCAAACATGAAAAAAAGTTAAGAAAGGTCTATTTTCTTCTCTTGACTTAATTGATAATATTATTTACACACTTTGATGGTTTAAAATTTTTATTGATATATAACAACTTATTAAATGTTAAAGATATTAATGCTCTGGAAAACTTTTTGAGAAAAGAACTCCCGAGGCACCATCGTGCATGAAACAGCCAACCTTATTCCAGAATGGAAATGGCTTCCTGGATGGATTTTCACACCCCTCACTTCTTTTCCAGCCTTTGGCCCCACTCATCGTCTTAGGGCGATCCTGACTGGAATATCACCTCCAAGGTCTCAGGGCTTTAAGACTTCTCAGGGACATTCAAAGTAATTTGATGGCAATCAATTACTGCTTCCTGATATCTTTTGTGTAAGCTGATACCAAATAGAACTTGGAGTGAGCTAAATCAGAAGATGCGGAGTGAAAACATGACTCCACCACTAATATATCCATATCAAACAAGTGACTGGTCTCTTTGTTTGTTTTCTCAGCTATAAAAGAGAATGACTGCCTATCTGAAAACCCAAATTCATGCTGGCGTTGTAGGGCTCACAAAGGTAGAGAAAGATTTGTTTTCTTCTAATATCCTTTAAAAAAAACTTCACCCAAGGAGATATACGTTCATTGATTTCAGAGAGATAGAGACATCAATCAATCGCCTCCCCTACATGCACTGACCAGTACCGAACACACAACCTGCATATATGCCCTGCCAGAACATGGAATCTGCAACCTTTCGGTGCATGGAGCGATGCTCCAACCAAGCTACTCAGTCAGGGCAATTTTCTTCTAACATTCTTTATATTTACATGTAAATCTTTAATCTATGAGGAATCTTTGTGTGTCAGATGTGAGGTAGGGGTCCCCATTTATTTTTTCCATATGGATACAGATGTTACAGGTTTGCTTAACAATACAAAATCCTTACTGTCTGGATCCAGCAGACTTCCTGTGGGAAGTTCTGACCACTCACTCACTTCTGTTGCCTTTGCGGTGGCCCTGTGGGAGCAATAGGACCTACATGATTCCCATGAGGGTCCCAGGGAAGGCAGGTAGCCATGCTCCTTCATTTTTGTTCTCTAGGAGCTTCGGAAGAAGATCCTGGTGAAGGGGAAGAAGTTACAGACGCTTGAGGAGGACCTTGAAAGAGAGGAAGAGGAGGAAGGGCTAGAAACTGAACTAGAGGGGGAGCAGGAGGCTGAGCTGGAGCTGGAGTTCCAGTTTGAGCCTGAGACCCAGGAGCTGAGCCCTCGCAGTAAGGACAAAAAGGAGAAGGTAGGCCGGGAGAGTGGTCTTTGCTCTGGCATTCGGTCAGCCTTTATCACACGCTGAGAGCCCACGTGTGAAGAGACTCGAGCCTGGCAGGGTAGAAGGCCAAGGAGCAAAATGCCCCTTTCCCCCAAGGAAAGAGGCATAAGAATGCATGCAGTGCCTTTCCAGCTTCTGTGGGCCATACCATCCTTTTTAGTGAAATCTTTTCTGGAAGCTCACTATATAAAACAGATAAATGCAGAGCCACTCTAGTTGACGCACCCATTTGGCTCTATCCTGGGGTCTCCCAGGTGACTCCTGAGACATCTTTGTACTACTTCTCTGCCTCCTTAAAGGCAAGTTTGAAAATGACTGTTGGGTGTATGTGTGTGTGCGCATGCACACGCAGCGTTTGTATATTGGGTAAGTAGAGCTTATTGGAGTGACTGCTGTGACCTCCACTAAAGTGGGCTTAGTTGGAGAAAGCTTCTTGAAAAAGGTGAGTCTGAGGTGGGGCCAAAAATAGCCAAAGAGAAGGAGCAGGAAGAGGTGGGGAAGGTGAAGGTGCTGACTAGGTTATGCCTGAGTGGTTCAGCTCCCTGTGGGGAAGGGGTGCCGCTTGTGGGACCACCAAGATCCTGGTTTGAAGTCTGCTTTTATCTCTCATGTGCTTGGCTCAGCTGACTCCTAGCTTACACTGCTCCCTCTGGGGCTGTGGTGTTTAACCTGCCGCCTTGTCCAGGGATAGAAATGGGAATTCAGGAGACAAATCTAAAGATGTTGCCCTGGGACGCTCACATCCTCCCACTTGTGACTTCCATGACCATTTGCATACCTTGACATACCTGTCTGGGTTCAGGTACGTTTTGACCAAAAATAATTAATTTACTTTAAAAGAAGAAAGGCAGGGAGGATGACACCTCTCTGTTTAAAAATAATAATAAATTTAAAACACGTTATCCAGAAAGTAATATGGGACAGACTCTTCAAGTCCCGAGGCAGAAAATATTCCCATCAGTGTTTGTAGACAGTCTTTATTCCCATTCCCATCCCCAGGTTGTGAGGTGCCCGCTGTTTTGTTCGCCTATCTGTTGTCAGATTATGGTCCAGGCTCCTCTTCCCAAGCCTGGGCTCCCTCTCTTTCCCAAGAAGGTGAGGCAGGAGGGAGAATGCACCGGGGAGGCATTGGGCAGATGCTTAGCTTGGGTGGGGAAGTTCAGATCTTGGTCATTGGCTTCTTTCCTCTCAGATAGCTCATGGCTCGATCCTATCTTCCTCTCTTTCTCCTTTTCCAGAAATCCAAGCCCATGTTGTGTCCATCCCTCTCTGCCTTGGTTGTCTACACAAAGACTGTCCCATTCCACGGCTTCACTCATTCGAGGGAGCATTACCGCTTCTATGAGTTATCGTCTTTCTCTGAAACGAAGGCCAAGAGCCTCATCAAGGAGGCTGGTCAGGACCAAAAGGGAGGGACAGAGGAGAAATGGGATTGGTAGGGTCAGGTCTGATAGGCAAACGGATGAGTTCTAAGAAAGAATCCGAGGGAGCTAAGGAGGGATCAAGGAGCTAAGGCACTCCTCAGCAGGCCTGGGAACAGGAGTTTTAAGTAGTGGGCTCAAAGCTCTAGGGAGGAGCTGTGGGAGATGCTGGGGGTGGGGTGGTGAGTAAAGTTGGGAGGGACCTTGGGACCAGGGAAGGGGGAGCGCCCACCCCACTTCCATCTCTCTACCTACACCCTTTTTACAGGCAATGAGTTTGTGCAGCATAACACCTGGCAGTTAAGCCGTGTGTATCCCAGTGGTCTGAGGACAGACTCATCCAACTACAACCCCCAGGAATTCTGGAATGCAGGCTGCCAGATGGGTGAGGGGGCAGTGGGGACAGGGAAGAGAGAGTGGAAGAGCAACAAGTGGGCAGTAAGTTCTTGGGTGGCAGTAGGGCCAGGGAATGCTCCGAGAATGCCAGGCTGAGAGAGATATCTATGGAGGTATTCCCAGCAGGCCCTTCTATACCCAGTACATCTTTTTAACTCCCTGAAGAGAGGCTAGATAGCCCCCAAGGTAAATCCTTCCCCTCTCTTCTTCTGGGGCCCTCAGTGGCTATGAATGTGCAGACTGCGGGGCTTGAGATGGACATCTATGATGGGCTCTTCCGCCAGAACGGTGGCTGTGGCTACGTGCTGAAGCCAGATTTCCTACGTGATACCCAGAGTTCCTTCCACCCTGAGAGGCCCATCAGCCCTTTCAAAGCCCAGACCCTCCTAATCCAGGTATAATTGAAAGCAGGACTGTTGGGAAGAAACCTGGGATAGCTGGGAAAGAAGCAGGGGGGAGAAGCAGGTGGCTAGGCCTGCCAAGTTCCTTGGGAGAGGCAGGGTAGCCTGACTGTTCACAGCACTGACTTTGGAGCCTATTGCCTAGGCTCAAACCCATTTACTCACTGTGAGATGTTGGGCAAGTTCCTTAACCTTAGTGTCCTCACTTGCAAAATGGGGGTAATACTACTACCCACCCCACAGGGTTGTGAGGACTAGTTAAAATCAAGTGCTTACAACAATGTCCGGTGCATGTAAATGCTACAGAAGGGGTTGCTGTCATTAACATACCTTTCAAACCTTCTACTTGAATGCATTTAAAATTGCACATAGATTACTAGAAGAAGATCTATGACCCATGGCGGACTGGCTTTGAGAGCAAGGGCCGGCATTTCCCCCTTCCCTTCTCTTTCCCTCTTTTGGGGGGTGTGAGAGCTGGAGTGGGGCTGGGCTGAGCAGGAGCTGTTGCAGGTGATCAGTGGTCAGCAACTCCCCAAAGAGGACAAGACCAAAGAGGGGTCCATCGTGGATCCACTGGTGAGAGTGGAGATCTTTGGCGTTCGCCCAGACACAAGCCGGCAGGAGACCAGCCACGTGGAGAACAACGGTGAGACTGGGCAGTGCTGGGGGGAGGTGGGCGGAGCATGATGGTTACTTTCCTACCATCCTGCCCTCCGTTCAGTATAATCCATGTCACCGCCCTCCCGCTGCCACCTCCGTGGGAGGCAGTGCGAAACCGGGCAAAGAATCAGGGCTTGGATGTCTTCAGTGTGGTCTGAGGACACCCTCAATTATAGCCTCCAGTGACCTGGGCTGAGCCTCGGTTTCCTCACTTGATGGCTATGAAAATTAAGTGAGAGAGCACAGGGAAAGTAACCTGCCATGGGTCTAAAAACGTGTTTCTTCGTTCCCTCCCTCATTCACCCACTTCCACCCCAGGTTTTAATCCGTACTGGGGCCAAACACTATGCTTCCGAGTGCTGGTGCCTGAGCTGGCCCTGCTGCGTTTTGTGGTAATGGATTACAACTGGAAATCCCGAAATGACTTTGTCGGTCAGTACACCCTGCCTTGGACCTGCATGCAACAAGGTGAGCCTGCCCTTTCACCCCCGGCCAAACCCCCTCACTGCAGCTGCTGGCCTAACGCTGTCCCCCTGTGCCTGTCCAGGTTACCGCCATATACACCTGCTCTCCAAGGATGGCACCAGCCTCCATCCAGCCTCCATCTTCGTGCACATCTGCGTGCAGGAAGAGCTGAGCGAGGCTGAATCCTAAGGTGGGCACTTCGGGGGAGGGGTGGGTGCATTTGCTTTAGATGGTAAGAAAACCCTGGAAGCATGCTCCAGAAAGCGGAGGTGGTAAAAGCCAAGCATTGGGTTGTACATTCCTAGGCACAGGATTACCTCACTCTTCCTAACAAGCAAATTTAGTACCTGATTTTTCACCTTCCTCTTCCCTTTCTTTGTTTTCACAAAACTTTTGGTGTCTTTCCTGCCCTTTCCCTTTGTGTATGCTATACTGGAGATCCTTCCTTCCTCTCGCTGTAGGCTTAGTCCCAAACCCTGATCTAGGACTAATCTCTCTTATTAACTCTGGCTCAAAGGCAGATCGCAACTACAAATCCAGAGGGGCTTGGGGCACAGAAACCCAAGAGGTATTTTCCCCTCCTCCACAACTTCCTCAAAGTCCAGAGTCAAGGAAAGAATAAACCCAAGCCTCAAGCCTCCCCATGCAAAGGTTGGGGTAAGAGACCCCAAGACTGTACTATCGCTCTCAAGAGAACACTGCACAGCCCTTAGGAGTCCACACCGGACCACTTCTTCCTAGCCTCACCAGTGTTAATAGAGCTGCTCTTCCCAACTTGGCTTGAGTATGGTCTGTCATTGTTGGGCAAGAAGGGGAAGAAAGAGGGTTGGGGAATATTTGGGTAGACAGGTGGGGCAGGGAAAAAGTAGAAAAACAAAAGTTTCCAGGGGTGCCTCTGCGTATGCTACATAGGAACAGTACAGAAGACTGGTTTCTAGGGGTCAGAGCAAAAGGAGCAGATAAAGGGTTATGCAATCCTAGCTCTCCTGAAGAGTTTGCCTGGAACAGTCCTGGTTTACATCTGCTGTCCCAGCATAATTATTAATAGTACTCTTTAATTTTCCCAGTGTGTCCCAGTTCAGATGCTAGTCACTGTGAGGCACTCAGAATTCTGGATTAGAGATTTACCTCCACCCCTGCAATCATTTGCCTTTCATACTATCTTTCTGCTTTCACTCTAATGCAGCTGCTGACCCAGTCTGCGGACTGCTGTTGAATTAAAGCTGCTTCCACGAGGAAGCCTAGTAGATGGCAGTCCTCCCTCTACAGGCAGACAAAGTGGCTTGGAAATAGGGAGAACAAGGGCCGAGACAGCCTCCAGAACAGAGAGAAGGTGGACCTGGGTCTGTTTGAGAATCACTCTCTCAGTGAAGGGGGAAGGAAAAAAAGAGGCAGAGGTCTAAGAAAGGGCAGGGCAGATCAAGATGACAGCCTGGAAGTGTTAAAATAGGGACATGGATGAGTCTGCAAGCTAGTAATAATCATTGTTTAACATGCTTTATAGAGCATTAGGCACAACAACACACATGGTTAGGTACAATTGTTTTGAGGATGCTGAATGAAAATAGGACTTGACATAGTAAGAAGGAATGAGAAAATGGAATTGGTAAAACCCAAATCTTATAGTCAGGGACAGTGAGCCTCCACCTAAAATCAATTTATGGTCCATGTCTCTCTTTTATGTAGCTGTCAACATTAAAGTCCTACAGCCAGTATCCCAGGAGGGTTCCAGCCACCCTGACACCCCAAAGCCAGCCCTTCCTTACGCTCTGAGCTTCTCGGGCTAGCTCTGGACATCTCGGACCATACCCTCTTCTTGTCTGGGAGGTGGGGGGGGGCTCTCAGCCCTCTGGTCCAGTTGGGGGAGCAGAAGGAGCAAGAGGGCTGGGATCCTCCAACTGCACATCATGCAGGTGTACCGTGGGGGTGGTGGGGTCTTTGCCCACGCCTTGGTTTGGGTCAGCCTGGTCAGGGTGGTGCCTGCGCACGTGTTTGACCACCTGGAACTTCTGCTTGGCCTTGTAGCTGCATAGGCGGCAGAAGAAGGGGTGGCGGTCGGTGTGGGTGAGGGCATGATGGCGCAGGCCAGCAGCCCAGCGGAAAGCACGGTGGCACACATTGCACACGTAGGGCTTCGCTTCGCTGTGCTTGCGGAGGTGGGTGCGCAGCAGGAAGCGTGTCTTGAAGGCCTTGCCGCACTGCTCACACATGAAGGCCCGTGCTTCCCGGTGCCTTGTCTCCTGGTGCACACGCAGTGCGTCAGCCCGGTTGGTACAGTACTCACACTCGGGACACTGGTATGGCTTCAGTCCTGTAAGACATGGCAATGACAGGGAACAAATCACCATTGGAGGGGGCGGCACAGGGTCCAGGAGACTCTAAGAGTCACTGATCCTGGGACATAAAGAACACAAGCAACAAGCTAATAGCATTATCTTTGGAATACTCCAGTCTTGTCTGACATTTCTGTGCCCTTCTCCCAACATAGCCCCTTGTATACAATAGGTACTCAATAAGGGCTGATAACTAACTGAACCGCCAAACAGCCACCTGATAGCAATGCGTACTCAAAATATGAGAGGATTTCCAAACAGGAAATTTCAACCTCCTTTTGATCATGGTGTACTCATGGAAGTTGGGGATGCAATAAATACAACTCCTTGCTCAATTCAAGAAGTCAAAGAAAAATGCTTAAGAGGGAAGGGGGTAGAGGCGAGGAGTGGCGTTCATAGCCACAGACGGCCTTGAAATGCATCTGCTCAGTTCCTCTACATGAGGAGCTCATATGCAGTCATCGCAGGCCCATCATCACTAACACCTTTCTGAGAACCTGTAGTTCACGGACTCCATAACCAGGAGAAACAAAGGGTAAGTTAAAAATAAGTGAACCCTCCCACTTTCTCCTCTCTACTCATCAGAGTCCCGCCAGGTCTGTAGGAACCAGGGAGACATGCCATCCGTCACTCAGTTGGGGGGCGCTCAATGGGAGGTGGGTGACATGCTGCCGCACCACAATCACCCGGGGAGCCTTTGAAGAGCACACATGCTCAGGCTCTCTGCTCACCTCCCTTCTGATTCTACGAGGTCTTCAGCAGGTTAGGAAGCTATTCCGGCCATTCAGCCTGCCCACGCTCCTGACTCTGAGTAAGGGCATATTCCACCTCAGGGAGGCTGGGTGTGCCAGGGACTGTCAAAAACCACGCAGACTCACCTGTGTGCTTGGTCATGTGATACTTGAGCTGGTTGACCCACTTGCACTTGTAGCCACAGTCAGGGCACAGATACTTCCGTTCTTCCTTATGGATCCGCATGTGGTACTGGAGGAGGGACGAACAAAGAATATGCCCAGAAAATGTGCACCCCTGGCCACTCAAAGGATGAGGAAATAGGGGAGGCAGGCTGAGAGACTGTTGGCAGATAACCCTGTTCCCTGCTCCCATCCCGTCCACACTGCCGTTACCAGCTAGGTCCCCCAGGCTGGCCGCTCTAACGCCAGCCTAACCCACTGGGCCTACCCCTTGGTCTGCCCGGACTGTCTCAGTTCTGCCACTTTATCGCCTGTGGGTTTGGGTTACCTAACCCTTAATTCTTAGCTTAATAATCTATAAAATGAGAAACAGTAAAAGTAACTACCTCTTATTTTTGAAAGGATTAAAACTACAGTGCCCAGCATACAAGTGCTCAATGAATGTTAGCTGTTATCATTATCTAGAGTATTCCCAATCTGTCACATGCCCTTATCACTAGACTAGCATGAATTATGAAACTTTATCTTTACAACAACCCTCTGAGGTATTACCCCAATTTTACAGATAAGGAATCTGACTGAGGCTTAGAGAAATTAAGGAACTTGACAAAGGCCACAAAGCTAGTATTTGGGAGAGTGAGGATTAGTGCTCTCAGGCAGTTTACCTCCACAGCCAGTACTCCCAGCCCCCATGGTCCTTGGCCTTACCTTGAGGCGAGAGGGGTCAGCACAGGCGTAGGAACAAAGGTGACAGCGGTAGGGCTTTTCCCCGGTATGAATGCGGCTGTGCCAGGTGATCTTCTGCCGGTTCTTGGTGCTGTACGCACAGTCGGTGCACTTGTAGAGCCGGGTGCCCCCGTGCCCTTTCACGTGGTGGTCTAGCACCAGCTGATGGCGGCACACAAAGTCACAAAAGGGGCAGCTCAGAGCGGGCTGGCCGGCATCGCCCTCCGAGGCTGCTGCAGAAGTCTCCTCATGTTGTTCCAAGTAGTGCTTCACCAGGCCCACCCGCTCCCGCGCGGCGAAGTCACACAGCTCGCAGCGGTGGCTGAAGTGCTGCTGCCTCCGGTGCTCATCCAGGGCTGGCCGGCTGGGAAAGGCCTGCTGGCAGGCTCCGCACTCGAGCCGTGGGTGCTGTTTACAGGTGTGTCCTCGCAGGCTGGCAGGGCTGGGGCATAGGAACCCACAGCGGGAGCAGTGCAGGGGGCCCTCGGTGGCTTCCGCGGGAGAGCCCGGGGCTCTGGGTGTGGGCTCAGGGTGCCGGCGCAGAGCATGCTGCTTGAGCGCTGTCTCGGAGCTGAACTGGGCCTCACACTGGGGACAGGCAAAGGCTGGGGTGCCCTGGTGGCAGCTGTTGACGTGGCGAGTGATGTCATGGCGAAGGTAGCCACTGTAGTCACAGAGTGGACAGAAGTGGGTGGGCGTTTTGTCGTGTACCCTCAACTGGTGCAAGCGCAGTTTTGAGTTAGTACCAAACGTCTGGGGACAGGAACTGCAGGGGATGCGGCCAACACCTGTGTGCCGGGACTGGTGAGCCTCCAAGCGGTACCGTCTAGTGGTGGAAAAGTCACAGAAAGGGCACTGATGTGGCTTCACGCCCTCGTGCTTGAGCCGCTGGTGCTGCTGTAGGCACCGGCTCTGTTTACAGATGAAGCCACAGTCCCCACACTGGAGAGGGGGCCGGGGGCCGCGGGCCGGAGCCACAGTGGAGTGCTTCCGCTTCTGGTGGAGCTTCAGGGCAGCGGCAGCAGGAGCAGTGAATGAGCAGAGGCCACAGCGCAGCTCTCCAGACTGCTGAAGGGGGCAGCCCCGGGTCTGGTGGGTCCTCAAAGCGCGCTCCTGCTGGCAGCTAAAGGGGCACGTGGGGCAGGAGAAGCGAGCCCCCTTCTGCTTTGGAACCACAGCTGTGTCCCCGTCACCAGGGCTGCACTCTGTATTCCCACCGTTTAGGGGAACCGAGTCCCCATTGCTCAGCGGGGACGCGACAGGCTGGGTCTGGGAGGCACCTCGCTTTCCTGCCCCACTACGTGCCCCCCGGCAGCCTTCAGCCACATGAGAGGTAATGGAGGAGAGCCGAGAACAAAGGAACATGCATGAGTTGCAGTGAAACTTGCCCTGTTCAAAGTGGAACTTCTCAAGGGTCTCTGGGGAGGAGTCTCCTGCAGGAAGGACTGTGGAGCCAGACAGTGTGGTCAGGGGTTCTTCTTTTTCTTCTGGTTCCATGGAAAGCTCAGAAGGAGTATCTTTTGAGAGCACTACCTCCAGTTCTAATGGTGTAGGTGGGGGCTTCTCGCCTTCTACAGCCTCTGAGGCCTGGGTACCAGGGGACAGAGGATGCAGAGGGACGGGTGAATCTGGCCTGGGCAAGCCCTTGTTCTTTTTGAGCAAAACAGGGCACTTCTTCAGCAAGTGGGTGCTAAGGCCACGCTGCTGTTTGAAACTAGCCCCACACTCGGGGCACCGCAGGGGCTCTCGGCGGCCATGGCACCCCGTCCTGGAGTGCAGACTCAGGGCCTTCTCCCGGCGGGTGATAAAAGGGCAGTGTGGGCAGCGGAAAGCCCGCCCCTCTCCCTGTATCACTACCATCTGGACCCGCCCCTCTAGGACCAGCGCCTCGGCCTGTTCTTTGTCCTGTCTCCTTAGAGCCTTGAGTAATGACTCTGACTCAGGTAACTGGGGCAGGAGTGCTGTCTCAGTGGGCGGAGTTGCCTTGAAGGTGTCCGCCCAGCTGACAGGGGGTTCCTCTGAGGAAGGAAGGTTGGTAGGGGGCTCAGGTATTGGCTTCTCCGGAATGGGCTCTTCGGCACCCAAGCCAGAAGTCCCGGCACCTTCAAAGGTAGACAGCCCTGTCAAAGTTCCATCTGGCCCTTCCAGTCTCAGGGGCCCTGAGGGATCCAGGGGCCTGAACTCTACAGGGGAAGGTTCGGTGATCTCCGCAAGTGGTGGCTCGGCCACAGGTTCCAGCTCTACTCCCAGGGCCTCTAGGTGCAGTGTGCAGCTGCCCTCATCTACCTCCGCTGGGCTGGGGCTGCCAACCAGGTCACCCCCCTGGGGACCTTCACTGCCGTCCTGTCTCCCAGCACTGTCCTCACTGGCCTCTGGCAGAGCCTGGTCCAAGCTGGGGTCCACCATGGCTTCAGTGTCATGGTCCTGTCCCGCAGGCTGGGCCGACAGCTGATCTGAGGACTCTGAGTCTGGTGGGGGTGTCGGGCATTGCCTGGCCTCCTCTAGTTCCTGGCTGGCATAGCGGAGCTGCCAGACCTGGTCCCCGGGCACATAGCCATGGGCCTTGCGCTTGTGGAAGAAGAGGGCGGTGTTGCTGAAGGTGCGGTAGTCACAGAGGGCACAGCGGAACTCACGGAGGCGGGTGTGCTTGCAGTTCTCGTGGCTCAGCAGGGCCTGCTTGTGGCGGCTCTGGTAGCTGCAGTAGCGACAGGGGTAGAGTGGGGCTGGCTTGCTGGGGTGGTGCTGGGAAGCCATGTGTTTCTGCAGCTCATACTTCCGCTTGCAAGCAAAGGCACACACCTCACACATCAGGGACTTGCCCTGGTGTCTCAGCTTATGGCTACTCAGCTGATCAGCCCGATGGCAGCGATAGGAACACTGATTGCACTGGTATCTGGTGAGGAGGGAGGGGTTAGTAAAATGGCAACTATAAATCAATCATAACAACAAATAGTCACTACTTACTACGGGTCAGGCTCTATGCTCAGCATTGCACCTACACCATCTAATTCAGGTTCTTTCCCACCACCCTATGAAACAGATACCCCTTTTACAAGTAAGGAAAGTAAAGCATAGAAGTTAAAAAACTTGTCTGAAGTTACAAAGTGAAGGGCAGAGACAGTCTAGTTTCAGGGCTTATGTTCTAGCCCCTACTCTATATCGCTCCCTGCGGGAAGGTGTAAGTCAGCGACCCTCTGTGGATTTCTGAGAAGCTGACACGCCTGTAGCTCCACAGGGCAGGCTTCTGTGCCTAGTTCCCATTCTCCCATGGAAGCGTGAAAACTAAGGAGAAGCCCTCCAGACAGCGGTGCCCAGAGGGCAGAGGGCAAGCTGCCTGAATTTGGAAGTGGTCAGGAGTGGGGCAACAATGTTGTCCCAGAGTTCCAAGGCTGGACTCCGAGAACTCAAGTGACACCTTAGCGTCTAGGCCTAAACTCTGAGTCCAGGCCTTCTCTGAGCCCAGAGATCTCTCCCCATGCAGACAGGGCCACAGGCACAGACGCCAGCTATGGGCAATGTGACGTTACGAGGAGTCTCCCGGGCCCAGGAGAGCATCGGGGCCACAGCTAAATTCAAGAGGAGGCTAGCTTAGCATAACATTCTTGGGATGGGGATGGAGGCATGCATGCGCTCATACCTGAGGTCCCCTAAGTGTTTTCGCATGTGCACACTGAGGTAGTGCTTCCACTTGGTGACATAGCCACACTCAGTGCACATGTAATCCTTGGTGTTGGAGTGGGTCAGCATGTGCTTGGATAGGTAGCTCACATCTCGGCATGTGAAGTCGCACAGCTCACACTTGTGAGGTTTCTCACCTTTGTACGGGTGGGGGTGGGGGTGCAGATGAGGAGAGAGAAAAGCCAGATTACACACAGATCAATTAAGCAGAGAGACCATGTTCCCCAGCAAGTCTGTCCTCACACCAGGAGCAAAAGCGTCACATGCTGATCCTAAGAGTCAATGCTGCTTCACAGCCTCTCAGACAATACTCCCCTGCTCCGACACCAAAGAGGATGGGAGGGAAGTGAAGACTGAGCTTTTCAAAACTAGCTTGAAAGTCTGCTCCTGATTTGTTATGCGGCTTGTTGGCACTAACAGCCAACTGTTCCACTTAGCCCAATTCCTTCCAGTTTTGTGGAAGGGAAGGAGAACAAACTAGGCAATACACATAGTGGTTAAGAACCCTCACTCTGAGGTCCAACACAATAATAAAGATATTAATAGCCAACACATATAGAGTGCTTGCTCACTGTGTGCCAGGTACCTTTCTGAGCACATTATAAAAATGCTTCCTCTCATCGAATCCTTATAACAGCCCTATGAGGCAGGTGCCGTGGTTCCCCCATTTTATAGAGGAACAAACTGAGGCAAAGAAATCAGAGCTATTAAGTGGTGGCTCAAATCTCAGCTTACTATGGCCTTGGGCAGATCATTTAACTCCTCTAAGTCTCAGTTTCCTTGTCTCCGAAAAAAGGGCAACTAAAATACTGACCTTACATAGCTGATAGGAAGACTAAATGCGATGTTCCATAGTTCTCAGTGGTGCTCAGTGAGAACTCGAGGGCAAGCTGTCCCTGGAGTTGGTCAACACCTGGCCCTAAGAAGCTGGGGGCCATGTTTCTTCAGGACCTTTCCCTATTATTCCTGCCCACTCACTCAGGCCCTTTCCCTGCGGTGAAGGGCCACCAACTCCGTGTTCTGGCTCCATTGTTACTAGCTATGTGATTCTGAAACAGGCCATTTAAATTTCCAGTTTCTCATCTTTACCTGCCTTCCTTACAAAAGTGTTGGTATAGATTAAGTGAGATAATATATATGAAAGAACTTTATAAACTGTAAAGCACTATATAGATGGAAGGTTTTAGAGAAGGCTCATCAAGCTGAGATTTTGTGACTAAAGCAATGGGCACAACAATGGTTTTGACCTGAGCTGCCTAAAAACTGCCCTCTTAAACCACAGAGTCTTTGATGAGATGTTTAAGTATCTTATCAATACACTATGCTTACACAGAGATCACAAATGCGCTGATGCTCTACCAGGAAGCCTGACTTGGCTGTCACTCCACGTATCAGTAATGCTGGTAACCAATTCAAAGTCTGCAGCTTCCAGGTCAGCAAAAAGACTTGTGTTTCAGCGTCACGGCTGCCAAAGCTATAAGGCATGTGGATGGCTCAGTTCCCACTTGCCCCATCTCTCACAGCACATCCCAAAACTCGAATCGCAAAGGAAGGCATCTGTCCTAATCTGGGTCTCTTCTCTTTAAGAGGCTCGGTGTTGGCCCACCCAGTGCTGACTTGGCGGGGGTGGAGGGGAGGGCACAACTCGACAGGGCGTTAAGGATGAAACACAACAACACAGTGCTCACAGCCCTGGCTCTGGATCAGACTGCTTGGATTCAAATCCCAGCCTGACCACTTCGCTAGCTGAGTAACACTCTAGCTGAGTTAACACATTCCAAATACCGGATTTTTCTCTAGGAATACTAGGTCACATGAAACAATGAACGCAAAGCCCTTCAAGCGTACGTCTGCCGTCGTCACCATCACCACCACTACTTTATCTCTGTAAGGAAGGACGCCACCTCACCTGTATGCAGCAGCATGTGGCGGATGAGCACTCTCTTGTGGGCAGTGGCAAAGTTGCACTCGGGGCACTGGTGGATCTTCTCGTGAGCATGCATCTTGCCCACATGATCCTGGTAGGCCACCGGGTTGAAGGTGGCGAAGGGACAGAAGGTGCAGCGCAGCTCCTCGCTGCCAGGGTGGCCCTGCTTCTTGTGTTTGCGGAACAGGTGCTTGTTGGAGCAGGCGAAGTCGCAGTGGGGGCAGTGGAAGGCATAGTGGCTCTTGTGGTGGGCCTCCATGGCCTCGGCCGTGGCAAAGAGCATGGGACACGAGTGATGGCGGCACTCCACAGCCCGCACCCCGTGCGTCTCCTTCAGGTGCTTCATGAAGGCCTTGCGGTCGGGTGCCGCGTAGCTGCAGCCCTCCTGAAAGCAGCCAAGGGGCGAGGGCTCCGCTGCCGCGGCTGCTGTGTGGCTCTTGAGGTGCTCCTTAAGGGCCTGGCTGAGGCGGAACTCCTCCTGGCAGACAGGACAGGCGTAGGTGTCCGAGTAGAAGTTGGAAATATCCTCATGCATGCTGGCCATGTGGCGGTTGAGCGCGTTCCTCTCCACGGCACTGTAGTGGCACAGTGGGCAGCGGTGCGCCTTCTCGCCCAGCTCCCGCAGCAGATGAGTCTTGAGCTTGCTCTTACTGGTGAAGAACTTCTGGCAGTTGGGGCACTGGAGGCTGGGGTCTGGGAAGTGGAGATGTAGGTGCTCTACCAGGTGGGTCCGCTTCTTAAAGCAACGCTTGCATTCTGGACACATGTGGGTTTTGAAGAGGGACTCGGTGCCAGGAGCCATATCCCCTGTAAGAGGGAGAGGCGGAGATGGTTGAAAGCAAGATTCTTCGATCAGTCAGGGGCTGGCCAGAAAATGGGAGAACCACAATCTGCCCAGGCACAAACAGTGTGTGGCCTTTCCCTTTTCTCTCTAGGAAACCAAACAATAGCATCTCAAATACTGTAGTCTCAGAGAAGAAACAAGAAATTCAAGTACGTAGAGAAACAAAATCACAAGAACTTCTCAGACCTATTTGAAATACTTTACCTAGCTACCCACTATTCCTGAGCCTCTGTATAGGGTTGTTCAAAAGAACAATCTGGATGGAGCTTTTGTATTCTTCCTGCCCATGTTCATGGGGGCAAATGGAAGGATCAGCAGGGTTGGTTGGAAGGAAAAGAACCCCATAGGGAATGAGCAGAGAAGAAGGTAAAAGTAGGCCAACTTCCAAACACAAGCTCATGAGTTCTAGGTCATGGGGAGCTGGTAATAAAAATAAAAATAATCTGATCTTTCCTACATTCCTGACAGTAAACATGCTCCCTGTGTGATGGGTTTTAAATGTTGTGCTACTGAGCTGGAAACTGGGACGCAAGGATTCAGGAAAAAAAGAAAAAAGAAAAAGAAAGCCTTAGGGGGCTCACTGCCAGATGAGACAGGCTGCTGATCATCAATAACCTCTGGCTTCTCTATACTATGGCTATAACCTGTTCCTTCCCTGCAAAAGCACTTTCTGCCTGAGGAAAAACAGCCTCAGAGAACACACTCTATTTACCCCTACACCCTGTGTTACTAGAGTTTCTGCCCATTTACCTTGTCCCCACTAGACATGTCAAAGTGGACTGTTAAGAATGAAAGGATCTGAACAAAGCTCAAAAAACCAAACCCTAGTCTCAATGCCAGGCTCTCCGCTCGTTCCCACCACCGAGAAGTTCAAGCCTAATCATATCATTACCTTCCAACTGCAGAGTCCCCTGGTTTTTCTCCAGGACTTTCTGGGAGTCCTTCAGAGTGCCACTCTCCTCCACTTCCTCCTCTTCAGCTGACTCCTGCCCAGGCAAGGGTGTACCTGCTTCCTCTGAAGGCGGCCCCTCTCCTGGGGGCAGTTTGGGAGCTGGAGACACATACAACTTGATGAGGTCTACTGGTGAAGTCTACAGGGGTCAATGCCAGCACTGATTGCTTATACTTCTCCTCTTGCTGGCTGACACAGTCACCCCCTCCCCATTTAGCATAAGGGAATCTGGGGTTCTTAGAGGAAGACCAGGAATGAAGCTACCAGTAATGCTCCAGCCTAAAGTAAATCACACCTCAGGTAACACCATCCTCAGACCCCATTCAGGTAAGAGCTTTGAAGTTACTGGAGTTGGGGGTAGGGGACTGAGAGAGAGAGAATGGATGGACTGCATGTCCCTGGCTCAGGTCCCCAAGTCTAACAACCGCTAGCTCAGAGCAGGTGAACATAACCCAAACTCTGAACTGTTCTCCTGAGAAACCCAACTCAGTGATTCAGGGTCATACCCCGTCCCCTCAGATCTATCCCTTCTATTCCTCAACAGAAGCAGCTGCCTTGGTAAGGCAAACACCTATGACTGCTTCCCAGGGGAAAAAAAGGGTCTTCTCTTTGGGAGCAGAGCATAAGTGAGTCTTAGCAAGCCCAATTCTCTCATCAGAATCCTGGCCTCTCCTGCCCTGATTTTTCTATCTCCTCCTGTTCCCCTACCCAGCCCATGACCTTTTTTGAGACCAAGAGGAGTAAGAATCAGTGAAACACCACCCTTCTTGAAGGTTTCTTTTTAAAGTAACCCTGGCTCCTCCTATGCAATCCCACTTACTCTAAAAGGGAGTCAGAAGTCATTCTACCCGTGGCTATGGGAATTTTAGCTTTTGCCCTCAGAAAGTTCTAAAATGGATCAGGAGAGAGTGAGTGGTTAAGTAACTTCAAGGCCACAATGCGGCTGAAGCCAAATTTCACTCAATGTCATAGTCAAAGACTTTCTCTGTATCCCATACATTCTGACTGGTCCAAGCTTCCTGGATGTGTTCCCATGTTAGTAGCTCTGTCCTCTGGAGCCACTGCTCTGGATTCTCCTGTATTAAGGCAGACATCCATGGCACTAGATACAACTGCCTTTCCAGGTGACGTACCGCTGGGCCCCTGGCCCCATACCTGGCAGCAGCTCCTGGGATGGAAGACCCTGAACGGCCGACAGTTCTCCCTGTGTCCCGGCCCCATGGCTGCGCTGATGCTGCCGGAAGAGTTTGACGTTGGAGCCCATGAAGCTGCAATGGTTGCAGTGGAAAGGGTAATGGGCCTGTCGGTGCAGCTCCATGCCCTGCTGGCTCCCGAAGAGCAGGGGGCAGCCCCGGAAACAGCAGGGCACGGGAGCCACTCTGTGGGTCTGCCTCAGGTGGTGCTGCAGGCCCTTACGATCTTCAGCAGAGAACACACAGCCAGATTCTGGGCAGGAGAAGGTGTTGGGAGGGCCCCGGTGAATCTTGAAGTGGCTTTTCAGGGCCTGGGGTTGGGCAAACTCCTGTCTACACACAGGGCATGGCAGGGGGCTATCGGGTGGGCTGTGGCTCTGCAGAGGGCCAGAGAGAGTGAGGTTGCTGAGGGGTAGCTCTACAGAGCATGGGGGACTAGAGAGGCCCTGCACAGGCTGTATAAGGGTCTCAGCGCACTGGTGCAGGGCGAGCAGAGCGGGCTCTGCGAAGCTCTGCTCACAGCGCTCACAGAAGTACACCTCCACCACCTTTACCAGGACACCTGCAGGCAGAGGACCAACAGAGAAAGGCACAGAATCAGATAGAATGAGACTCATGGGAGTTAGCTACTAGCAGAAAACATAGGTGACTCTTTTCATATTCATGGACTGGAGGTGGACTTTGACTCTGGTTCTGCACTTGGACTGTAAGCCCCGTGAGGGCAGGGACACTCTATCTCTTATACAAGTGTTCAGATTCCCTGTATCTAGCACAACACTTGGCACAAATTAGGTACTTAATAAATATCTGTTAAATGAACATAATGAATGTTAATCAAATCCAGAAAGCATTAAGAGAAGGAAATATATTTTGCCTGAACAAAAAATTAGAAACTTTAAAAAAAAAGGACAATCTGGGGATAATATCTGCAACAGAAATGACAAAGGGATTTACTTTCATATTCTGTGAAGAGACTATCATAGGCACAGTAATTCATAAGATAGAGAACATCCTTTCTGAAAAAAGCCAAATCACATTCCTAATAATCATTGCCATTTCTTAAGCAGTGAGCAGGGCCTTGATAAAGAAAGGCTTAGCAAACACGTTCTTGGTCCTCCAACTGCCCCGTAAGAGGGACCTGGGGTTCTGTGAGGTTAATGCCACTATGTTTGTTAGTGGTGGAGTCATGACTCAAACCCAGGTTTGTCTCACATTTATTCTGGTGGTCCTTCTTCTCTTTATATTTTTGTTTAAAGAAAAATTTACTGCAACAATTCAAATGATACAGGTATATTTTTTTAAAAAATTCCACTCTCACAGTTTGGTCTGTATCCTTTCAGTCCTTTTTGGATTGTTTTTCTGATATTTGCTTACTTTTTCCTCTGCTCTATAGCAAGGATATTTTTATCTATGAGTACATTTAAATCTACCATATATTTTTTGTCTAGTTCATAGTATTTTCAGAGCATGGATTAATCAAAGTGATATTTTGCCCTTACTGATAGACACTTGGGTTGTTTCCAAACATTACAAATAAAGTTAGCCTACACGTCCTTACCGCTGTATTTTTGTGCGTGTGAGTGTGTGTCTTTCTACAGGACAGACAAGTGGATTACTGGGTCATATATTTAAAAATTTATTATGTAGATAATTTGACCTTCAAAAGATTATGCTAATTTATACTCTCCATAAGCTATAAAATAGTGTCTGTTTTCCCAAAGCTTCACCAACACTAGGTATTACAAAATATGTTTGACTTTTGCTAAAGTCAAGGAAAAAAATGGCATCTCATTGTTATTTTTAATTGGAATTTATTTGTGTGTTAGTAAGATGAAACCTCTTTATGGTTATTGACTATTCTTATTTCTTCAGTAAATTTCATGTAGATTTCTTTTCCCCTTTTTAAAAAGCACTGTTTCTTTTTCTTGTAGAGCTCTTGAAAGTTTAAAGACATTAACTCTTTCTTATACACTGCAAATGTTTTTCCCAGGTTTGTTTTTTATTTATTATTTCTTCCACCACACAGTTTAGAAGTATTACATGATCAAATTAACTAATCTTTCCCAGTATTCTTTGTACACCACCAAGGGAAGTTGTGACAACTATAGTTAGAGGATGGCAGTTAAAAAACAGGAAGTTACTTAAAATAAAAAGTTGTAGCTGTGGGAAGAATAAGGGGAGAATCCTCCTTTTAGCATAAGCGTAAAGGCTCAACTCTTACTCTTAACCACATACCTTGGATGAATTAAATGTTATACACAAGGAACTAGGGCAGGGAAATACCAGATTGCCTCTGGGAAGCCCTGCCAAGCCCAGGGTGGTGGAGAGAGGCTGGGCCTTTTGCCTAATCCCTGGCTGTAGTTCCTAAGTAGGAGGGTCAATACGGGGAAAAGAATCCCCAAGGACTATTGCAGTAAGGACTGGGCGGAGGTGTCAGAAATGTCTTCCCTTCTGGATTACTGCCTAGCAGACATGATGCCTTTGCAGAGAAAGACTGCCAAGAGCTTGGTACAAGGTTGTGCACCACCTCGCCAGCCTTCAGTCAACATTTACCGGCTGCAAATCAAATTACATCTCTCAGTATAAAAATAGGATGCTACCTTGTGTTCTCATCGTACTCATACATAAGGATCAAAAATAGCAGACAAAGCCTCAGGGCTGTTTGTCCCACTGGCCTGCTAGCAGGTGTGTTTGTACCTGGTGTCTCTCCAGGAGCACCTGGGGATAGGTTTCCAGCTACTGCTTCTACAATGATCTCCATGTTCCCTGTGTCTTCTTCAGTTGTCGTGGCCTCTACCAGCAGGCAGCCTGGGTCAGCAGGCAAAGGTGTGGGGTTCCCAGATGGACAGGGGCTCTGGACAGGCTCTAGGATTCCAGGGTCAGAGAGAGGTGGGGGGATCAGTAATAGCTCAGGGCAGAGTCCATCCATCTCCTCTGCGCTGCTGGCTGGCTGTGAGTCCAACATGGGGTCTGTCATCACCGCCAATTTGTGTGCTGTGGTCTTTGAAGTGCTGATAAACCAACCAGAAGGAAAACGAAACAAAATACGGTTAGATCTCTCACTTTCTTTCTAGTTGGTGTGGGCACACAGCCAAGTGCCTGCCCACCTAGGCACTTCCTTGCACCGCAGCATGCCACAACTAGTTAACCTTGACGTTTTCTTTTTTATGACAATGTCCAGAACATTGGGAGACCCCCATAAAGATGCCATTTCGAGAACTAAAAAATATAAGAATTATATTTTTGGCCAATACTAGGAGAGAGCCAACAAATTTTGGCCAATATATTAAAGGCTGCAGGCCATTATTATTCTTTTTGGAGCTAACTGACCTTGGTCAAGTCATTCAGCAATCTGGGTCTGCTATTTTCTTATCTGCAACAAAATTAGATGGGGCCAAGGGATTTCATAGGTATCTTTCCCTTTTAAGATTTTATGATCTCACTCTTCCTTAGCATGGGTATAAGGCCCTTCCTTCATGGTTTGGCCCCTGCTAACCTCTCCAGACTCTTCCACCCCTCCCCTCAACAGATCTCTGAATCAGTCATACCAATGATTTGCCATTTCCCAGGCTCACCATATTCTATTTTGCTTCCACACTCTCACACATGCGTGTATCTATCTGCTTCTGTCTCTGGGCTTGATGGGCCTTTTCCCTATCTCCATCTTTCTTGTCTGGCTAACCAATTCCTAACTATCTTTTAAGAATCCGCTCACATACCCTTACCACTATGAGAGCTTCCTTACAGATTAAGACAGAGAAAAGAGCTGGGGAATGAATGAAACCTGGCCTGGGTACTAAGGCACCCGGTTTCCACCTGCCCGTGGGCTCTGACTCACCCCGTGGACTTGGACAGCAACCTCGCTTCTCTGGGTCTCAGCTTTCTTATCTGTGAAGTGGAAGCGATGACAGTATCCACATCGTTGGGCAGGAGCGGAAATCACAAGAGCCAGAGAATGGGAAAACCAATTTGTAACCTGCAAGGCTTGGGATGGAGAATCGTCATGATTATGGTCCTGAGAGGCAGCGGGTAAGCGGGAGGGGTCCAGAGCAGTGACGCGACTGAGGCACCGGGCGGCTGTGTGATGCGCCGGGGTCCCGGTGTTCCCACCTCCTAGGCCCACCCTCATCCTAGGGCACGAGAAACTTTTGCCTCCAGCCCGCTCCGCCCGCACTCCCGACTAGTTCCCGCCCCACAGCCGCTAACTCACCTCCCGGCCCAGGGCCGGCGAGAGCCACATCTCTATGGTCGACCAGAAACTGGAGCCACCTCCGGGGACACCCTTTGTGCGACCGCCTCCGGCCCAGCGGCCTCTAGGGCAGCGGGCCTACGGAGGCCACTCTCTCTGCCGCCTGGTGGCGGGAGGAATACTCTATGGTTTTCTCTAGCGTTCCCCGCTCCTCCCAGTCAGGAAGCCGGAGGAGTACCATCGAGAGTCGTGGAGCAGAGTGGTAGGGCCTTTTTGGTGGGCGTGGCGGGAAGTAGATGAAAGATCTCGGGGGTGGAGCCGAGCGGCCCTTCCCTCGCGTGCGGAGGGGTGAGACCAGTGAGAGGGAGGGCCAGAGAGTCTTGGCGGTAAGGGGATGGAGTGACGGATTGTTCCTAACCACGTTGGTGGAGGCGCGAGCTCGGGTGTGGAGGGGTTCGGAGGGGCTCCTGGGTGTCCTACTAGGGCCCGGGGCGGGAAGGGCTTTGTCTGTGGCCCTCCACGCGTAGGTATTTTGGAACTCTGTATCCAACTCAGCCTCAGTGGAGGTCACTGCTGTCAGTGTATCGCCCTGCGTGCCAGGCTCAGAGCAAGGTGGCAGTGGGCAGGGGAGGCGTACGAGAAATCAGTTGGCTTTGTACCCCTCCGGATGTTACAGTCTAGAATTAGACTCAGTCACTTTTTTTTTTTTTTTTGTATATGGAAGAATTATGAAAAACCTCCATGGAAGTAGCAAATGGGCAGGACTTCAGTTGGAGAGAATAAATCAGAATGCGCTTTCGAGTGGAGAGAACTGCTTGAGCCAGGAGGTGGTTAGCATATTTGTTCAACAGGGAGTTTTAGGAGCTAAGCCCTGAAAAGTAGGTGGGGGGTTTTGAGTACCAAGCAGAGGTCTGCTGAGACCTCAGGGGTTGTTGAGAGGTGTTGGAGTAGGGAGAGAAATAGGATTGAAGCTGATCTTTATGAAGAATGACCTAGACTCCTCTGTAATAGCAGTTTGGTGAAGCAGGAAGTGGGGTCCCCCGTTAAGATGCCATTTCAAGAACTAAAATTAATTTTAAAGAGACAAACGGGAAGTATTAAAGGGCTAAACAGGACATCAGGAATTGAGCATGTAACAGAGAGGATATTTGAAGGTCATTACTCGTGGTAACAAGGCATGGTGGTTGCAGAGAGATCAATGAAAGAGAATGGCTTCATTCCCTGCTAAGTCTGGCTAGGGGGCCTTTCTATTTTAGTGGTCCCAGGTACCACAGAAATCCTGTCCATCCGTTATCCTGTTGTGAAGCCAGTTACATTGTTCTCAGAAATGAGAGAACATAGTCCTGTGGCAGGAAATCGAAATGTGAACAGGATAATGAATGGCAAAATGGGACAAGAGGCTTGGAGATCTAGGCCCTGAATTCCAACACCATGGCCTCCCCACAAAGGGAGGGTATTGGAGCACACAGTAGGGGACCTGTCTTTCCTGCTCCCAGCTTCTGCAGGAGGGAGGGGGTGGGGAGATGAGGGATTAAGGAGTCCAGTTTCTAAACTAATCTTGTGGTTTTTCCCCCTGTTTCCACTGCTCCCCATCCCCAGGATTTGAAAATGCCTCAGGCTCTGTAAGGTTCCGTGTTTCCCTTTCAAGATGCCCCTTTCAGACTTTGTTCTTGCCCTGAAGGACAATCCCTACTTTGGGGCTGGATTTGGCCTGGTGGGTGTGGGCACAGTCCTAGCCCTGGCCCGGAAGGGTGCCCAGCTGGGCCTAGTGGCATTCCGGCGCCATTACATGATCACACTGGAAGTCCCTGCTCGAGACAGGAGCTATGCCTGGTTGCTTAGCTGGCTCACCCGCCACAGTACACATACTCAGCACCTCAGTGTCGAGACCTCATACCTTCAGCATGAGAGTGGCCGCATCTCCACTAAGTTTGAATTTGTCCCCAGTCCTGGAAACCACTTTATCTGGTAAGGTTGGGGACAGGGAGGGTTTTGAGAGTAGAAAAGGAGAATGAGGGGAGCTGGGTTTCACCTATTCATTTACCCCATTTTGACCATTCTTATTCAGGTATCAGGGGAAATGGATCCGAGTGGTACGAAGCCGGGAAATGCAGATGATAGACCTGCAGACGGGTACTCCTTGGGAATCTGTTACCTTCACAGCTCTGGGCACTGACCGCAAAGTTTTCTTCAACATCCTGGAGGAAGGTGTGGGATGATGACGCAGGCAGGCTCTATGGGGCGTTGCAGGGATGGGGGCATTTAACAGCAGAGGGAGAGCAGCTTGGAGGATCTGAGCTCATGGGAGCAGGGGGCTGGGGTTAGCCGTTTTGGCACAACTCTGCCTTACATGCATGGCAGAGGGGAATATTGGCTTTGTCTCGTCTTGCCCCGTCTAGCTCGAGAGCTAGCCTTGCAGCAGGAGGAAGGGAAGACGGTGATGTACACAGCTGTGGGCTCTGAATGGCGCCCCTTTGGGTATCCACGCCGGCGGCGACCACTGGATTCAGTGGTTCTAGAACAGGGTCTGGCTGAGCGAATTATCAGAGACATCCGGGAATTCATTGATAACCCCAAGTGGTACACTGACAGAGGTGAGAAGCAGCTGGGGTCTTGGTCAGGCTGTTTTTGATGTGGTGGTAGAGCAGGAGGAAACAGGCTAGTTTCCATGGCCAGATGGTGTGGATATACAGCTCTAGCCCACTTCCCAGCCATGAAGAGGAAGGAAAAGTTGCCTCTGGGGATGATTTCTTCCAATAGCAAGGTCTCTGGGGCTCCAAGGGAGCAGGGTTGGGAATGTGGACATGTGGGGCAGAGTGCGTGATTGACTTCATCTTGATAATCATCCTGGCTATATTCCCAGGCATTCCCTACAGACGTGGCTACCTGCTTTATGGGCCCCCAGGTTGCGGAAAGAGCAGTTTTATGTGAGTGGAGTCAACAGTTCTCTTGACCCTCAAACAAAACTGGGTTGATGGGATTGGAAAGAAAAATAAATGTGGAGAACAGAGACCAGGATAAACATAAGACATGTAGAACATTAGCGGGGGGAGGGGGTGGAAGGGTTAGGCCTGAGATGCACCTAAGTACAGTGAGGGACAAGCAGTTGCATCCAAGGACGAACTCCCAGGTTGCCGACCACCTGCCCTCCCATCCTCCATAGCACAGCCCTGGCTGGGGAGCTGGAGCACAGCATTTGCCTGCTGAGTCTCACAGACTCCAGCCTCTCTGATGACCGGCTCAACTACCTGCTGAGTGTGGCCCCACAGCAGAGCCTGGTGCTCCTGGAAGACGTGGATGCTGCCTTTCTCAGTAGAGACCTGGCTGTGCAGGGTGAGCGGAGTTGAGGGAAGGGGTGTTTCTAAATGAGCAACAGAAGAGAGTGGAAATCCAGAGGGCTAATGGAGGGTTTCTGGGCTAGCAGCAAGAGCCTAGAAGAGGGACAGGTAAGTAGGGGAATACGGTGAACAGAAGGGACTCATTTTAAGTAGGGCTACAGCCGACCCCTTGCACTGCTTTATCTCTGCCTTCTTCTAGACCCAGTAAAGTACCAAGGTCTAGGTCGTCTCACCTTCAGCGGATTGCTCAATGCCTTGGATGGTGTGGCTTCCACTGAGGCCCGCGTTGTATTCATGACTACCAACCACGTTGACAGGTAGGAAGGAGTGAGGCACTCAAGACTGAGGCCAGACTCCGCCAACTCCACATCTTAGGAGGAAGAGGAGGAAATTCAGCGGGGACCATGATTTTGGGGGTACCAGTGGTACTTCTGTGACTCTCCTCTGCTGCCTTCTCCACTTAGACTGGACCCTGCCCTGATACGCCCGGGACGAGTAGACCTGAAGGAGTATGTGGGCTACTGCTCACAGTGGCAGCTGGCCCAGATGTTCCAGAGGTTCTATCCAGGGCAAGCACCTTCTTTGGCGGAGGCCTTTGCAGAATGTGTCCTTCAAGCAACAACTCAGATCAGTCCTGCCCAGGTACAAGGCTACTTCATGATGTATAAAAATGACCCTACAGGCGCAATTCACAATGCTGAGTCCCTGAGGAGGTGACAGCTAGGCTGTGCTCAGCTCTCCTCCTCTAGGGGATCAATAAACAGCTGTCATTCTACTCTGGTCTGACTTCCCTGTATTGGTACTTCATTAAAAGGCTTGAGCTGCAATCACAGATGCCTACGGGGACCCTCAAGAATCCACGTATACAAGTATTAGTGGCACAGTGTAAGACAAAGAGAAGACCCTATAGTAAACAGGAAAGCACAGTCATCCACCTAAAGGCATTCCAAAAAATATGTATGCATGTATACATAATGTGGGTATACATACACAGTGGGTTACAGGGCAGGGCGCTTCCTGCAGGTTCTCCTTAAATGTGGGCACCCACTGATTTTCCCTGAAGCCCACTACACTAGCTGAGATGTCAGACCCTCTTTACCTAGATCCTTATCTCATGAGGTACCAGACCTCAGGACAAAGTTGGGGTTACTCTGCTGCACTCCAGGCTTGGTGCTACTGAGCAAAGAAAGCCAAACAAGGCCAAATCTCTTTATTGCCCCCCTCCTACCCCCCATTTCCCTTCCCCCCACAGTACTGCTAGGAACCATCCTCTGATTCCAGACTCAAGGGTTCCCTCCGAGTACCAGGTGGGTAGGCTCCCCGACCCCGACGCAGGCGTGGGTAGGAAGAACCTGGTGTCCGACTCTTGGGGCGCCCCCAGCGAGCACAGTCCCCAGTCCGGCGGGGCAGGGGACCTTCAACCCCTTGGTTATGGGGTGGTTCTGGTTTTAGGTCCATGGGCTCCTTAGGGGGTTGCTCAGGAGGTGGCACTTCCTGGGTGTCACTGGTACCTTTGGGGGCAGTGTACTCCCCTCCCTTTAGGTGCTTCCGTTCAGGCTGTCTCCAGGGGCCTCGATTGGCGCGGGGACGATCTAGGATAGCTTTCTGGGTCTCACCCAACCTTTGCTGATTTGGCCCAGTCCTTGGAATCTTCTCACACGTGTACTGGGAGGCCACAGGCAGAGGAGTCGACTCGGTGGGTTGGGCAGTTGAAGAAGAGGACAGTTCTGTGGCAAGGGCAGTGGGTGGCTGGGATCCTCTGGAGGCATCTACGGCTGACTCGGGTTCCAAAGGGGCAGGAGGCTAGAAAGAAGTGAGCAGATGCAGTGAAGGAGATTCAGCTGCTCAAAGAAGGGAACTATAGGCCTCTTGCCCACTCAATGAACCGACCACCATCAGCCTATGACCTCCCTGAGTAGAACAAAGCTCACTCCTGGGCCACGGCAAAGGGGTGTTGGTAGGAAGGTCGGTGTCATTAAGGAAAAAGCGGGAAACCCTTTCCTCACCTGCTGGAGGCTGATAAAGTACCGGTTACGCTCAGCCTCAAGGTCAATGATGCCCCCCCTCTCCTGCTGCCTCTGGTAGAGCCGCTTGAGTTCCTCTTGCTGGCGCAAGCTCTCTGCATTGGGCTGGTACAGCTCCTGGAGGGAAGGGAGCAGATTGGCAGGGAGGAAAGAATAGACTGAAGGTAGACCCAAGTCCCTGCTTTTCCAGGACTGCCTCAGGAGATTGGCACAAGGTTCTTGGTTTTATCCCTTAGACTTGGGCTCCTGAATGAAGCCGTGGGCTCTCAGTGGGGACTGTGGCTTTGCAGAGGCCTCAGGTTGAGCCCAATTCCCCATCCCATTTGAGGCAAACAAGATGCCATTCCTCCCTCCTTGGAGAATACCATTGTTCTTGGCTCAGATTAGAAGGGAGTTCCCTTACCATGGGCTGTTGGGGTTCAGGGGCTGCTTTCAGTGCAGCAAGGTCATACATGAGGGGCTCTCTGCAAACTGGACACTGCACACCGACTGCTTTCTAAAAAGAGAGGAGAAAAATCATACCACTGCTTCACGGCCCCGGGTGACGGCCAGCTGGCCAACCCAGCCAGCCAGCCTAATCTGCCGAGGGCCGGGACGGAAGGGCACAGGCACGTCTGTCCAGCAGTGAGGTCGGACAGAGAAGGGTTGTCTAGCTAGAGGTCTGGAACCCTCTGAAGCTGCATCCAGTGTGACAACATGTACACAGGGATGCTCTTTTTCTAGACAGAAGCTGAGTGTTCATGCATCTCAAAGGTGTCTGTGACCGTAAGGAGGTTAGGAGCCCCGGGGGTGGAAGGACAGGAAAGGTGGTGAAGTGGCGGTGTCAAACGTGAGCAGGGGCTGGCGGGCCGACCTGTTTGGTTGCAGCATGCTGCCGTTCCTGTTCCTGTCCTTGAGCCTGCAGCTCCTGCTCCATGTGCTGGATGTACCGAGCAAGACAGTGGCAGTGGAAGTAGTGGTAACAGGGTGTTTTGGTAAAGGCCTCATTCTCCTAGACGGAGCACAGATGCAGGGCCCTGCGTCAAGGCTCTCCACGAGCCCTCCCCTGTCCATCCCAAGCAGACCCCAAGCCCAGGAGAGACCCACCTGGAAACCATAGAGGCAGATGACGCACTGGCCATGAGGGATGTTGTTATCTGTGAGAATTTCCTTCCCCTTCTGAGAGGAGAGAAGACACCGTTCAAACAGGGAAGCAGCAGGAAGACCTGTGAACAAAACCTGTCTACTACCCCCAGGAGTGACTGGCTGGACTGTCTCCCACCAAGCCAGTCTGTTACCTCATGTTCATGCATTTCTGCCTTGGTGATGCTCCCTCTGCTTGGAATCAATCCTGCCCTAATCCCCACTCCTACCCCCCTAAACCTGCCTGGCTTCAAAATCCAGTTTGTTTTCCCGCTCATTTAGTCACCTTTAATAGCTCTGAAGGATGAACATACTATACGTTCGGGAGAAAAAAGTGTTCAATTAAAACATCCTCTGGGAGGTCATTCTTGGCTAACTCCCTTTGAATGTCGCCGCCCCAGAGAGTTGGTTCTGCAGTAGGCTTTCAGAAAGTACGTCAAGGCACAGACAACCCAAAGGAACAGAATTCAAAAGGCATAAAGTTGGGCTATCAAATAAATGTGCATTTGCACTGTTACTGCAATAGCTAATACTCTGGAATTCCACCAAGTTCAAAACTGCACTGTGGAGGCCGGGCTCAGGAGCGCAGCAGCAGTGGCCTGCGCACACTTTTGCTGATGCCAGACCACTGTCCTTTATTTTCTGAACATTCCTCTAAAAAACTCAAAGTGGAGGAAAACAAGACTCTACTCAATTGTGTGTTTTTAAACCTCAAACTGCAAAAGCGATCTGTGTATTATTAACTCATAGTTCTAGGTGTTGCTTCATTTAGGTTGTTTCCTTCACTAGGCTAGAAACTCAGTACAGAACCATGACTTTTTCTAGTCAGCTCTAACGGCAGACTAGCCTTCACATGTTCATTTATGGCAAACACCCCCAAGGGATCCACTTCTTGCTACTTTCAGTTGCCAGTACAAAAGTACAAGAAATGCACTCAAATTGAAGCAAGAAAAATTCAAGTTAAAGAGGAAAAGTAATTTTCGAACGAGATGCTGGAATAGGCAACCTGGGAGAGCTATAGAACTGTCTATGTTTTAGGAAGATTTCCCAAAACAGAAGAGTCTTGTCTTTCTGGATTTAGACCTTAACCTAAACAAGGAAAGTAGGATATATTCACGATTCTAGGCCCATGGCTTCCCTTGAGGGAAGCTGCTCTAGCTTGTATGGAAGGACACCTCCCCAGGCTAGAACACCTCTTACCTCAATGAGTTCATAGAGCATGGCAGTACCTAGCCCAGCCTTGGCCACCTGGCTCAGTGCCTGTGCGATCCTGAAGGAGGAAAAGCAAACATTAGGCCTGCCCCCTTTCCTCCCTAGACTGAGCTGTATCTTGAGTTTTCCCTGCTCTGACCAGCCCACTTACTTGTGGATTTGTTCATCTGAGAGTCCTCGGGGGTTACGGATAGAGATCTGTGGCACCTCATTGGGATACTAGTAGGAGAAAACCACAAGTTACGGCTAAATCACTCCACCCCAGGACCTGTCCCCTTCCTCCCTTTGGTGCCATAAGGTAGGGGCCTCACCTGTGCTGGGACCTGAAGCACCAGAGTGAAGCAGACATACTGTGAGTCCTGGTCTTCTGCAGTGGCAGGGTGCAGGGTGATGTAGACCTCCCATGGTGAAGACCTGCAGGTGAATGAAGTGGAAACCTGGGGTGTGACTGGGCAGGGGCTGGAGGGCTGGGGAGGATGGGGGTGAGACAGTAAAGTGGGCAGAAGCAGCAAGCATTGGGCTAGCTTTTTTAGGGGGCGGGGGAGATGAAAGGAAGTCTTCATCTACATTAGAGAAACATCTCTGAATCAAGGCTTACAGATCCTGCATGGAATCCTCTCATTCCTAAGGGATTTATGACCACCTCTAGTTGAATACGTACCTGCCATTTCCTTTAACCACATGTAGTTCATCCAGATAGATAGATTCTAACACCTCAATTTCAGAGGGAAGGACCCTAGAGAGACAGAGTTTTAGACATCATTTCTGCCAACAGGTGAGGAAAGAGAACCCCAGGAAGGTGAAATGACTAGCCCAGATCTCAAGGCTTCACAGAGGCAGAACTCAAGATGAGAGCCTGCTTTCCCGACTCCCTATTTGACTTTCATTGCACTACTGATTATTCCTTAGTGGCCATCTCTCTGATGCAGAAATGATGTCCATTGATTAACATCAAGGTTACCAATTCCACTCTTGGCTTTCCTGACACTGTTGTTCATGTGGATCCCAGTCACTACGTACACTACCAGTACGTCACCTTCAACTGATAAAAGTAGCTACCAACCAGAACGGACCAAGGTGGTATAAAAGCTGTGTTGTAGTGGGAGAGCCACGAGCCTTGGAGTTATTAATAGGCACCAATCACTTAGTAGCCATGTGGTCTGAGTAGTTAGCCCGTGTTACCCTAACATAGGTAGAAAAAACCATCTACTTTCTGAGGTTACTGTGAAGATGAAAGGGATAAGTTAATGTAAGGTACCAAATAGCATCTTGGCCTAATAGCTAGTCTATGTCCTCTTTCCTATTTGTAGATAATCTTTTCCCTTAAAAGGAAAGAAAAATGTAGTTAATATTCAATGTATTTATTACCCTGTTGTATAGCTGATCTACATAAACCTGTCCAGATCAGGATCCAGTGGTCTTGATGTAAATCAGAGGACATATATTTTTATTCACAGAAACAGCAGTTGTCATGACACTGAAGATAAGTGAGCAGCTTAAATCCACAGCCCTACCCAGTTAATACATGGAAAGACACATGCTTGGTTTGCTTTCTTACATGCATTTTGTTCCCTCTTCACTAAGCACAGTGCTGCTCTTAACATGACCTATTTATTAGTGGTTCTCAAAACTTTGTCTCCAAATACCACACGCTAGCTGTGCAATCACTGCTGCCCTCTTCATGGACTGAAGTGTCTCCTCAGAACCTCAACGTTCCCCTGAGCAGGTTTAAAACCATGAATCTAGATGGTCTCAATACAAGCCACCACTGGCTGGGCTTCATGAATCAATGAGACACTGAGGTGTAGCCTCCATCAAAAGGTCCTTCAATACTTCACTCAGCTCAGGTGTGCCTTGGGCCTTGATGTGAGCTACAGGAGGGGACGGTGGTAAGGTGGTGACCCAAAAAAAAAAAAAAAAAAAAAGAAAGAAAAAAAAAAAGGAAGGAAGGAAGTGGGAAGATGTCGTAGATTCTTAGTATTAAGGATATAAGATTTGGAATCAGACACTCTGGGCTCCTAGTCATAACTATGTACCTTTTGGCAAATCATTTTACCTGTCAGGCTTCATCTGGTCTCCTCAAATGCCTCCATCCCAGTTACTAATGAAAAGGAGGTCGATGTATGTTACAAATACATTGTGATCCTCTTAACTATTCTATGAGGTAGATGCCACACCCACTTTTTCCAAAGCAGAGGACACTGACTCATGGAAGGTAGGTGGCCTGGTCAGCATCAACACAGCTAATAAAATGTGGAGTGAACCCATATTTATCCTTTTTCCAAATCGCAGAGTCCTTCCAGGTTCTAGCCTCTTGTTAGTATTGCTTGAGAGAAGATCTAAGAGCTTTTTGTGAAGTGTAAGGCTTTATTGAAACAACAGTACTCAGTCTTGTCAGGGAGGGGAGTTAAGGGAAGCCTCAGTAGAAATGGGCTGATCCAAGGGGGAAAGGGGGGCGGGCGCTGGAGGATACCGGTTTGGGGAGGTTAAAAAGGAGGTGGGGATATCTGAAGAGCAGGCATACCCCGGACCCTGAGCAAACCCACTTCAGTAACAGACAATGGGATGGGACGAGGCCAGAGGAGGGGTAATCGAACCAGATAAAGCGCGGCTCGACCTGGCCTGGTCAGCGCAGATCCGGTCGTTTCTGGCTTAGATTAGCGCCCCTCCACCCACCCGCTCCCCAGTCTTGAAGCTGTCTCAGAGAAAGATGTCAGCGTCTCTGCCATCCCTCTTCCCTCGCTCCGCCCCACATTCCCGCCATACGGACCGTCCGCGGCCGCCGCTAGTCCCCCGGACCGGATCCAGGCGGTCAGCCAAAGCCCATGCCCCAAAGTTACCAGTCCTCCTCCCCTGCAGCTGCCGACGAAGACGTCGCCATATCTTCCCCGGCCCACAGCCGGAACCGGAAATACCCTCGGATTACTCGGAGGCGGAAAGTTAAGGGGGTTGTGGCAGTGTGGCCAGCAGCCGTTTCTAGGCAACCGCAGACTCCGGGTCTTTAGTGGGTCCTGATAGCCAGCAGGCGGTTCGGAAGTTCCCTAAACAGTGCTTAAGGACGGTCGACTGTCTCCCCCACACCTCTGAATGCCTTTGCCCTCTGGACCTCTGACCAATTGTAGCAAGTACAATTGGTAACAATGGGAGTCTAAAGAGACCGGCAGTGGGGGTGGAGAAGAATTTTAAGTCAGGCAAAAGAATCAGGCAGCCTGAAGGGGCGGGGCTGAAGACCAGAGCCGGCGTCCCTCGGCCTGAGGAGCTTGAAGCTCCTAGGCTGGGAGTCAGAGTGGGGCTCAGGTCTTGGAAGCACTGGAGCATGGGTGTGGGCAGGGATGCTGAACAGGTTGGCGGTGGCAAGAACTTGGGGGTGGCTGGAAGGGGCGTGGAGGAAGGTGGGCGAGGCCGGGTTGAGGGGGAAAAGGGTCACGGGGTCAAGTGAGCCCTACGTCCGGTTGGGGGCAGGAGGAAGCTGAAAAGGAGGGACAACTACAGGAGGTGCTCTGTTTGCTCCAAGATGTCATCTTCCTATCCACTCTACCCTACCATGATTCTGAGGCTTGGATTGTTATGAAAAAAGAGGAAAAGGCAAGGCAGCTAACATTAATATTTCTTCCTTGCCCGAAGCAGACTTCCCTGATGTGTGGAACTGTTCCCGAAGCTGTAGCTCTTCACGACCATCTCTACTTTCTTCCTTCTGAGGCATCCTGAAACTTCTGTCATGGAAAAGTACCACGTGTTGGAGATGATTGGAGAAGGCTCTTTTGGGAGAGTATACAAGGGTCGGAGAAAATACAGCGCTCAGGTGGTGAACAAAGAGGGATACCTCTTGGGTGGGATTCTGTACCCTCAACTCCAGTGGAGAACGGGTCCATAAGGGAAGCCTTCATACCAACCTGTAATCCTAAGGCATTGACTCCTTCATACTTCTTATGGAGTGCGAGCTTTGAAACTGGATTACTTGGGTTCAAATCCTAGCTCTACTTGTAGCCTTAGAACTTCGGGACAGGTTACTTAACCTCTCTCTGCCTCAGTTTCCATATTTATAGAGTGAATGTAATTATAGAATCCGATTGATGGGGTTTAGGATTAGATGTAATGTCACACTGAATCATTTAGTACAGTGTCTAGTAAACAACACAACTAAATATTATCGCTACTATTAATCATTATTATCGAATGCAGGAAGAAATAAACCACCTGAATGCTGTTCTTCTCTTTCCATTTTTCCTTCCTTTCATTTCCCCCAGATCCCTTAAATCTTGAGTTCTTTACCCAAATCAGAACACCTCTCCCAGAAGCCACCAAAGGGGTCTGTCTGGCAGAGGCTGTTTCCTCCTGGGGCAAGGGATAGGGAAGCCTGGGGAAGGCCATGGTACCATGGGGAGGCTGGAGTGGGAGACTGGCAGGTATAGTAAGAATTGCTCAATCTAAATCTGACTTCTGGAGTTTTGAGGCTAAAGTTTCAGTAGTGTGTTTGGGCCTTGACTGTTTATCTTGCCACTGACAGGTGGTGGCCCTGAAGTTCATTCCAAAATTGGGACGCTCCGAAAAGGAGCTGAGGAATCTGCAACGAGAGATTGAAATCATGCGGGGTCTGCGACATCCCAACATCGTGCATATGCTCGACAGCTTTGAGACTGATAAAGAGGTGCATTTTAGCTTGGGGTTACCTCTTCCCAAGAAGTGTCTTAGGAATTTTCCAACCTCGGGGCATAAATCTGGAGCCATAAATGCCTTTGCCTTTCAGGTGGTGGTAGTGACAGACTATGCTGAGGGAGAGCTCTTTCAGATTCTGGAAGATGATGGAAAACTTCCCGAAGACCAGGTATGTTCCCTGGCTTGTACTTCTCCCCAGCCCTGACTTTTTTCAGGTTAAGGACTGGTAGGGAAAGCTGAGGGCACTGAGAGTCTCCATTTTGAAAATTTCTGAGAAAAATACAAGAGTAGGTGTATATAGAGGCAGTGTGGTGTGACAGTAAAGTATATCAATCCCAGAGCCAAAATCCCCGAATACAAAGGTTGCCCCTACCACTCTCTAGATGGATCCTCTTGGGCAAGTTATTTGAACCTCTTTGTGCTCAGTTTCCTCCTCTTAAATTGGAAGTAATAATGTCTGTCTCAGAAAGTTACTGTGAGGATTCATGTAAAATGCTTAAAAGAGTTTCAGAAATACAGTATTCAACAAGGTTAGCTGTTATTGATGTTGTTGTTGTTATTGGGCACCATTAGGGAAGAAGAGCCAGTGTGGCAGTACCAGAGAGGGCAGGAAGGTATAAGGTTTGTGGTTAAGGCAAGATTTGCCACCAACACTTAGTGGTTAGCAGTGGGATTTCATTGAGCCCATTTTCCAGCAACACATATTCTAGGGGTTTTCTGTACTCTAGCAAGTAGGCCCTCCTCAGGACTTCCTGTTTTAGCATTCTGTCCCCTTATGAGCACTCATGATTCTTGGTGAGTCACTTATTCCTTTTTAAAAAAAATATTTATTTATTTTTAGAGAGAGGGAAGGGAAGGAGAAAGAAAGGGAGAGAAACATTCATGTGCAAGAAATACATCGATTGGTTGCGTCTTGCACACCCCTAAATAGGTACCTGGCCCACAACCCAGGCATGTGCCCCGGCTGGAAATCAGACCGGCCACCCTTTGGTTCACAGTCTGGCACCCAATCCACTGAGCCACACCAGCCAAGGCCACTTATTCTTTTTGTCTGTCTTGTTTCTTTGACTGCTTCTCTTGAGAAAGGGATTTTGTCTTACTTAATATCAGCTAATGTGTATTGAATGCTTACTAAATGCTAGGCACCATTCTGAGCATTACATCACATGCTTTAATTCATTTAATCCTTACGATAATCCTAAGGGGTAGGTGGTATCATTATTGTCATGTTATGAATGATGAATCTGAGAGGCACAAGATAATTTGCCCGTGGTCATGCAGCTAAGTGAATGTTCAATGAATGAACAAATGAAAGAATGAGTGAGTAGGGAAGCAGAAACTGTAGAAGGTGTCATGTGAAGCTCTGGAAGGAAGGGAAGATCACATCAGCTGTGGTTTTAGGGAGGGGTCTTTGGGCTCCTCAGTAGGCCCCTTGCTCTGACTTCTCCTTTTTTTCTCCCACCTGACTGACCCCTAGGTTCAGGCCATTGCTGCCCAGTTGGTGTCAGCCCTGTATTATCTACATTCCCACCGCATCCTCCACCGGGACATGAAGCCTCAGAATATCCTCCTTGCCAAGGGTGGTGGCATCAAGCTCTGTGACTTTGGGTGAGGAACCCGGCCTCCTGTCTCTGCTTCCATTTCTGCAGGGTGTCTTAGACCATTTGCTTGGCTTACGTGGGCCTTGTTTTAGAACCTGAGCGAGAGACTGGGACTCCTTGCTGGGTCTTTTGGAAGGTGCTTTTTCTGTTGAGGTTTGAGATATCTGGCACAAATGAGAGGGAGGAGCAACCAGGTCTAGTTTTTATTGAATATCTTCTCTCTACATTTCCATTCTATCACCTGCAGATTTGCCCGGGCTATGAGCACCAACACAATGGTGCTGACATCCATCAAAGGCACTCCCCTCTATATGTCCCCGGAGCTGGTGGAAGAGCGACCGTATGACCACACCGCAGACCTCTGGTCTGTGGGCTGCATATTGTATGAGCTGGCTGTAGGCACCCCTCCCTTCTATACCACGAGCATCTTTCAGCTGGTCAACCTCATTCTCAAGGACCCTGTGCGCTGGCCCCCAACCATTAGTCCTTGCTTCAAGGTAATGGATATAGAAAGGAAGATTACTTTTGCATTGGAAACCTGTCTCCCTCTGCCTCTGTTCCCTTTTTTAAAGTCCTTTGCCACAGCTGGGCAGGACTTTGCAGTTACTGAATTAATGCAGGGGCTGGTCCAAGCCACCTTGCTTTTGTGCTGCAGAGGCTTCTGGGAGGATATGCCAAACTTGGGAATAGCAGCACCTCCTTGGGCCAGGATTTCTTTTATCACAATGGAAAGGTGATTTCGAGACACCAGAGATAAATACTGGTTCTTTTACGTACCTCTCTTCCACTTACTTCCTCTCAGATGATATCTTGCTTTGCAAACACAGCTTTGAGTCCTCTTCCTGAAAGAAGGAAGGAATCTTCAGCTATCCAGACAGCCAGAGCTAGTGGGGCTTGCTTCGCGATTAGGGGCAGATGACAGAGGTGGTGTCTGCTCCTTGCAGCTAAACCTCAGCAGGCTGGAGGAAGTAGGGGTGGAGGGAGGGAGGAAAGAGTCGACTCTTTTTATTTCTTATCTAAGGCAAGATTTGGACTTTCAGTGGAATTTAAATGCAACTTTCTTCCAGAGTGAAATCTCATTATAACTTTCCTTCACTTTATCTAAGATGAAAAGGGACAGGCTTTTTCCCAACCTATTTAGTTACTCCCTAAGTAATTATCAAAAAAGAATCTAAACAAAGGAAACTTCAGCTGGTGGTACACATAGGTATTTTATTCTTAGGGCAGATATGCAGTCATCTCCAGCCAGAGCCATGGTATACTGATGACCTTGTTTAAGAACAGTGGTCATAATCTAGTGCGTTCTATTCCTGTTTCAGGCCCAGTTGAGGAGTTCCCCAAGGATACCTCATAATGATGTACCCTTTTTAGACACAGTTTCCTTTCCCTTCCACCATCTGAAGACCTACTGAGAGATTGCTGGTTTTGAGTGCTCCCAAACACATCTTTACACTGTGACTTGTGCGTGTGAGTGTGCTTTCAACCGTAAATACATCTGTTCCTACTCAGCTATAAACTGCAGTCAAAGGGAGGGCAAAGTGAGCAGTTTGGGATTCCTTTGAATGTTTGCTTTCTTAAGGTGATTGTGAAGTGACATCCCTGTCTTTCTCCTAGTTTTTTTCTCACTTCTTCACAAAGCTG